AGAGGGCCAGTCGGTTCTTGTGAGCACCGCCTCGGGAGACATTGATCAGGCCGCCATCCAGCTTGCTCAGCACGTGGGCGCAACTGTATTTTGTACGTCCAGCAGCGCAGCGCAGTTTCAGCTGCTCAAGGATCAGTATGGTATTCCGGCGAGCCATATTTTCTCTCACCAGAACACTCGATCCCTCAAGCGTGGCATCCTACGACTCACCAATGGTGAAGGAGTAGATGTTGTTCTAAGCTCTTCGTTAACAGGCGAAACTATTAGAGAGACCCTCGACTGTGTCAAACCTCTGGGGGCCTTTATTAACCTCCTTGGTTCCGCAGGAGCTCAGCAATCTGCCTCCTCATCCCGCCTGAGCGTTGCTGTTCTTGGAAGACCCGTTAGCTTTGTCACTTTTGACTTGGCAACACTCGCCTACAAGCAGCCCAAGCTGGTCCATCGCGTACTGAGTAGCATTGTTGGGCTCTTCGAGGCAAAGAAACTTAGACCTGTCCAGCCCATCACTACCTACACCATCGATAACATTGAGGAAGCTTTCCGGTTCGTGTCACCCGGCACGCATGCAGGAAAAGTCGTCCTAACCGTCAAGCCCGAATCCCTGGTCAAGGGAGTTCCGGCAAAACCTTTGCCGCTGCAACTACGTAAGGACGGCACGTATGTTATAGCTGGAGGTCTTGGCCATCTCCCTGCCCGACTTTGTGTGCTGCTCGCTTCGAGGGGTGCCGGCCATATCGTATCGCTATGCCGCCGTGACATCGACGACGAAACGAGGCAGAAGCACACTAGCGCCGTAGAGGCGCACGGAGCCAAGTTGCATATTATCCAGTGCGACATCACTGATGATGAAACTATGAGCAGAGCTGCTTCCTACTGCTCTTCTTCTCTCCCTCCCGTCAGGGGTGTGGTGAATGGTGCCATGGTACTCCGAGTAAGTTTCTTCATGCTTTAGACGCATATTTGCATCCACCTATCTTACTCCTCCTTGATCCTGCTTGCATCGTCATGCGCGCTAACAACGTGTATTAGGACCGGACCTTCTCCCAAATGACAATAGAAGAGTGGAACGTGTCGCTTCAGGCCAAGGTATATGGAACTCTGAAACTTGACAAGTTCTTTGCCTCACCGGATCTATTCTTCTTCATGACTTTATCCAGCTTGACTGCCATTATTGGTAGAACCGGCCAGGCCAACTACGTCGCTGGCAACGCCTTCCAAGACGCCTTTGCGGCAGCGCACGCCAACCACCCTCACACGCACTATGTCTCGGTCAACATCGGCATCGTCGAGGTCGACGTCCACGAGAGCACAGCCGTCGAGGGCGACTTGTCCGACGCGGGGGCAGGCAAGGTGTCTCTCGTGACTAGCCTCAAGCAAAACAGTGGCATCGAGTTGTCCTTTGAGGAGTTCTACGCCAACATCGAGTACGCCATGACTGACCAGGCGCGCACCAGCGGGCTTCACCAAACCATCCAGGGCATTACCCGCCAGGCCATGATTGACGTCAACGATGTGCACCTCCTCGAGAACCCAATCTTCAGTCAGCTCGACCGCGCCCGCGGCGACAAGTCTAACGGCGGTACGCAGGGTGGCGGGGGCATCTCTCTTGACAAGGCGCTCGGGGCTGTGAAATCGGTTGAGGAGGCCGAGAAGCTCGTTCTAGACGCCGCGCTGGCTAAGTTTGCCGTCTTCCTTGACCAGGCTCCCGAGGATATCAGGGTGGACCAGCCTCTGGCCACCATCGGCTTGGACTCCCTTGTGAGCATTGAACTAAAGAATTGGATGGTTCGCACGTTCCAGGTCAGCTTGCAGGCGTCTGAACTGAGCGGGGCGGGAAGTATCCTAGAGCTAACCGCAACGGTTGTCTCGAGATCGAAGTTGATCCCCGACGCTGTTCGGCGCCCAGAGGGTTCTCAACTTTCAGAAGCAAAGGCAGAGGAGAAGCCATCCGTCCGCGAGGAGACAACTAAGCCAGATGCAGCCGGGCCGGCGGACCAGAGTTCAACAAATGACAAGGTGGAAGATGTCATATCGACCACAGCCGAGGTGACAAAGCAAACAAAAGCCACCGAGGTGGAAAAGCCAAGCCATGGCTTCGACTGTTGCAAAACTCATAAAGATCTCCCTCGCCACCCGCTCATCGACCTCGACGTGGCCGTCGGCGACCTGCTCCACAGCATCGGCCACTTTGCCCACACGCGCGAAGAGTACGAAGAGCTCAGCCGCAAAGCCCACGCTGTGGCCGCGCCAGGAAGCCTCGGCCGCAGACTCTATGACCAGCTTCGCACTGAAGCCGATGATCCCAATGTCGAGAGCTGGATTGCCGAGCGTCTCAGCAAGGCACTCTACCTCAAGAGACGGTACCCCCTCGCTCCTTTTGCCAACTTTTGGGGCTCGCACTTTGACAGCCCAGTGCCGCACACGCAGGCCGAGCGAGCAGCTGTGCTAACCACCGCTCTGTGGGAGTTCAAGAAGGATGTTGAATCAGGGAGCTTGGAACCGAACTACCTAGGGGGCAGGGTGAACTGCGCCAGCACCTTGAAGTGGCTTTTCAACGCTACTAGAGAGCCACATCTCAACTGTGACAAGATGATGAAGTACGCCGGTGAAAATCATGTCGCTGTCTTGCGCAAGGGGCACCTGTTCAAGGTCCAGTTGCTAGACCAGGGCAATATTCTCTCGCACGACAATCTCAAAGCGACGTTTCAGGCAATTATTGACCTAGGCATCGAGGATCCAATTTGGGCAGGCGTGTTGACAACTGACGACCGTGACTCATGGGCTACCGTAAGTCTTTGTACTGCACCGATTCCGTTCTCTTTAAGGAATTTACTAACTTCGCCATTACTAGAACCGAGACGGTCTGCTAGCTCTTGACGAGAGAAACGCCAGCTATCTCAGCGTGATTGAGACGTCTGCATTCGTCGTGTGCCTCGACGACAACAGCCCGGTCACACGTGAGGAGCGTGTTAGCCAAGGCTACCTCCAAAACCCTTTCAATCGCTGGCAGGACAAGAGCATGCAGGTTGTCGTTACTGAAAATGGCCAGTCAGGTACCATCTTTGATCACTCCATGATCGACGCCATCACTGTCTCGCAGCTGGCTCCGAGGCTGTATAGCGCTATTGAGAACCACAGACATGCCAACGGCAGTGCCAACGGCCAGGACGGCGTGTCCGTCCATCCCGCCAGCTTGATCGAGATCCCGCTCATCACGACATCCGACATCGAGGAGCGCGTCAAGTACCTGCGCGAGCAGTATTCCGCCGCCACGGACTCAAGGCGATACGTCCCCCATCAGATTACCACCTTTGGGAAATCTCACCTCCTCGACAACGCGGCGCCCATCAAAGCCACGGCCGACCTCACCATCCAGCTGGCCAGCCGCATCTACTTTAGCTACCTCCCGGCCAGTTGGGAAACGGTCTCGATGGCACACTTCCACCTGGGTCGTCCAGAGATTATCCAGGTTGTTTTAAAATCGGTCGTCGACTTTTGTGATGCCGCGCTTGATTTATCTGAGCCCCGTTCCGAGGCGCGTCGCAAGCTCCTGCAGGCGTCGCGCGACTGCAATGCGCAGATCGTCAAGGCGTCCGAGGGCCGCAACTACTTCCGCCTCATGGACGTGATCGAGATCATGAGCCAGGCGCAGCAGGACGAGCCCGTGCCCGAGCTCTTCTCCGACCCCATCTGGAAGAGAGGCTACCCGCGCTACATCATGCAGACCATGCGTGAGAGGAACTCCTCCGAGGACCCGGCCTACATGATGTTTGATCCCGAGTCGGTGTGGACGAATTATCAGGTCAACGACGACTCCATTGAAGTCTGCTTCATCAGTCCTCGAGCCGAGTCCGAGAGGTTCTCGGCTGCTTTGGATCGTGCGGCGGAGATCATCAAAGCCATCGTTCAAGCGAAGTAGATCTTGACAAGTCGTGTTTTCAGTGATGTGGTTTTAACGCTTTACCAAAAAAATTAAAGATCGCTCCGTAGCTTTTGACATTTCTAGTTGTACAATTTTTCATTTGGAAGAGTTTAAGGATTCTTGAATTATGCTTGATTTATTATTAATGTAATCTAAATATAGAATTATGCAAAGGACCACAAGGGCACGAAAAGCCGCAATATTTAATTTCCGTTGCGCTACCCTATGCCCTCAAGCCTTAACCAACTTGCGATAGCCTCAATCTCTTGACGAAAAATAGCCATTGGAATTACATATTTCTATTCATCGGACTCAATTGAAAGCATCTCTGTTATTAAGACCATTAAGATAGGAAAACCTGCAATTAATTTGTTGTTGCTACTTTTGACTATTCAACTGATTGACGGCAAGCTCATCTTGGGTACTCCAGTAGCCATTTAATTGGTTTCAAATTCACTTTGCGGAGCTGTACGTTTCAGGTCAGTTTTTTGTTTTTTGTAGGAGGGCAGGGACAAAATTAGCCGGACAAAGCCACTTCAAGTCGTTTTGAAACGCAACTATCCCATAGGTATCCTTCCATCGCAGTATCGTCTTAGTCAGCTCACCTCCAGCCCCACGAGTCTTAAAAGCAGTATGAAGAAAGGTCAGGGATATGAAGATCATGACGCTTTACGTACTAGCGTGATATCCAAGCAACTGTATCACACGATAATGGGTACAGTGGATTCTCAAGGCGATAATGGACAACGGCTCCGTTTTGATATTTCTACCTTGGCAGTCAGCAACAGTCTCAATAACATCATCCCCTCTACTGATAATACTAGAAGCTGTTGGTGGCGACACCGACGGAGTATATAAATGGATTAATGCCAAGCAATTGATTTTCATATTATCATCGCGTATCTATATTGCTCGGGTGATAAAACCCTGGAATGCTGAATGAACATTACAGGCTCGGCCTTTGCCGCTTACAGCCAAATGCTCAATGGCGAGATAAAAAAGGGGGCAAAGGTTGGTTCGTGTCGCAAATTTCGACTTCAACCACTGATCATTGGAGGTTCAAACAGATCCGTCAACAATGTTCATCCGGATATTGCTTCTGACCGGCGCGCTGATCGCCGCGTTCGTCGCGTTGTACCTACCCAGCTCTCCGGAAGAGCGCCCACCGTATATTCAGGGACGAAACAGGACGGCACTCTTCATCTCCAACATCGAGCATGGCCTTAGCAATGTCCACATAGCCACTGCATCCTCCCTCCTAGAAAACTATCCAGACATTGAGGTACATTACGCATCCTTCTCGGGTCTGAGCAACAAGTTGGCCTGAGTTTCCAAGTTTGCGCAGGCCAAGACGCCTGCTGCCAAAGAAATTACCTACCATGAAATCGACGGAATGGCATATTTTAGCATTCTGCCACTCAGTATTACGCCGCCTGGGTCTGCCGGTATTGCCAAGTTTTCGAGCAATGTACAGACTTGGATCTCGCCATGGGACGTAGAGGAGCACATGAGCATCTACAACCAGATTGGTGCTCTAATCGATGAGATTGACCCTGCTGTGGTTGTTTTGGATACACTGGTACGGCCCGCGGTTGACAGAATACGTGACGGGAACTGGATGCATGCGTTTATCAAACCGCAAACGACCGCAGAGAACTTTATTGGCGGTCAGCCGTATGGGAGTATGTTTTGGAAGTATCCCGCGTAAGTTCATCTGCAACATACGCTCGAAATACTGCAAGATGCTGACAGAACAGTTTAACATCCGGCTTCGGCTTCCCAGTGCCGTACAAAAAAGATGTAGGAGAACATCTATCTTAACTTTCGCTTCGTCTATGCTGCCATGAGGACACCGCAATTAAATGCTAAAAAGGCTGTCCTGAGGGAAAGAGGTGTTAAGGACCCTATCAACTTCTTCAACTTGCACCGGCCAGACATCCCTTGGATTACCATGACCACCAATGGTGTATCCATCCCTCTGGACGTGGTGCCAGCTAACGTCACCTGCGCTGGGCCGATATTGCTGTCAGTGGCACCTGCTCAGGAGCAGGACCCTGAATTGACCCAATGGGTCCAGCGGTCACCTACCGTATTGATTGCTCTTGGTAGTGGATTCAAGGTAGTTCACGTTGTAGTCCTGCTCTAGAGATAGTACCTAACATTCTTGCCTAGTATCCATTAAACTATGCGCAGGCAATGACGGGAGCGGTCGTCGATGTCCTCTCCAAGACTGATTTGCAGATTCTGTGGAAGTTCGACGAGGATGGCGACTACTCTGATGATGTGCTGGCGCCACTGGCACCATACATTAAGACGGGGCGGCTCCGCATGTTGAATTGGCTCACAATAGATATCATGTCGCTACTCGAGTCTGGCGGAATCACTGCTTTTGTGCATCACGGCGGTTCCAATTGCTTCAACGAGGGGCTTGCGTGAGTCTCGTTTCCTTCCACTGACCATGAATGACTGAAACTGACCTGTTTCGCTAGTGATGGCGTGCCTCATGTCGTCCTACCTCTGTGGGCCGACTTGTACAACTTTGCCGCCATCGCGGAGAATGTCGGTATCGGCATCTGGGCCTGCAAAGATACAAGCCCAAATTGGACCGCAGAGGGCATTAGTGGTGCTATTCTCAAAGCCGCAGCTGGTGAGGGATCCGACGTAGCTTTACGACAAAAGTCGAAAAGTCTAGGTGATAAATTAAGAGCGGGCGAGCAGGGACGCGATATTGCTGCCAGGGAAATTGCTAAGCTTGCATACATAAAGGAAGGACAACGGGAAACCCTCTGATCACCTCAATTACTTTTTTTGCAGAAACATTGTGCTTTCGCGTTGAAAGACCAATATTGTAGATAGACAGCAAGAGCTCAGATTCGTGGGCTAGGTTAGACTAGAAGGTGACGTCTCATTGACACGGCAGGCGAATCGCCTGAGTGATGTGCAACGAGGACAGATAGAGGTAATGAAATCTAAACACACGCTCGAGACTTGGAGAAAACATACTAATTACCACCAAAATATTGATCTAACAATGGCGAAAGAGGGAGTTTTGGGTCAATCATGTTTGGAGTGCCTACATCAGACCATGGCAATTACTTACTCAAGATTGAATCATGGAAAAGGTTCCATACTACTTAATTGTCTATCTCCTATCTACACTGGCTACTCTTCACTTCGCCTGGGTATTGCCTGACTAATGACACAGAAAATCACGAGAAGGTGCCAGCCAATCGTTCTAGACCAGTCAGACTTCTGTTCATCGTCCCCACTCATCAAGTACTTGATTGCACGGCTTCTTCGGCGAAAAGCGGCCGCTGGGGAGTCTCAAATGGTTAAGGATGTATAAGCTGGGGAGCCTAATGGAGGTGTGCAGTGACTGAAAAGATGGGGGAGGGGAATGCCGGGCAAACCAAGCGTAATACAAAGGAACGCGGCAAAGAAAAAAAACGCACGCTGGGGCAGGTAAAGCAAGATAGAAGAGTGAGAAACGACCTGCAGTGGGCTGAGATAGAAAAAAATGGTGGACTGCCTTTATGAGTTGCTCTGGTCAACTAAGACTTAGTTAATTGTGCTTAAAATTCTTATGTACTTTTCTTAGTATATAATGTTATTAATCTATGCATATACAACGGAATATATCGTTAATAATAACTCATTACTTGAAATTATCTATAGATGCGTGATGTTGATACCGCATGTTGTTTGATATAGAATAATAATTTCAATCCTGTTCTTTTACGGCTTACTAGCTGCAACACTGGGGTCGTCGGATGTGCTCTCTTGTAGAACGACATCCGTCGTTACAGTAATGCCCTTCATGTTGCCGCTGGGATGACTAGTGACTCCCATGATGTGCTTCTGACTCTCGTTATCCGACAACCGTTCCCAGCAATCGTTATCGCCACCTTGGACCACGGTATGAATAGCGATCTCGCTACGGTGGGCCAGTGAATGCATCCTGTGTGAGCTGGCTCCCGGTGGACGGGTTTTTCCTGACTTTGCTGTGGCACCACCGCTGGATGATGATATGGAACCAAGCCATGGAATGTACTTGAGCAAGGGGCGCAGTGTGGCTATGGAACCGGCAATCAGGCCCAGTCCTGACTCGGTTATGGACTAAATCGCGATGTGTGCAATGTTGAGGAGGTAGGCTTCCGTGGCGTTGTAAGCAAGGAGATATCGTAAACGGACGAGTGTCGCAGTACTAGCACTATAAGACAGTCAGAGGATGATGGACGTTTGATAGCTTGAAGATAGTTGACAACGTACACGAAACCGAACCCTAAAAGAATCATCACTGGAACCTTTATTCTGTAGTGAAGTTGGACATCCCATACTATTCGAGGAGACACCTTAAGTTAGATAATCATCTGCAGTGATTTTGGTGACGGCTTACATATGACGGCAGTCAAGATCGCGGTGGTCCAGTCTGTAAGGATCGAAGTCGCTGAAATGTAGTAAGAAACGTTGGTAATCAGAGAGGCGTCGGCGCATGACCCCAGGCTTGGGTCCCAAGTGGCGGAGACAGGTTTGCACCAAGCCAGTACGGCGATATCAGTGACCACAGCAGCGATAGTTGATAAAGCAATGACAGCATATATGATGTAGTGATAGATCTTTTGATTTGTAATGCGAAGTAATGCAACGCAAATGCTGGCCTTTATTGGAACGGTCGAAAGAACTAGTACAATGTTCAAGGTTAGGAGAATTCTCTTGTGGCAGGGTGGTCTTGTTACAAACCATAGAAGAGTTTGAAAAACATGAACCACTGTGCAACTGGTAAGCTTCAAAATACCCTCATACTGTTTTTAGATAACAATGTGGCGTACCATCCTGCCCTGCTTGTCGTAGTAGTCTGTAATCATCTCTGGCGGAGAGCCGACCCCATTCAAAGACCCTGCGATAGTTGAGACACATCCTCCCATTTAAGAAATCTGAATCAGTCAGCAAATTGAGCTTTCGAAGGACATGAATAAGTAGATGGGTCGAGGACTCACTAAGCCAGCAACCATCATATAATCGTCGAGCCCCATCGATCTGATACTCGTGCGCACCCAAATGCGCAAACCCATGGTGATCCACGAGAACGTAAGTAAAATAATCGAAAGAAGGAAAAGGCCCATGGCCGGCCCTGTAGGCTGAAGCGTCATGGTGCCTGCAGAGGGAAAAGCAAATAATTGAAACAGTGAGATGGATATATGCCGTCCTTCACATTTTCTGGAACTCGGGACGCGGTCAGAGCACAAATGCTTTCTCGCCCTTTTCGACCAAAATCCCGATCGGGGGCAGACCTTTAAGAGTTGGACAGAGTCAGGTAATTGGCATCGAGACCCTGCCCTTGAACTATCACTCGCTTGGCATTAGTCGAGTTGTTGCCAGCTAAGCTTGTAGGAGCTACACTATGATGGGCCAAGCTGATCTAGTCTTGCAATTGAACCAGGGAGTTTGTGCACACCGGGGATCACAACCACCCACAGGTCACGGATCTCGCATATGAGAGGCAGTACAACCCCCTAGTCCTGATTATGGCAGGTGACTAAATCACAAACATACTGGTACCAAATTACCAATCGCTGTTACCAATTAGATGGACTGTTAGTGCTAGTATTCTTAGAACTTATGGGGACGGCTTCATAGAGCCGATCCCCGACTAGAAAGAAAACACCGGACATTTTAGCAACCACACATCATTTTCTTTTAGCCCGGGCCAATTTTCACCGGAGTCCTTCGGAGCACATACCCTGAAGGGAAAGGATATCTAAGAACCCATACCCCGGCTTTTCACATCGTGTCATGGTCTGGCCTTGAAAAGAATGTGGAGATGACATTGAGGTGAGCACGCTCCCTCCCGAAAGGTGCTGCCATAGGTCATGACTTACTTCAACCCACTTCTCGCCACTAGGCACAACTGATGTGTGCCTAACGCCACAGGACAGGGGAACGCGGACCTACCGCAAGCCCGCCGGAAAATCCGTGTTTACCCCGGGAAACGAAGGAATCGGCCTACTGAACCAGGCACCAGTTTTGCAGCGAGGAGTTCGCAGTCACTTAGTTCTCATTGTGGAGCTTCTATTCAAGGTCTTCTTGGGGAGACCCCGGAGAGCGGAAAACGTGAACCCTTTTGTATCTTCGAGCAGAATTAGCTACTTTCACAGCCGGCTCAACCACAAATATCATTTGGCTTTGTTACTTAAAAACAACGAGATAAATAGTTTTGCTCTTAATATCAGAGCTTTTATCTAAGATTGTAATATTATCGGAAAGTTGTGATATTATTGAACGGAAAGTCGATCATTATGCCTAACACACCCTGTCCATACGGTAGGAGTTTATCGCCACTTGCAAGGATGGCGTGATATCAAATATTAGATCGGCGGATGAACTATCTTGGCGCTGAGAATCTGGTTCTCAAGGTCTAGTGGCTAATCTTACTTTGGTTTGGGTAGGCTACCAAGTCCTCGGATCTTAGAGTGTCCCTACGCATCCCAACAACGCAGCAAGCCATTGCGTGGCATTTGAATCCTGATGACTAGCTCACCTAGGTACCCGGGAAGAGGCACTTGCTGTCTCCGGTCGTGAGGGGAAAGCACAAATCGTACAATAAAGAGGGACTATTTGGCGACGGCTTCTAGCGCTAGTGAAGCCGTTAGGCACAACTCGGAGCTGACAAGCCTTGCTCAAATCTTCTTGGTGTGCTCAAGCCTCCGTTTCACGTTGACCATGTCGCTAAAAATAATCAGTTGGGAGTGAAATCTCGAGAGCATCATAGCATTGCTGTATGTTTGCTCTCGTGACTTAGTACCAGACCAGGCGAGAAAGCTGCGTTTCACTTTGCCACTTAGAAAGTAGATCTTGTAAACAGCTGAAAGTTTGGTGCTGACGGTTTCCCCACAGCCCTAGTGGGATCAATTTTCACAAGATTGGATGTTGTGCTGCATGCACCGTAACATGACACCAACGGAGATGAAGGGTTACCATTCTATGTATACCAGTAAGCAGCCATCGATAACTGGAGTATGGTTGAATCGAAAAGAAGATCTGTTGGTGGAAATTCAAGCATACTCTGCGTTAAATTAGGTATAGTACATGGGGTGTATTCAACATCTCCGTTGCCATTATGTACCAGCATCTCACTAAGAGGCTTCTAGGAGAAGTGATTTCTCTTCCAGCTGCATGCATTCTCATTTCATAAAGCCTAATCTGAGATTTAAATTTTTGAGAATTCTTCTCTAGGCCAGATCTAGACCTGTCGGAGACTTACTCTCGAGACTTAGCATGCAGCTGAGAGATGACTCGGAATATCCCGGTAGCTATTAGGCTCGCTCCCGATGAGTGCGTAAGAGCCCAGATTCAAGCATCATTGCTGAGGTGCCGACGGAAGAAGGGATAGTTCAACAGCGTTGTCTAGATCAAATCTTACTGGCATCAATTAATTTAGGATCGAGCTCGGGGCGACAGTAAAGCTAGAGAGAATCCGCTCAGCAGCCCCATTCCTTTGACGATCGGCAACGTTGACGCCTAAACCGCGATACGTTTTCGAATACATTGTAATCTGCCGCTAGTTTTGACTGAAAAGAGGTCATCTCATCATTAAAAGTTGCTTATAATCCAGCCAGTTAAGCTGAAAAGGCAAATTGGTAGGCTATGTCTCCCAAGACAAGCTGACTATGGCTTCTCTACAGGGAAATTGTGGTTAAAATCATACGAGGTCCATTGTTTGGAATCCCGAATGCATCCTTAAAGATGTTAGGACCTATGATTGGGATCTATGAATACGACTTTAGGTGTATCAAAAGCAGCGTGCTCACCTTGAGTATTAATTATAGAATTCTTTATCAGCCGATGAGCTCAACTTTGACAACCTACGGTACTCATATTGCATCCACACTTGCCACTGTACAAAACCCATCCAAAGATTATGCAGTCTTAAGTTGTCCCAATAGGCAGCTACGAAGAATGAGGTAGTCTGTTCGCTACCAATAGACCGGCTGTGCCCCCGCCAATAACGATAGAGTCGTAAGGAGACATAAAAATTATGGGAGGTACTGTGGTGGATTTGAATCCGATCCTCAATATTAGAGTTGGGAAGTACGAGAGAGTGAGGAACGAACAGAGTTAGTCTTTTTGCAAGCAGTGAAAGTGCGAATATGTAAGCCCAAGATCACGCCTTTGATGCTCCTACGGATACCTTCTAAAGTTTTTAAGGTGAGAATCTTCCATATGTGTTATACAATTTTGAGTCGAACTGCGTCCAATAGTGTCGGCACGGTGCTGATCGGTCCTGGGACGAAGTTGTACGTTTAGAAGGTGAATAACTTGTTGATCGCAAGCCTGTGGCTGATGTTATACTTAGAGGAACGGGCGTTTATATGGATCCAAATGTCTACAATAAACTCGAAACAATCTTTAAGTGAGCAGGAAAAGAGCTGGGGATGAATGCAGTCGATCGTCTGACTTGAGTATCTCAGACAGGTCGACCCAACGTATTACTTGTCGTGAGGGTTGTTGGGTGGAACAACTCCGAACATACTGTGACGAAGTGCTGAAGTCAAGCTAAGTACGTTGACTACCCCTCCTATTTAACCCCTTCTCAACATCCCAGGGAAGCGTACGAGCGCTATCGTAAGCTTATACTTGAACCGCTCCATGAAAGAGCGTATACCATTTGAACTCTACCTAAGATGACTACCCAAGAGGTTGCTTTGTTTACGACAGAATTATCCATCCACCACTCTCATAGTCCACAGTTCCGTCCTGGGCGGCGAAACGTTTATGTTGTAAACAGATTGAATATGTTAGTTTATTAAATCCAAAATGCTATTGATTGGATTGGGTAAACTGGGTGCCGAATAAAGTCTTAACGTGGATAACTCAAACAGGAAATGTTGTTGCGTGAAAAGCTGTGCCCAAAACTTGTGGAGCACCTAGACTATTCGTAATCAATGTAGACAAGACATGGGATCACCCTAGTCCGGTGCAGCAAGGCCCCTTCAGACTTACTAGAAAGCGAAGCTTTCGACCCCGGACCGGCGAGTTGGGTGTGGATTATAGTGTGCATAAACTCCTGACTGAAGGAACGGGGAGTGAACCGAGAGTTTAGTTGCATGATCTTGAAGAAGGTGGCAGTGCTGTCCTTGTACGCTGGAGCTGCAACCATAGGTTCGGAGCCGCCAGATACCCCTGTGAGGCCTGCGTGGCTACAGCCTGGAGACTCGATACACAGCCCTCCGTGTGGAAACTGCCCCACTGGCCGCCTCGAAGGCAGAATGCTCACCCCGCAAGCGTGGTTCGCAACCTAGCAATGGTTCCACCTAGCGAGTCTGCCTTCACCGCTGAGTTCTTAATAAGATCTATGGATATCATCTCGTTGTAGATGGTTTTAATTCGACTCTTTAGACTCTTCTCTTTACGTCTCCTTATTATCACAGCTGACAGGTTTGTGATTCTCAGACATATAATAATTTTGCAACGCAGCTTGAAGTTGGTACGAGTTCTTAGTTAATATTTTCTCTCTTCGGTTCCTATTCCAAACGAAACTTCATTTTGTTACGAGATTCCAGATTTATACTTTGAGATTGATTCCCTACAATGGAAAAGATTGAACATGAATTGCAGGCAGTCGAGACGCCTCGCTCAACCGCTCTCGAGGCCTGGCTCGCTGATTACCTTCGCCACAAGGCAGATCAATGTGACTCCAGTTCCTATCCCGTCTCAGACGTTACGTCAGATGAGATCGATGTGGATGCAATCGAAATGCGAGTGAAGCAGCTCATGAAAGACATCCATGTGACCGCTGGATTCTGCTCCCGGTGCTCCCATCTCCTCCAGCATTGGCCAAACCTCAGTAGGAACATAGATTGGGACTACGCCGTGGGCCAAACATACAGCACGGAGGAGGTTGAGGCGGCATCACGACTTGGATGCAAGCTGTGTGCATTCCTCTGGACCGGTCTCAATAAGGACAATAGCGTCAGCATCTGTCGGAAGATTGAAGCAAGGCTGGCAGCTCTCCATAACCCTGCGAGGTCCGCACTCACCATCCAGAACTGGGGCACGCTCAACGATACAGAAAATAGTGGCTCGCAGCTCCTCTGGTGGAATTATCCCGGCAAAAAGGCCACCCACTGCAACATGGTTGGCGCTCGACTGTTCAAGTTCGAGTCCCAACTCCTTCCACCAGAAAGTAAGCAAACCGGACGCCCTAGGAGAAGAGGTTTTCAAAATCGCTAACGCTAAGAGAAAGCCCAGCTGTGGGATGAACCCAACGACCCAATTGAATTGGCAAAGACGTGGCTCTTGAACTGCATAGAATCTCATGAAACTTGCCGTTTGAAGAAAACTAGTGCGCCGAGTAGGCTGGTTCCCATTGCTAATAACATCGTGAAGCTGGTTGAGACAGAGCTTTGGGATGAAATGCCGCAGTATGCCACTCTTAGCTACTGCTGGGGACGTATTCCCTTCGTGAAACTGACAAAGGAAACACTACCCACGTTTCTAAACGAAATCACTTTTGAGAGCCTGCCAAAAACATTTCAGGATGCTATTGAAGTCGCAAGGAGGCTAGGCCTGTCCTTTATGTGGATCGATGCACTCTGCATCATACAAGATGATGAGGACCATAGCGACTGGCGCCAGGAATCTGGACGGATGAAATCCATATATAGTGGTTCACATGTCACTATCTCCGCGTCATCGGCCACGGATGTTAGTCAGGGATTCTTCCCTTCATCATCCCCAAAGTATAGTGGCGGATTCATCGCTCAGGTCCAGGCTGAGGAATTTACCAGAGTTCAAAACTTTCACTCCACCACTGTCCACGAAGATTCCACGGTGGACACCCATCTGGGAGGCCGAAGCTGGGCGTTTCAAGAGAAGCTCCTTTCCCCGCGGACGATCCATATTGGAGACCACGGGGTCTACTGGGAGTGCCAAACTTCGGTCAAATCCCAATTTCTCCCTGAGGGATTCCCCGGCATGCTCCCGAGATCGCGCCTCGTCTGCTCCGAGAAAGAGGAATGGGACTGGCGCGAGATAGTCAATATCTACTCCAAGACAAGTAGAACATATGAGTCAGATATCTTACCAGCGCTCTCTGGCATTGCGGCGCGCCAGCACGATATTACAGGGGATAAATATCTCGCGGGCCTATGGAAGAATGACCTTCTATCTATGCTTCCATGGTTCACCTTCTCCCCGGCCTCAGTCGTCAAGAGACCAGCCTGGCGTGCGCCCACATGGTCTTGGGCTTCTGTGGAGGGTCCTTGCATTATATCATACATGATCGCAGACACGGACCTGAAGCCCCAAGCCCGGCTTCTAGACGCGTGGACGAAGACTGTTGATGACTACCCGTTTGGTGCAGTCGTGGATGGAGAGATTACACTAGCATGTTCCTCTCTCATTATGGCCAACTTGAATTACGCCGGCATTGAAAAATACCACCACAAGTTACATAATCCAGAGGAGATGCTTAGAAAAAAGCAACGGCCGTACCTCACTCTGTCAGGGCTGGAGTCGAATCCCTTGCCAGTTTCGATCGATTGCCTGGAAAATGAGATGCTTGGTAAAGAGGAAGGAATATATCTGCTCCCTCTCTACGATGGAGTGGGCGGTGCCATGAGAAGATCTGAGGGGGACAGCGACGAAGAAATGGAAGTTGATTCGGAAGACGAGGCAGCAAACTCTGACGTGGGCGAGATGAAAGCACCTCCATCCTTGGATTCGAGGGGTTCGGCGAGTTCAAAAATCAGTGTCGGTGGAGAGTGGATAGACGAATTGTTTGTTACTGGGCTTGTTCTGAGGCCAGTTACTGACCTTACCGGTCATTACACGAGGATTGGCCAGTTTAGCTTCAGCAACTTTCCCAACGAGGTTGTGGGATATCAAGATGAGGATAGAAACTTTTACAGAGAGACTAAGGATTTCTTCCAAAGCACGGGCGAAGCGACTGCCAAGTTGGCTTGTATCAGAACGGATGTCAGCGATGAGGACCCGGAGCAAAAGTTTGTAATCAGTATCAAATAGTCTTGCGTACCTTCCGAGCCTGAGCTAGCGCTGGCCCTCGTGATAATTCCATCTGCCGACGTATTGAGAGGCTGACACGGAAAGGACATCGTATCTTCTTTATAATTAGAGTACGAAGATCGCCGTTGTCTCTGGAAGAGCGGCAACTTTTGAGCCAATTGGCAGAGGAAATGGCATGGCGGGCAAGTCCAAAGTTTGATGAAAGGCTCCTGTCTCAAGGATAATGAGTGTCATCATTCTCTTATCGGTTATGCCCATCAGTGGGCTACGTATTTGGAGCGCCACGGACTCTTATAGAATTAACTAAGCAAGAATATGCTCGCAAGAATTTTACAAGTATTGACATGAGAGATAGATTATCGATGTCTATGGTTGTTGTTTTCTTTTTCACCGTCCTTAGCTTGGTCAATTTGACTCTAATAATCCAGTCGTCCCTGGTTGGCTCCACGCTTTCAGTGGAGTTTTTGCTTTCTCTATGTAGGTGTCTATCTGTTTGGCACATATTCCTTTCGGCAGGCATGGAAAGATATTGGAGGTATGCTTGATGAGAATCCTTCTACAGCTATGTTTGTAGTGTGGGGTTTCCTGGATGGGCTTCGTTTTGGCGATAGTCGCTCTTATTGCAAAATGCAAGAAGGATTCGATTGGATGGTGGTGGTGGTGGTGGAGGCTGTATCCGTGCCGCGTATTTGAGTTTCTGGCATACAGCTCGGTGGCCGCCGATTTTTTTCTGCTCCTCGATGGCTTGCTTTTACCGTCTCCATTGCGAAAGGCGGGCAATCCGTAGCTTTTCGCAGAATAGCGCCATGCAAGGCCTGGACACTTAATCATCCGGCTTTCACGGAACTGTGCTGAAAATTCTGAAACGTCGAGACATAAGAGAATTCGAGGGGAGTGATAGGAGCAATAGGATATACCAAACCTGACATCACATAACAATGAATACCTAGGTACGAAAGCAACGTTGAGAAAGCAACGTTGAGACATTCATCACGAATTCCCAGAGGCCTAAAGGTGGGACAAGAAGCACAAAGAAGGGTCTCTGGCGCAAGCGAGGGATAACCATGAGATGGTAACACAGACAATGAGTCCGATGTCGAGCCCCTCGCAGACGTAGACCCGACTGATATGGCGGTTGCAATATTCTGTGCCCTCTCCTTCGAGGCGGTCGCGGTAAAATAAGCCTTTGACGAAAAGTTGAAAGTTGACTTGCGAGCTTGCCGAAGTGCTTGGATAGGTCAAGTGTATGAATGCGCGAAGGAAGATGTGTGTGATGCAGCAGGGATCTGACGAGCCGCTCGTTCCGAAGCCAAGAAGTCATCAACATGAAACATGATAGAGTTTTCCTTCCGCACAGCTATAGCCTTTGGCAATAGAGCTTATTTTGCCTTCCGTCTCCATTGTGTTGAGATGTCGAGTCTGATATCTTCCATTGTTGCTTTTTACTGTAAACTCGAACTCTTACCCATATACTCTTAATTCGAGCGCCTAATTAGCTGTGTGCCCCTGCTTTAACGTCGTTACTAGGTGATGGACAGTTTAGAAGCCAGGAGCTACCCCTGATTTTTGCCTTATGTAGATGTTCTGGGCTGAGATCTCAGCCTTTTGCTTCGGAAAGGAGCCGCGCGGTATGTGTGAAGGATTCTGATGGTAGATTTGATCGAGATCATCCTGGCATGTGGACCCTCGTAGGAGGGACTTTGGGTTGCCCTAGATCCTGATTAGATAGACCTGTGTTGTTATTGGTGAGCTCGGGTATGCACTTATTCCTCCTCAGGGTTTTCATTTGAATTACGCTCGGAAGAGGTTAGTATGATGCAGAATGTAACCCCACGTCCAGAAGCGACAGCCGGTCAAAAAGTTCCAAGAGTGAGCAATGAGAATAAAAGCGCAATGCGAACACAACGCCATTCATCCTATTTAGTACAACTTTTTTGCGGTAGCAAAGTCTTATCAAGTTCTACAGGGGCTTAAACAGTAGTTTTGAAAGAATTGCCTCGATATCAAGATGGGTACAGAGTGATACAGCGTCCTGGATTTGGAGAGTGCATGGAATCCCATGAGTATCTAGCTCTTCCGACCAGGAAAGGAACTAGCTCGCGAACTAGCCAATAGCTTGCAGTAAGCTGAATAAATAGTGAGTTTCACATTTGAAGAGGCGGCATTGGAAGTTGTTAGCTCATGATAGTCACACTCTTTCTCTTTTTTCGATTACTATAGCTTAGAGAGACGCTTTGAGAATTAGCGATGGAGAGCAGTTGGTACTTTATTTAGCAGCCTTGGATGTTTGCTTTGATTTAATCTTCGGTGGGCAACTCTAGCCGGGCCAACTATTTCTTCAAGGCACTTGTCGAACCGTTTCCTCGTGGAAGAAAACACCAGGGCATCTGCACTACCCTTCATAATGCATCGGTACATACTTCTCCCGAGGTAGACACGCCTCGATGGCCATCTGACGACTTGTACTCCTGGGATACTACCTCCCATTTTCAACAGAGTGTGGTAAGCTGCTGACGTGGGAGTGCATAATAGCGTCAAATCAAGTTGGTATGTAATCACATAAAGCAGCCCGAGCCCCCATTCAGGTTCGTCTACACGGCAAGGATTGATCGCGAAAAAAATAAATATCGCGTCGAGCCTAGTCATCAGTTCCAGTTACGCAGCTCTGGGTACTGCTTTCAACATACGGAAGACTTAAGGAAGGCAATTTTGAACTGGAATCGATCTAACATGACTGCGTCAGATCCGGCTACTTGGCTAGCCATCCTTGCTGGTCTAGGACTATCCCTGTTCCTTTGGTCTTGGAAATCAGCCAAATCAACACCACCGCTTCCTCCTGGTCCCCGGCCGCTTCCATTGGTGGGGAATATTCTAGACCTACCGCCGAAAGGTGAACCAGATCATCTATTCTGGCTCAAGCACCGAGAGAAGTATGGCCCTGTTAGCTCGGTGACTGTTATGGGCGGGACAATCGTCATTCTCAATGATAAAGATGCCGCGTTTGAGCTCATGGAGAAGATGGCAATAAAGAACTCATCGCGGCCCCATATGGAATTTTGTTTTGGAATGTGAGTTCTCAATATTCAGATTGACGGGCAAAAATTAATTCGTTCTTATGGCAGGTGTGGGTATAATCGCTTTGCGACTGGGATGCCATATGATGACACTCTGCGGCGTCATCGGAAACTTATTCACCAGTATATTGGCACCTCAGCTTCAGTCATTGCCTTGAGAAAAGTCCAGGAAAGAGAGATCAGCCGGACGCTCTTGCGACTCTTGGAGACTCCTGAGAGGTTGATAGAGCATGTCAGGACGTAAGTGATAATCATTCTGTGTTCGAGGCTAAGTAGTAACAAGATTTCGCATCTAGCCAAGTCGGGGCCACGGTTATTGAGCTGACCTATGGATATTCCATGGAGACAAAACAACCTGACCCTGTGCTACAACTCGTGTCTCGCTGGGTAGACATCTTCTGTGCAACGGTGATCCCAGGGAAATGGCTAGTGGATTTATTTCCTTTTATGAAGCATCTCCCAAGCTGGTTTCCAGGTGCTGAATTCCAAAACATTGCTAAAAGATGGAGGAAGGAAGTCTTCGCAGCAGCGGATGTCCCATTCCAATTCGCCAAAATCCAGTGGGAAAATAACAGCAACCGCCCCTCATTTGTCTCATATTCCCTTGATCGGGCCGGTGATGACATCGACCCTGAACTAGAATCCGATATCAACTTATCAGCTGCAAACCTATACGGAGCTGCATCCGACACCACCGTTTCGACTTTGAGCTTCGCTTACTTGGCCCTAATAAAACATCCAGATATCTTGCGCAAGGCCCAAAAGGAGATCGATGAGGTTGTGGGTTCAGAGCGTCTACCAACTTTCGAGGACCGCGCGAAACTAGTCTACCTGGAAAGTGTCATTAAGGAAGCCTATCGATGGCATCCTACTGCGCCAATAGGTGTGGCACACAAGAGCGATGCTGATCAGATTTTCCGGGGGTTCTTTATCCCGAAAGATTCAATCTTGTTACCGAATGCTTGGTGGTATGCGCATGATCCCAACAGATATCACGAGCCGGAGCGCTTCAACCCGGAGAGGTTCTTAGCCCCTTACAACGAGCCCGACCCAAAAGAATACGTCTTTGGCATTGGCCGCCGTATCTGTCCTGGCAAGACCTTCGCTGATGCCAACATCTGGTTGACTATAGCCCAGACGATTGCAGTTTTTGACGTTCTTAAGGCGGTTGATGAACACGGTGTCCCCGTGGAGCCCATTGTCCAACCGATCACGGAACTGGTTACGCACCCGGCTAAATTTCCATTCCAGATCAAGCCGCGAAGCCAGAAGCATGAAGAGATGATCAGGCGTATTGCCCAGCCATCTGCGTCTGAGAAGAGTGACCTTGAACTCCTTGAACAATTGGGGGTTTTGAATAAATAAGAGGCTGCTGGTTTATGAGTCTCGGCGTGTGCTTGGGCGTTTCAATTCCGCTGGTTTGGCGTGTGAATGTAAGGAGCGGGAATGAGCTAGTTAGTTGACTTGGTGAAAATAAAAGGAGAGTTCGTTCTAAAACACTGGCTTCCACCAGGCTTGACTTTAAATACCAGGAGTAGGAGATGTTTGGTTTTGTCGAATCAAACCGCTTATATTTGGTCTAGACGTCCATTGCATGTCCCGAAGATGCAAAAACGTGGTATCAAGATTGCTCGTAGGATGTGTCTAATTTCTTACGCTCTATAGATTGAATACGGACAAGTAACGTCTGAAAATTATTACTAAAATTAGTTCAAAAAAGCAGAACAATATTTAATATACCAGGCCAAAGCTAACTACTTTCGTTCAGTTGAGTCAAGATCATCCAACCAGTCCAGATCGTCCTCAAGGATATCTAAGTCCTCGCCAAACCATTCGTCATCCCAAACATGGTCCAAATCTGCCAGCCGCTCATCATCAGAATCCAAGAGAGTATCAGGGAGGTCAAGCAGGTTATCCTGGCCAAAGAGCGATTCATCGAAGCCATACTCGAGAGGGTCTGCTTTGTACTTGACCTCGACGTCGTCATCATACTCGGACCAGGCGCCATCAATTGGCGTGGTGACGCTAAGTAGAAGCAAGTTGCACTTATCGACATCGCCATTGGTGATGCTGTACTTGACATCTGGAGACTCCAGAATCGCGATACCGGCTTCTGTGTCCTCACCAATAAGATAGATTTTGGCTCCTTGGCCGTCTTTGTACGTGCAAATGGCAGGGAAGAACAGATTATCATCCTGATCAACGGCTGCCAGCATGCTGGGACCGGCATTATCCCCGTCTTCATCGCTGTAGTAGAATGGAACGAGACCGCTTGGGGGTTAGGTTAGCATCTAATTACTTCAAAGCAGTCGAAAACGGTGGATGAGCATCGCACGAGGCGAGAAGCCAAGTAATGGGACAACTTACACATAGACAGATCCTCCAGGGACTGTGTCTTCGTCCGTGAAGCGAAGACGACTGACGCCCACCACAGACATAGTGTTATTATAATAGTGCAGCATACCGCCACCAGGAGACTGTAGCACAGTTTCGTCAAGACCTGCCCAAAGCGTAGTGCAAGTCATGTACCATGGGAGGTCATTGACGGTCGAATTCTTCTGTATATAGACATTGCCATCATTGCAGGCAGCCAGTACATACGAGTGATCATTGTCATTATTGACGCTGATTGTAGAGAACCAGAAACCCTCGAACTCTTCATCGCTAAGTTTATAGGGGGTGTCGATAATGGTAGCCTTGTTGAAATCCAGCTGGTCGGTTTCTTCAACGACGTATTCAGTTAGATCGTAAGATTCCTCGTCGGCGCCGCTGGCCGATTCCTCCCGAGCCTCCAGCTCGTCAAGACCCTCTGAGATCTCGCCAGCGAGTGACCGCGTTTTAGTCTTGTCGTCGGCGGGGCCTTGCCAGCCGATGCGGCCCTTGGAAGTCCCATCTGTCTTGTTGCCAATGCAGTACGAAGCAAGGACATAGTTAGGAGTCTCGTACAATTTCCAGTCCTTTTTGACCAAGCCGAAGCCCTTGAGCTTGCCTGCGACCTCATTGCGCACGGAGATAGTGGTGGAAATGCCAGTGCAGTTATTGACCGCTTTGAGCCCGGCGTCCAGGTTCTTGGCGACCACTTTCCCCTTTTCTGTACCAGAAATAGGGATAGTTGCATTACCAGAGGCCTCGACAGCAACCGTGGCTGCCGCCTTGATTGATGGCGTGGTGGCAATGCCGATACTGCCTTTGCAGTAAGTACACCCACTGAAGAAGGTGAGGCCGACATCTAGACCCAGGGGGACGCCGAATTGCGCAGCCAGTGTGACCGAACCCTCAGCTGCAAAGCTTGGCACGAATTCAGGCTTGAAGGAGCTGGAACCAATGCGACCTGACTTGTAGTCGTAATGGAACCGGGCCTCAGTGAACTTCACATCGCCACGGGCCAAAACGGAGCCTTCCATATTGACGCTGTACTTCATCTCAGTGCCGATACTAAGCATTGGACCGATAGTGGCGAAGCCAATAGTAAAGGGTGAGACTGGGATATCATAGAGATCCTTGCTGAATGTGTTCTCAAGTGTATGTTGCGCATAAATGCCAAGGCCAAGGCCAATGGAAAGGTTGATGATACCTTCAACCTTGCCATCCGTGATACCCTTGAGCCCATTGATGGTGACATTGCCAGCCATCTCCAGGGAACCCTTAACACCGCAATTCACGCAGTAGAAGTTAATAAACTTGCCCTTGTTAACAGTTGTCTGCCTCCTACTGCCCTCCGGACGAAGGTTGAAGTCCTTAGGGGCGTTACCAATGGACTTGATGAGTAGTGCATTCTCCCCCCATGGGCTCTCAACCCCTTTGGCCTTGGACTCGCTCTTGGCCTTGCAGGCATTCTTTATGCTTTCCCTCTCCTTGGGGTCCTTGCTCTTCGCCTTCTCCTCGCAATCCTTTTTAGGCAGCGGTAGCAGCAGCTCCTTCTTTTTCAGCTTAAAATCATTGGGCTTGCCCTCCCAAATATTTTTAACAGTCTCAAAGGTCTTTTTGGCAGCATTTGCACCCTTCTGGAGCGTCTCTGCCACTTTTTTACCCTTTTCGAACACCGTTTTCTTGGTATCCCCAGCGGTCTTAATGAACTTGGTTCGAAGCTGCTCCGCCTTTTGCTTTGCCTTGTCCTTGATGTTGCCAATTAAACCCTTCTTCTCTGCTCTCTTAGAGACAGCCACATCATTTACTTCCAAATCTAAAAGCATCTCAGAAGTGCCAGGTACTTCACTGGCATGGAAAATACCAAGACCAGTATCGAGCTCACTGTCAAAGTCGGGTCCGGTACAAACAGTGGGAAGCTTGTACTTGGTATCGACGGGCGCCACGCACGCAGGGGTCCGGTCGCTAAGGGAGAGGCTTGTGGGAGAGGGGATGACCTCGGTGTTGGACGTCGCAGTGGGGGCAACTGTGTAGGATTGGCCGTAGTTGCCCCAGGCGAGGTTGATATCCTCAACGACGTCCTGGATGCGGACGGCTTCACCCTGGGCGCGGGCAGACAGAGACGCGAGGTCGAAGGCGACCTCCTTGGCATGGAAGTAACACCGCTCGCCGAGCTTGTAGTTGCCGCAGTCCTCGGTGTAGGAGACGAAGATGATGTTGCTGCCAACCCAACGGCCTTCGCCGTGGTCGAAGGCGTCCTTGTTGGCGAAGATTATAACGAGTTCTCGGTTGCGGTTCATATTCACATCGACGACGAGGCCGGAGTGGTCGAGAACTACAGACGGGTACAGCCACCTGGGAACGGCGACGGCGAATATCCCGCCAGAATCTGTTGATTACAACACGGCATCGGTTAAAACCCTAGTTTGATGTAACAATATGGTTTGGGCATACTCACTGTCCGAGGAAGGCTGTACATAGTGCAGAGGGGCGCCGGTCCCCTGGTCATGGGGACTGAGGTGCTCCACGTCGTAGACATTGTGATATTCGGGGAGTGATGGTTGAAGCGTGGCAATAGGCCCGAGCTTATCGGAAGGGAACTGATATTCAGAAGATGTGTGGGAGGGTACAACCGTGTTCGATGCGGCAGTGTCTGATGTGGAACTAGTTGTAACAGAAGCCAATGTAACCGCTGAGGGGGTCGTTTTGGTCGAGGAAAGAATCGACGGAACAACGCTAGAGGATGTGTTGAAGACGGCAGTTCCGTTTCCTGATAAGCCAACGTTTCTCGGCATACGAGGGTAGTCGGCTAGAGCCACCGAGGCCCCAAGGAGCCAGAGAATCGCGTTCCGCATGATCATTTGACGGATGAGCATATGCCTGGGCTGCTGAACAAGCGATGTATAGCCTTTCAAGGTCTAGCCATATAGCACGATGCAGCAACTGCGGGGGAAAAAGAGAGTAGTAAACTCAATCTCAAGGAGTGAATGGTCGATCTCCAGCAAGCGTCAATAGGGGCGAGACCAAAAGCCAAGCTGAAGGGCTCGTGCCTGCCATTTATCTTTGAAATTGATAATGTTTACCTGACAAACGCTAAATCGAATGGCCTAAGAACACAATAGTCTAGAACCACATTCCGGGGCCCTTCCTTGGGCATATTCCCGTACTATTGAATATGCACAAGCAACGCCCACCCGCATAGGTATCGTGTCAAACAGCGAACGGCCAGGAATGGCGGCGTGAGCCTCGGAGATGTACTTAGAACAGGAGTCGATAGTTGAGACTGTGCTAGGCATCGCTAGCAAAGGGCTGAACAGAACCTTGACCATGCCGTTCTAGCCTCTTTCTTTGGCCAATCACTCCCCCAGAAGGGCCGAGGCATGTTAACGCCGCAATTCCAACCGTTGGCCTCAATGCAAGCCTCAGCTGCAGCTTGTCAACGTGGCGTCCACTAGTGGCTGCCTTCGCGGTAAAGCTCGGGAGTGGCTGCAAGGATGCGCCACGGCATCGAACTCGTAAACCCTAGTTGGACTACAGACTACTGAATATTTGCATGAGCATTGACTTTCTGGGTGCTGTCTCGTCGGATCACATGGCATGGACAGTGGAACTAAGCGAGCAAACATTCGCTAGTTGGTAAGCTCTAACCCTAAAATTAAGATATTGGTAAAGTGTCAAATCCGCACAGATGGACCAGGACGGTTTCTTCTCGCTCTCCTTTTTCTTCATTTTTGGAAATCAAGGCTAGTGGAGAGCTAGATGGGAAGCGGGCAGGTCAGCCATTCGATTGCCACCCGGGGTGTTCTTCTTTTGGTTTAGCAACATGTCAAATCTGTCTAGACGGGCCAGGGCAGTCTCCTCTCTCCCTTCTTTCCTTCATTTTTTTCCCAGCCACGACAGTGACAATAACACTCCACTCGCCCAGACACGAACAGCCGGTTCTGGCTCTGGCTAGTGTCGGATCAATTTCCCACTCAGGTTCGGTAGGTGGGGGTGGGTAGGGACAGGGAAGTCTTTTCGAAAATTCCAGGGTACATAAAAGGTTTAATTGGTCGCTCAGCGTCACCGCTACTTTAGTCTGTTTCGGTGATTGGCATGATTATTGATATATTGCTCCATTCTGGTACATCGATATCTACCCTAAAGGCATTGCCGTAACGAGAGGTGCATGATTCAAATCTCTGGCTGAATAGTTGGAGTGGACATCGTTCCGGACCTTGTGCAGCTGAATAACTGTGCATGCATTGTTATCTATCTACTTGCATGTGGTCCACCCTGTGACGGTATGGATTCTCAGTTCTGAGAGTTTGCCGTTACTGAAGATAGGATAGTTACCTTCACCTTCTCCAACCGTTCTGGGTCTACATTCAAGTTTAAGCGAAAAATACTTTTTTTAAGAAAAAGGCTTAGCAATAAAAGGAAAATTTTGATTGTTAACAAATTACTTGGACAAGGCTGTTATCTTATAAGACTAAGTTTAAAGAGTTCTAGCCGCTCATAAGTGACTGCAGGAACATGTCACCATCGAATAGCTCCAGAGAATTTTCCCAGCTCATATTGAAATGATCTCCTTCATGCCATGGGAAATAATCCGGAGCTAGGCTGCCACCTTCATTAACAATGGGGGATGAGCTCTGTCTCCCCCAAGCCTCCGTAGAAAACACGCTGGTTGCGCTAGCTTTAGGTGGTCTACTGATGATTAGCTTAACTCAATACTCCAAATGCTGCCGTTTAAATACCCTTCTTCTCCAGTCATATCCACTTGGGAAGGCTGGGACCCTAGCTCGTTGGGGCTATTGTCAACTCCATTTCGAGCTTGTTGTTGGGTGTCTCTGGGCCCGATGGTCAAAGAGTACGGAAAAGAGGCTACTGGCCGGGCCTTCTTCTCGGTGTCTGACATTAAGCATCGCAGAAGGATCGAGTAGCGGAATGCGGGGTGAGCAGCGTCGATACTACAAGTCTCAAGCGTTGAAATTGTCTCCCTTAGCGTATATTCTAACTGATTTTGATAATCTCGGTCTGGTATCCCTGACCTCAAAACCTGTTTTTGATGAGATGAGTAACATGACTCAGCGTGGAGTGGTTTTCTTTATGTCAACTTACTTGCATGATGAATACTGCTGCAAATACAATTTTCACGTAATATCTCGAGCTGGCGTAGAGCAATGTTGTGTGAGTGGATAGGATGTGAAAGTCGAGTAACAAGCGAAGTAGAATATTCGCCGCATCAAGAGCCTGCTCCAAATAGTAGGCTGGGGACGAAGATGGAAACTCCCATTTATTGTAAGCCGTATTCTCAGAAATTCTGGAGAGATCTTTTGCGCTAGCGACAGTGTCCTTCCGATCTCTCAAACAAGCTCCTAGGCTTGGGGAAAATTGATAAAGCCTCAGATACTCGTAGTCTGCCTTCAACATCTGTTGTGAGAAGGTTGACATGCCTGGAGCCGCCGCTTCAAATCCTGTGCTTTAGTAGTTTGTTTGGGAACTCGTAATATTGGGGATCTTACTTTCAAATAATTTACAATATTTTGCTTTCCAATCTCCTCTCAAGTTATCGAAGTATTGGAGCAGAGTCACGAGTTGCGATGTGGCTTTCGACGCTTGTGTTTTGGCCCCGTCGGTATCATCCGTTGCTGAAGGATGAAGGACCTCTTGACCTTGTGCGAGAAGTTTCATTAATTCGACAAACGCTTCGTGAAACTCGTTAGATACCCCAAGGCTCAATTCTCGGGCCTCATTTGGATTCCTTCCCTCCCCAGCTAGCCGCATGTTGCGTTTGTCGAAAGCTTCTGATATTTGAGCCATGTCTACTTCACCAAATCTCATCAAGGATTGTCTTCCGAGGCGGCGGGCTAGTGATTGAGACATGATGAGGCAACTGAATACCGTGATTGAGTATCTATCTGAGCTCTTGATAATAGGACAATACCGTTTGTCTTGTGAGAGTGAGCGTAGGAGCAGAAATGCGTTTCCAACGTATGACCTATATTAAAACTGATAAATATTTTGAAAACAAAAAAAATAGCTAAGGCAATGAGTTACCAAGCAACGTGGTCCGTTCGGAACGCTGGTTGTAATAGCTGTTTGCTCATGAACTCAGTAGTTTGTGACATTTGATTGTCACTACCACGATGGCGCTGATCGGGAACATCGACACTGGCGTGAATAGACCTTGGCATCCATTCTGCTAGCATAAGGAGAGACTCCACAACAGATAGCATTGCCTTGGGACGACTGCCTTCAAAGATGACTTTAGATATCTCTTTTTTGACCCAGTCCCAACACCTGCTGTGGATCTCGCAACTTCTTTCAAAGCCACCAATTGCGCTCTTGGGGAGATGATAGTAACGGCTAGACACTGTAATAATACATCCTAGAAGGATATTATCATCTTCAAAGAGCGTTCTAATGGTATCTAAGTCGGGCTTGGAGCTGGTCACGCAAAGGTAGTACACGTCGGGGATGAATGGGAAGAAAGGATAGAGTTTCAAGAAGAAAAAGCGTAGATAGGTCAAGGCCTCATTCGCGAGGATATGGCTTTCCCAAAACAGACGACAACTAAACGTAGAGACCTCGTTCTGAAACCTTTCGCTCCTCCATGGAGAGGTCGACGGGTCGCTAAAAGTCTCATCGATCGAAGACGCTGGATGAGAATAAGTGCCTTTGGTTTGAGTTGTGTGATCTAATCCGTTTGGCGAAGTGGCCACATCCTGATGTCTCGCGGCTACATCCGACAAGACCAAGAGGGCATCTGCTGAACTTCGAACACCAAAATCCCTCTCTTCTGTGCTGTTTTTGTTAACTTGAATAGGACTTATCGCGGATCTCGAAGCTGGGCTATAGGATTCAGATGGGGTGTCGTCTGCGTGGATTGGTCGCTTGCGTTTACTTTTTTTCAAACGGTTGCTTGAGTTATAAACCCTGTTCTTGATTTCAAAAATACACGGAATACCATCCCTAATCTGGGATTAGTAATATCTTTATACCTGGTATCGACTGGGTTTTATAGCTCCTTACTTTCGACATTGTTTACAGTCTGATCCGCTGGATCTATCCTCAATTATGCATCGAACCTTCCGAGATTGGCAAGCGGAACAGGCCTTATAGACCCGACCGTGAGGAAAAGAGCTATTTATGTTTTGGGGATTCTGATGCTCCATGGGCTGGTCCATTGATGGCGGAGGCAATGGTAAGATACGGTGAAAGCTTGCTAGAAGGTGGCGGAAATTTCGGAAGGTTCGGGTGGGATCACACCCCTTTATATATGGATATCTGAGGTGATTAGTGATTAGCTCCACCACAACCCCCAGCTTAATAATGCGGGGAAGCCTGGATATAGTTCGCCCTGCTAGCGGAAAAAAACTGCCTCTACCGCACAGGTAATTCATTCTCACACTCGTCCACGAGAAATTAGAAAAGAATCGTACAAACTCCTGAACCTTTATTTGAGATTAAATGTTAAAATATTTAGGTGTCAGGTCTTTAGGGACTCTGGATTTGGTTGTGTTTTCATAGCCGAGACATACTCGATCAGAGTCTCATCATATATTTCGACAAGTAGTAGCTTAGCATCAAGCATTCGGGGGTTAGAGTGTATACGATTGGATTAAATACGCGAAGCAATGAGACTTCCTCTGCCGCTAACTGTTGCCCAAATTTTTCTCCGCTGGAATAGGTGAGCAACAACTTTGAGTTCACAGTGCATTGGGTTTCATCAAGTGAGAAGCAGCAGAAATGTCTAACTCTGTTCCCTATTTACACTAATTGTTAACTGTCCATGTCCCGACTTTCATAAGCGCCCCTAAAGAGGGTTAATACTATGAATAGTTTGAATTCCCGTCGCCTTGGCCTTTCCTCTTGCATTAATGATAGCAATTTGATTCTTTAAGCGCCAAGGAATATCCAGTGCGCTCATATGCACTTCTAATAGTTGGATGCTAGTGGCAGATAGATAGTCATCTAAAGAAAGGACTGCTTCCATTTCTTCTTTAGTTCGAACCTCACGAGATGATTGTTCTGGATATTCGGCGCCAAAGAAATTCAGTAGCAGTTGATATTTCCAGGTTGAAATATCATTATAGCCTGCATTTGGGCCATGAATAGCTCTCTCAATGGTGTAGCCTCTGTTATTGATAACAATACTACAACTGTGTTAGCTTCTTTATGTGGAATAGGAACCTGATGACACCTACATCAATGGATTGAGACCCAGGCGAATCATTGTACCAATCTCTTGAACGGTCAATTGCAAACTACCGTCCCCAACTACGAGGATAGTTCTACCGGGGCATCCTGATTCCGTCTTTCGCTCTCTTTGAGCCAGAGCCACGCCAAGACAAGCTCCGACAGAGTATCCGATACTTCCGTAGTACACTTGCGTCACGTATTTCGCCCCTGTTGGGAACTTGGCGTCAGGAAATCCAAATTGGGCTGTGCCGGATTCTGCGATCAAAACATCTCCCTTTTTGGTAAAGGCGCCCAGTCGCTTCCAAATCCAGGATTGTGTGATGGTCTCTGATTCGGATTCTACCTCTGCTGGCTGATCAGGAAGACTGGGGAGCGGAACCGCACGCCTCTCTAGGGATCCTAGACTTGTTAATAGTCTTCGTAAAACTACTTTTGTCAATTGCAACTCCACCTTCAGCTCTGGAGTGGGGACGTACATGGTCTGAGATAAATACCATCGTGCTTCTGCCCAAAAACCTGTTGTTTGTCCGAGGTCAACATTCTGTATCGGGGCGATATGAGAAGCCATAGTCGGCACCTACTGTACAGCTTTTTGGCTCAATTAGTATAACCCGTGAATCATCAATATTCCTGGTAAGGCCACCAGTGTTGCTGTCTGCTAGGAGTGGCCCCAAATTGAGGATACAGTCACTTTCTTCAACCGCACTTTTCACTCCAGGATACGACACGGACCCATTATAGATGCCAAAATAGTATGGATGGTCTTCGCTAATGATTGTCTTGCCCATGGACGTCGAGAAGATGGGGAATTGAAGCAGATCTGCCAATTCTCTTGCTTCCTCCAGCCCTTGATGGCGATCAGTCAAGCAGTCGACTAGCAAGACCGGGCGACGAGCATTTTGGATAGCCTCAACAACTTTTGAGACAGCCCGTGTTTCCTGATGTTTGTCGACCGGAAAATCTGCTTTGATCGGCGTGAGGAGAGGTTCCGCATCAACAGGAACGTGGACAAAGTCCATCGGAACAAAAATATAAACCGGAAGAGAGTCAACCAGACATTTCATGATCACTCTCTGGTTTAGTTGTTAGAGAGGGGAGATACATACAAATTAATCACACTCACATCAATTTCAGCTGCAGCTGTGGCAGGGTCATCTAGCCATGCATGTGCGCAACGAACGTGGCTTGATATCTTCTCAAAGACCTTGCCTCACAGTTAACATCTATTATTTGGTCTTTGAAAGGTATTCATTTACCTTGTGATCTGGATTGGGACCTAAATTATGGTGTATCATGAGACGCTTGGCTTGAACATGTGTTGCAGTAGTGCCGACAATATGGATCAGCTTGACCTCGGTGTAGGCGCCAGCCACCCCATTCAAGGCACTTAGTTCACCAACACCCATGGTAGTGACCACTGACAGTATTGATCGTCAGTGAGGCTGACGAATGATGGAGTCTCTGGGGGTATCTCACCGACTCCTGGACTTCCTTTGACCCTAGCATAGCCATCAGCAGCGTAGGCAGCATTGAGCTCATTGGCGTTTCCGACTAAATGATAATGAGCAGATATAAAGTATGAGAAAGGCCGACTCTCTTACCCCAAAAAAGCCCATCAACGTCATAGAGATAGTCGAGAAGCTCGAGGTTCATGTCACCTGGGACGCCCATGATGCTCTGGGTGCCGAGTTGCCTGATTCTAAACGACAAATTAGATGCTAGAAAATAGGTCAGACAGAGATTAGATAACTTACCGTCGCCATAAGTAGAGAGATAGTGGAATTTGAGTTTCGTCGGCGGCCGGCATATTGGTGAGAAAATAGGGATTGATCTGAAAAAGAATGTTTGCTGTAATGGATATTGAGATGGATTCCTTTGTTTAGGTTGGATGTGAGGTGCCTAAATAAAACAACTCACCATTACACGACGGAAAATTGCCATATCTATTAAATCGTTCAATGCAAACTACTTGCCTGATCCCTCTGCCGCCGAAAAAACGACGGTAACCGAACTTTCCGAAATTCCCGAAAACTGCGAACTTCCCGGTCCTTTCAGTATCACTCCAGCCAACTACTTCCAATTGTGCCAAGGTGGAAGGAAACGGGAACTTTAAAATGGAATTACGGAATAGTACCGAGTTCTTGCAGAATGATTTATATACGTATGCCAATTTTTACAAATTAACGCGTTTGCGTCTCCCCTACAGCTTCATCTGCCCCTCCTTGCACTAGCACGGATCAAAGTAGTAATCATCATCAAACACTGAATATCGAAAATGCCGTCGGTTGAATCTCTTGCTGCTTCCAAGAGAAAGGATTCTGTATATCCGTATCCATTGGAACGTGGCTTAAAGCACAACGAATCTGCTGTTCAGCTACGCAAGATGATGGTCGACGCGCACCTTGACCCAAACACCATCGTCCAGCATCCCATTGCATGGGACGGATTGACGGCACGGCTCGTTGAGGAGGCCAACTTTCCCATGGTCTTTCTCGGTGGCTATGCTGTGAGTGCATCTCATGGTCTGGCAGATGCTGGTCATCTCGGCTTCGCTGAGATGGTCAATAGATGTGTCGAGGTTTGCCGTGTTGTCAATGTGCCAGTGATGGTCGATGGGGACACTGGTTACGGGAATGAAGTCAATGTTTGGCGTACTGTACAAGGGTATGCTCGAGCAGGAGCTGCAGGTATCATGATTGAAGATCAACTCAGCCCGAAGCGTGAGTTTCTGGCCTCGCTTCATACCACCTACAATTTAGATGATATACTAACCGGGGCTTCCAGGTTGCGGTCATACAAAGGATAAGCAAGTGGTAGGATTTGACGAGGCAGTCTCGAGAATCCGCGCCGCTGTGGCAGCCCGCAATGAAGGCACGGACATCTTCATCCTAGCACGCACTGACGCCCATATCATCTCTTACGAAGAAGCTATCGGGCGGGCGAAAGCTTTCTTTGCCGAAGGGGCTGATGCGGTGGCTATAGAAGCTGTCACGACTGTCGAGGAAATGAGACAATCTCGATTGGACTTGGGCCCCAATGTTCCCTCGTTCATTAATGTCATAGAGGGTGGAAAGACGCCCGCCCTGTCATATAATGAGCTTGCGTCCATGGGGTATTGCAGTGTTGCCTATCCTCTGACAATGCTCGCGGCCGGCATCAAGGCTATGAGAGCATCTCTTGATGGCCTACACCGCAAAGACAGAGGCCCCCAGATGAACATGGATTTTCAAGACGTTTGTACCGCTGTGGGCTTCCAGCAATACTGGGATTTGGCGGACAAATATGTTAAATAGCCATCCGCATTGTAGTCGTTGAAATTTCATTAAATTATCACTGTAGTCCAAACCCTATGAGTATCAGTAAAACCGCAAAACCTATCTTAGAAACTGTAAATTCATGATCGATGTAGTCACCGAACGGAAACAATAAATCTCAATGCCGTTCATTGGCCCCGACACGGAACGCTCGCAAGTACAACAAGTTCGAGAGCAAGACGTGTCTATGAAAGAGTGATATTCGGCACATATGAGCTTCGAGACATTTGATTCAGCGGCTTCAGACGACCAAAAGAGTTTCTTCCAACAGCCTACAACCAAAATCCCGAGAAACCCACCCCCATTTCGGAAAAAGAGTGCATCATTTCCCCGCAAACCCCAGACCTGAACTATGTTATCTCGTGGGGGGGGGGGGGTTTATGGGAAGGAATTCCGTTTCCGCACGACTCGGAAATTTGGGTTTTGTCTCCTCTGTGTGTAGAAGTATGTCGCCCATGTTCATATATGTAAATCACCTACCAACCGCACACGAGGTACTGGTTTAACAAGTTTGACTTTTGAACATCTAATTCCATCTGATCAGAACATCCTTCTCCCACAACACAATGGCAGAACTTGGAAACAGAGACAAAGTCAGCGTGATACACGACGAAGCACGAGATATGGACAAGCCAAGAGATGCAACGATCACTGTCTCGCGGAAGATAGAGTCCATCATTAGGAAGAAGGTATGTGGATTCATGGCTTATCATGAGCAGACGCTTATTTGTACATCTTGTCCTAGATCGACCGCCACATGCTTCATCTAGTTTGTGTCCTTTATGTTTTGTCTTACTTGGATCGCGGCAATATAGGAAATGCTAAAACTGCAGGAGCACAAGATGATCTCCGTTTGAACGATTCCCAGGTTTGCGAACGCCTGTATCATATATTCAGATATTTCTAGTCCACTAATACTTTAGAAGTGGGCATGGGTTCTTAATTCCTTTTACATCACTTACACTCTTTTCGAATGGACAACCCTCCTGTGGAAGCTTTTGCCAGCACATTTGTATATTGCTGGCCTCAGTCTGATGCGAGTTGGAGTTTAGGGTTGGATTCAGACGTCGCTCATAATCTTAGGTGGGGAATAGTCGCTACATGCACCGGAACTGTCAAGAATATGGCAGGAATATGTGCGTGCCGTGCCGCTTTAGGCATTCTCGAGGCTGCTTTCGATGCAGGAGCACCATACTTTCTCTCATTGTTTTACCAGCGAAAAGAACTCGACCTTCGTGTTGCAATCTTGATTGGCATGTCACCGTTGGCCAATTGCTTCGCTTCATCTCTGGCCTACGGAATATCGCAAATTCACTCTTCGGTTGAGACTTGAAGGCTTATTCTGTTAATTGGTAATTTCCCCTCGGCTCAATTACCGAATTCTTGCGATATTAACTGATATTTCCAGAGGGGGCGCCGCCAATTATTCTCGCGCCATTCGTCTATTTCTTCCTTCCCGACTCACCACAACAAGCCAAGTTTTAATGAAGAGGAAAAGGAGGCATCTGTTACTCGCTTGGGCACAAGGGATACGACAAAGAAAGAGAAACTTAATTGGAATCAAGTTGCGGCTGGCTTGGGTGATTACCAACTTTACGTTCATGCCATGATTCATTTTTTCTGCAATTACTCATTCGCCAGCCTCGCTAATTTTCTTCCTACCATTGTCCAGAACCTTGGATACTCCAGCATCCAAGCCCAAGGACTGACGGCTCCGCCATACGCCGCCTCATTTCTGGTGTGTCTTGCCGCGGCTTTCTTCTCCGACAAATTCGGGCACAGGGGCTACGTTATTGCCGGTTTATCTACCGTCGCTGGAGTAGGATATCTATCACTCGCTATGATAGAGGATCAAGCAAAGAACAACATCCGATATCTTGGGGTCTGGCTTGCAGTCATAGGAGTGTTCCCCTGCCTGGCACTCAACCATACCTGGGTACTCAACAACCAAGGAGGTGAAACAAAACGAGGTGTGGGCTTGGCCGTTATTGCCATCCTTGGTCAGTGCAGCTCCTTTGTGAGCAGCATTTTATATCCGAAATCAGACGCGTGAGTGCCTCATTCTGCAATTGCGTGATATCAAGACCTGACTGAATCTTTAGCCCTTACTTTGTCAAAGGTTGTGCAACAGGCTGTGCCTTGACGTTTATGATTACCATCCTGTCTCTCGGTTTACACTTTAAACTCGCCCATGAGAATCGTAAGCGAGATAGAGATTTTGGCCCTGTGGAGGGCTATGGACAGCTCGATGTGACAACACTGGGAGATAAGCATCCTCAATTTAGGTACTTCACTTAACGGTTTGGCTAGCTTCTGATTCAAGGTCATTCAGGAGTATAAAAAAATCAGTTGCAAGAGCCAGGAATCATTTTCTTCGTGAGTCTGGTCCAAAGACCTAATATCTGAGCAGGTGATGTGGAGATTGGAAGCGCACAGATGCACTTGGATAAATTGAAAACAATGTTTCGACTTTGGCAATACAATAGGCAGTGAATACATTTCAGTTGATTTATGGTTTAAACTAAAGGATTATTTAGACACTCTATCATCTGCTAAGAGCGAGAAAGAATTATCCTTTTAAAAGCGGAGGTCAGTATCTAAGAAACCTATTTCGAGTGAGAGTTCGAGTAGAAAGTGAAAAACACCACTGTAAAATCCCAGACCCGAAATCTCAACACAATGAGCTTGGTTACGTTACAGATTGCCCCTATTACAAAGCAGCTTGCCAAGGGCTTATGTGTACTTTTATCCACCTGCTCTGGCAAACATCCTCGGGACAAGGAGGATATTATGCAGTCAGCAAAGAGGATGGAGGTGTGCTGCAAGGCGACCACTGCCAAGACTCATTAAGAAAAGACACGGGCGAACCAAGCACGGGACCTTTGCATGCAACTTCTAGCTGGATCCCCTAGGAAGTGATCGGCTGGTCGCTAAAGCAACATAGGATTAGATCTATACCTCTTTTGATATTCTATTATATTCAATAAAACTAAATCTACAAGGCTTAAAGTCTTTATAGTAGATTTATATTAAGTAAATATATATAATATATATATAAAATAATTTTTATCTCTATTTATTATAATATAAAGGAAAAAGATTAAGATAGAAAGTATATGGGGAGGTATCTTGAGCTAGCAGGGGATTTGTCAGTGAGATTGAAACTTTCAGGGGTTAGAGTGTATGCAGGTCAGCGCTTACATGCGCAAGGACGTGTTCTTTAAAATTATCATGCAAGTTTCTTTTCTTTCGTCCTAGTCAATACTGGATCGATATTAAGCACGTGCGTCCGCTTGATGTTAAAGCGCTCATCTTGGCTTTCATCGGTACTGTTCGTCTGAAAGCTAATAATAATCGATATTCCTTCAGAAGAAACTTCGTTCTGTTCATTTTTCTAGCGACAGAGTCATACTGCCCTCACAAGCCATGAGTCGCGTAAGCTCCATCATCGTGGCAGTCATAATGCTTATTTGCCCTGCGAAATGCTGGCCGACCTCACAGTTCGACCAGTTCTTCCCCAGTTGGAATGGTATGCTCCAGGAGATGCTCCAGGACTCATGTAGTGACTGGCTGGCTGGTTATAAGAACCAAACAGAAAATGCATACAGAGTTGTAGACTGTCTTTTAGACGAACTTAAAGAGTATCGCAAAATCGAGATGGCAGCCAGTGCTGTTAATCCTTGGTCTACTTCCCATGATCCTGCAGAGCTTGGACAACTCGACAGTAGATCTGGCGCTCCTGGGAATTCGACGACCACTACTCGCTATACTGCTCTCCATATCAAATCCTGCATCATCAATGACCAGCAGCGACACTTGGATCCCGCTGTCCATCGATAGGCGATTAGCGCCTTCTTCGAGCCCGACTATAAAGCTACCTTTACGTTATAGTTTGTTTTGCCGGGTTCTGGTGACTGTTATAGAGTATTTGCTCGCCGTTATTGCGGTTGCCAACATCATCTTGATAATCCACGAGCTTTCAGTCCATGCCATTATCGCATTCGCCCCAAAGACGTTCGTTTTACTACCAGTCTGGCTGGGCCTCGCTTTCATCATACATGTCGCTTCGACTCTCATTTTAGCTCTACGGGTCCGGATAATACATCCAGCAATTCGAAGGCAATGTTTCCCATCGTGGATTCATCGCGAGTTTGTGCCCTGCGTTCTCCATCCCCCTGCGAGGGCAGAATCTAGGGGCGGAAAGAATAGCTGTCTAGCCTTCCTCGGCCTTCGCTGGCTACTCGATATTGGTATTCTCGCACATACCATTCTTGGCACACTTCTCTTCTCGAGCCTACTTTTTTTCAGCGTCGCTGATTCAATTGTGGTTGTGGGGAGGTTTGCCGCAAGCGCTCTTGCTTGTAAGACTATTCTCAGCTTGGAGATGTCAAGGATGATTGAGGTTGAAACGGAAGATGAAATTGAGGATTATTTATTGCAAAGCTGTTATCAGTCTCGTGAGGGCTAAAGTCTTACAAGTCTGGGGAGGGAGGATAGGAATGAACATCACTTATCGTGATCATCTATGTCTGAATAGACGAGTTATACATCTGCAAGCCACGAGTAGCCGAGTGTAGAACAAGTCTCCACGAGGGAGCATCTAAACAGTGTTTGTCGGTTAAAATGCAGGTTTGGTCACCAACTATCATGTCTTCCAACCCATTTACCCACTACTGGTGTAACTAGTCCATTGCAACGTCTGTAGCTCCTGGGAGGTGACAACCAGATATGGCACGGCATAGTGCTTCATGAGTCCGAGTTTCGGGCTTGGACGAAGCAACTCCGCCAGCTACGCACTCTGGTGGCGTTGGGAAGTCCACCAACTCCACGAGTCCAACTCCACTTGCAACTCCGCGGGACGATGTTTATCCACTCCAGAACATTATATATATAATGGCCAAAGCCTCGTCGTATAAACGCATCATGGGCTGCAGAATCAATCTCTTATCTGAACATTTGCATCTGTCATCTCACTACCATAAAGTCAACTTACGCCCTCAAAAAACGATTTGACATTCGCCGCCATGATTGTTGTAGCTATCGCTGGAGGAACAGGAGCAGTGGGCAGGACAATTGTCGAGCAGCTACAGCTCCATGGACCTCACCATAAAGTCTTCGTTATGGGGCGCAAGGTATGGTATACCTAGCATATGGGCAGTTTACTTGTGGCTCACTTATCTAACAGGCTCCAACCGAATCTATCGCCGGCTGTCTCGAGTTTCTCCAAGTCGATTACGAAGACGTCAGCTCTCTAACCAAGATTCTGGAGGACCGGAAGATTGATACCGTGATATCGACAGTCAATTTGAAGACTGAACCTGCAAGTCAGTCGCAACTGAACCTCATCCAGGCGGCCGATAAGTCTTGCACGACCCACCGTTTCATTCCCAGCGAATTCCTATCATTCATAGATGAAAAGTATGTAACTCTTCATGCGAATGAATATTTCCTGTTTACTCACATGCTCAACGCAAACAACAGTGACCCAGCGTCTGGACTTGCAATAGGTGGATGGATCCCCAACGCACTGGCTCTGAAGAAGACGAAACTCCAGTACGTTCGAATCTCCGTCGGCATGTTCTCCGACTACTGGGGAATGCCACACATTAAGAGCAACCTCCTGCCCTTTCGCGTTTTCTTGGACATGGAAAAGGGCAAAGCGGTGATTCCTAGTACGGGCGATGATAAATTTACCGTCACTTACAGCGAAGACCTTGCCCGAGTCATTGTCCGCCTTCTTGACACGGACAAGTGGCCTGAGCGCCTCTTTTTATCAGTTTCTGATATTTCCATGAATGAACTGGTTGCATGCGCCGAGAAAATCCGGGGTATGTCATGCTGCTCTTCCGTAGCCTTAGCTCTCAGATATCGTTACCTGACACTTGTACCTAGGCTCTAGAATTGACGTGGTGTATGATACGGCTGAAAAACTAGGAAAAGGAGAAGCTAGCCTTGTATGGCACCCAGAAGGCATCCCGGAGAGCGAGTTCATGCCTCTGCTAGTAGGGTTCTCTCTTATGATGATATGTGGTGCTGGTATCCTGCCGCATGACAACTGCAGGGTTGACAAACTCTTTCCGGATCTTCATCTAACAACGGTAGAGGAACTTCTAGCTACAGCTTGGCAGGGTAGGTAGACCCTTTGGCGAAACTGCTATTGCGTGATAAGAGGCTCAAAAAGGGTGTAAAGAGTGAAGACGTGGGAAAGTGCCAAAGAAACGAGCCAACCAAATTTCCAGTCAAATTTCAGCAATTTCGTCAATAGTCCCAATACCCAAAGGTCTTTGTTGTTGGACTATTTTTCTCCTTCAGTGCTGGCCAGTTGAGTCACATTACTAGTATCATTCACATAGAACAGGATGAGTTCATGGTTCACGGGCTCAGAGACGATGGCAGCTAGCTGCAGAAATAAATTACGGCTAATTGGCCTAGGGAATCTTATTTACTTGAGGATCCAGTTCGTTTCCTTGCAAGGGCGCTCAGAGCCTCTCGGCGAGATACCGAGTTGGGGTCGTAGTACGGCTTCTCGCCGATGGAAACGACTCGATTGCCTTGGCGTACACCCTCGTAGTCGCTGGAATATGTTAGTGAGCAATCTTAAGTCGATGGGGCAGAGCTACCTTACTTTGTTGGAGTGTGGAAGGCCGAACGACTAGGGGCAGTTAGTCGAATGCATTTACACGGGGCGTGTCTAATAATACTCACTTGTCCCAGATAGCAACGTCACCAGCGTTCCATCGGAAGCGAACCTGAATGTCGTGGTTTTTGGCGATGATGTCGTAAACTATTGGGTTCCGTCAATTTTATCCAAGGGTAGGTATGAGGTGGAATAGAACTCACAGTAAGCTTTAATCAGCTCGCTCTCATGCTCCGTCACGCCGTCAATCCAACCCTTCTCCACCTGGGCACCGAGTCCATACAGGCTCTTCCATCTGTAGAATAATCAGTGACTGCTCAGACTACTGTGGCAGAATGGTAATAATATTCACCCCGTCACTGGGTTTGTCCGCACAACAGGGCTATAGCTGATTAGCGAATGTATAATATCGAATGTAGGCCCATACTCACTGCGAAGCCTTGAAGTCCAGCCCAGTATTCTCAGGAGACCAAAGCTCGCCGTTGATGAGCTCAACACCGTGCTTTTTCACAACTTCTAGGACATTAGGCTTGCAAAAGGTCAGCTGCTGACTAAATGACCTCGTCCGTCCTTGATCAAAACACACCTGATGATGGGTTGCAGTCAGACCCTCGGCAAACCTTTGCCAAATAGTTGACAAGCGCTCATAGACCTCGTACCCTGATGCCCAGAGGGTATCACCACCAGGTTCGTTGGCTGGAACTGTGTGAATACGCAGGATTGAGTAGTCAGACGGAACTCGCTCAAAAGAAACGCTTGCCACATGTCAGCTAATTGCTTATTCCTGTTACAAGTCCCATACACAAAGAAAGGAAGGATGGCTGCTTACTCGGAATGCCATTCCTTGCTTGCAAACTGCTTTGAGAAACCGGAAAACCTCTCTTTGTAGAATTTTCGAGTTTGCTAGACAGATTGGGTTAATATCAACACTCATCGCACATATTTTTGTAAGAGACATACCTCCGATGAGATTACAGAGATCTCGTCGTCCAGAGTTCCCTTATCATCGACAGCGATGCCTCTCTTGCTGTTAGACAGGACGTGCTTGTGGAGCTAAGGTGGGCAGATATCTCATTAATACAATTGTCTCAATCTTTCAATACCTTTAGGATAAATCATACCTTTGAAGTTTTTTGTCTTCGCAAAAAGCTCACCCAGTTTACTGAGTCGGGGCCCACTTGTCAATTTGGCCGGGTTAGATAAATTAGCTATTTTTCAGCATCCGTAGAAAACGACATCCTTTTCACCTATTATTATTTTTGCTTTTGAAAATCCCTTCTTATAAAAGATGTGTCTTTTAGCAATATTACGGCGGCTACAATAGGTCAATTGACGAGCTGTAAACGTGAACTATTTGATCAAATGAGAATGCATACAAAACTCAAAACCTCCTTTTTATAGCTGTTGTGGAAGGTTGTTAGATTTTGGTGCGGTTCGCAGTCTACATTTCAAGTTCGCAAACAGCCGTGGTGTTGTTTGTATTTCCCCCAACATATTACGAGTAAGGGCCTTCTGATCCGGGACAGTTATATCCTGGCTACGGAAGAAAACAACACCGCGCCGAGAGACTAGCATATTTATTAGACAATTTCCATGGTGATGTCCATGCGCGTTCACTCTTCCTATCAACTTACCAGTGATGGCTAGGTCCCTGATTTTTCCGCTGTACTTCAAAGGCTCACGGATGGCTGACTGGCTCGACATTGTAAGCTTCGCCTGTACCGGGACTGTGGTAGTGGCGCGGCTAGTATCGACATCTGTAGCAGGTGGAGCCATGGCTTTGATATCTCGAATAAATGAGAGCAAGAGCCGTAAGTAGACAAGGGCATGATTGACAAGTAGCCTGTAATGTGTGATAACCATTGCATTCGTTCATGCTGCGTTGAATGACAGTGTTGGCATCCGAAACCACTCGACTTGGCCCATGATATACAGGTTGGCGGAGGTTAAGAGCAAAGCTTGATAACATCAGGCACTGACCGAAAATGCAGACGCTGGAAGACCAACCCAGTTCTGGGCTATGATACACACCAAGATGTTCCCGACCGGCTACATTACACCGCACGCTTCCACCGGGCACATCTTCAAAAGGTTCTTTTAGACGCTGTCCCCAAAACTGTTATCCACCTGAAGAAGCGAAGTTTTGGTTTAGAACTAGACCATAACAGTGTTACTATTAATTTTGAAGACGGCAGTTCTGTCACACAGGACTTGGTCGTTGTTTCGGATGGCATTCATTCGGTAGGTTTTTTTATGACATGACGCTAGCCCTTCCATGGGAGCCGCTACATTTTGTCTCTATCCATGCTATCAAGTCGTAAGTGAGACACCCGCTCTAGGCCATCCGCCAACAACTGTTGCCAGATCACAAGAATTTCCTTACAGGGTGGACTTCATTTCGTGCTGTTTATGACCTGTCTTTGCTAGAAAGATTCCGGAATAGTCAAGAAGGGAGATACCCACAGAAGCTCTCCATTATGTTGGTCCTGGTAAGATCCACTCGGTTGGATAGTGTCTTTGAGCTATTTGAGTGCCAACTGATGCTCGTGTAGATCGTACTTTCTTTGCGACTCCTCTCGGTATGACGCAAACCTACCCAACACCAACGTAGCTACCAATGTTGACTTGGAGTTTCATGTGGGATAGGGGGAAATTTGATTGCCGTTGTTGGTGGTTACGCAGCTGCGCAGACAGCAGACAACGAGCAGTGGAATGCTGCCAGTGAGTCTAGGCTGAGGATAAATAGGATTGGACCCCTACTGTAAGGGCACTGATCGAGGCTGCTCCATCAGTTCGGTCTTATCCCGGCCCCACTCTGGAAGCACAGCGCGGCAATGGGTCTTCAACAGTCGAATTGTTTTGACCGGTGATGCAGCGCATCCAATAGGCCATGCCGGTTTCGGAGCTGGTATGGCCATTGATGATGCACTGGCCCTATTTATGGCTCCTGATAGAATCCAACTGGGTTCCGAAACAATAGGTACTGGCTTGGAGAACGCCTTAGATCTGTTTCAGACGGTGCGAAAGCCACATGTAGACCGTTTGGGTGATTTCTTGGCGCGAACAGGCAAAGCAAAGTCTATCTATGGGAAGCATCTTTCTGAGGAACAGATTCTAGAGTGGGTGAACGGTCGTGAGAACACGGCTTGGATTCATGAGCATGATATTAATGCCGCGTTTGAGTTGGTGAATTCTGTGCCGCAGTAAGGGGGGATGTTTTCAGGTGGCACTATGTGACTAGCAAAAATTGCCAGCCTTATATGCTTGGAAAATATATTACTGTGAGCTATTGTTGACTAAACTTTCTGGCTAGGGGGATTTGTAGTCGGCATGCAGGCTGTCGATGAAACAATGTCAGTGTCTTAAGAAAACCGTCCCAACTGGCAATATTGGCAATCCTTGCAGTATGCTTAATCTAATGCTAGATATCAGGAACTAGCATAACTTGACGAGGCTGCTTCCTCCCCCTTCCTTTGAAGTCAAGCTTTCTGTTCACCATGATTAGATGGAGCACGATAACTCTACCAACGCCACAGAGGCTTTCACGATGTGTGCTGGAGCCCACGTGGCCCAGTGGTGCACACATGCACCTATAATTCTGAAATAGTCCAAATCGTTTATAGGACATTACTCGAAGCTACCGCTGCGACATGCTTGGAGACTGGACGGAAATCGGTTGTTTGAGGCCCAATCGCAAATATGGCAGTCTAGATCTTGTCGCCACTGTGGTCTCTAACCCTAGATTAACCTCCTATCTACAAGATCAAGTTTATACGCTTGGATGGTAGGCAAGTGAGCCAGCAAACAAGGCTTTACAAGGAATACAATCCCTAGCTCTATATAACAACCCTTACTTAGGAGTTACGCCACCGGCATCCTACAGGATTCCGCAGACCAAGGGTAAATTCCCATGCGTTTGCGGCACATGTTTGATCGGCATGTCTTATCCTACACTTGCCAACCCGATTGGCAGGCTCGTATGGCACGCCGAAAGAATTAATTAGCCGTCCCTGCACATTTGTCAAGGCTGACGGGGTTCGCACAGCCGTTCGGCCAAAGCCTCTTCCCAGCCGGCTCATTGAAATTCATGCTCTTCGTCTTGACTTTGGAATGTCACCAAAAAATGTCGCCGATTGGTTCGCTCGGACTTATCCTGGTATCTGGTTGAGAATGTCATAAATTGCCTTGTTTCATCTCATTTCCTGTCTCACCTTGTTAGAATACGTAGGAGCATTCGGACTGCGACCTGGGTAGCTGAATTTGGTCAAAGAGGTAAATTTCCTCGATATTGGGCTTCATAATGTTTGTTGAGCTTTCAGTTGAACCTTATATAAAGCTCGTCTTATCACGCCATTTTTCTGCGCTCAACTACTCATCCAACACGCCAACCTGCAAGCTTCGATCCCTGTACATTGTTCTTGATACTCGTCTACTGGTCTTTCATCTTGACTTTCACCATGCGCTTCAACATTTTCTACGTCGCGATTATTTCCAAAGCCTGCATGGCCGTCGCGATTCCCGACACCCATGAATCTGACCTCGAGACACGCCAGTGTACATTTGTCAAATGTGCCGATGGTGTATGGAGGGTAGGTTAATTGTCCATCACAGGATAGCTCGTGCGATTGCTAACTCAGTTGATCCAAAGTGCAGTTGGGAGTGCTGAGGCGTTCACGGGAGAGAGAGTCCGAGTATAAAGTTAAACAACACTAAAAGACGACATACCCGACATCTCAATAAAGCGAATGCTAAGGCGTTCGCAGTGTTGCTGATTGGCTCTCACTCTTCGACTTCAATTGGCTTGTATGTTAGCATCAGTAACCCACAGGTGTATTGTTACATGCCTACCTTAGTTAAAGTAGTGCCTGAAATGTCTTCAATTAAAGTTGCTTTTATATCATGAACTCATATAACCTGATTCCTTAACCCTCAAAAGTTGAGGACCGAAATGTAAGCTTCGGATAAGCTACTCCATGGTCACATAGAGTAAGGCTTTCACTGTAGATGTTGCTGTTGCTATTGGCCGCCTGTGCAGCCACCATAACACTGTTGTCGTGGCGGAGGACCTGGAGGAAGGAAATCGCTCCGCTCGTGGCTTGCTTTCATAAATTCATATCTCACTCTAGTGAACAAGGCAATTATCTGCGTACGACAAATCCGGTGTACTGGAGTGGAGGATCTGTTCCCATCTAAGCACGAAAAATATCCTGGTATCGTGTCCCTACTCGTGGGGAGCGCTTATTGCACAGCCCTAAGTGAAACCCATATTTGATAAGGTTGGCTTTTAGAGAGAATGCCTTAGGGGACCTAGATGAGAATCCCGACGCCAACTCAGCCTTGGACTTTCGAGGGCTGAAGGGACGAAAATGAAGACCAGAATTTTGTGAAAAAATCTCCTCCGCTAAGCCCTCCTCAGCCTGAGCCTCTTAATCTACCGCAGTATTCATGTATTCATGGTGTCACTTAGTGGCTCCACAGAGCGGCTGTGAAATCCTGCATGGAAAACCACTGCCCATAGAGCACGAGGATTTCCACCTTTACGCAACCTCGTTCTTATCTGCCAACTCTCACCTTAAAGGTAGTCTTCTTGGCGTAAACATATCTCTTTTAATCAAGAAAGAGGTCCCCTATAGTTTGCATTTCACCGCTTAATATAAGCTGCATTATCTATTTGTTAAGAAAACATAGGCTAACACTGTCAAGCGCCAGTGAGAATTTCGTAGTACCATGCTACTCCACGATCACCTACGAGACCACTTATACTATGCATCCAATCGCGATATTATACTTTCTTGAAATTAGCATTCTTCGATGCAGTCGTAACCTATACTAACTATAGACTTGTAAGGCGAAGAAGAAAAAATAGGGAATCGGTTGAACAACCCTCAAGGTCAGACTAGTGCACCACTGTTGAAGGGGGCTAATCTCTGAAAGGACTTGCGATAGATCATGCGGACTTGCAGGACTAATATTTCAAACCTTGGGACATGGGGAAAATTGAATAGTCATGGACAAACCATCGCAACTTTTAAGAGCTAAAACTTGCTCACCATCCTCTCTCCAGCCTCAGATATCCTCCGCAGCGGCACCCTCACAAACACCTTTCTCCTTCTCTGCCCGCTCCTTTCCTGCTTCCTCTGCTTCCCATCTCTCAAACTGATTATCAGACAGCTGGTCCGTCACTACCAACATTGGGATGTGGAGTCTGGACAAGTGGTAATATTTGACCAACCTCCTGCTCATAAAGTCCACATACGGATTACTATCCTCGACTGCACCAGACTTTCCCAGTACTCGCAGGCTGGGGACAGACACAAAGTCGACACGCGCGCCCTCGCAAGGGGATTCGGTCTCCGGGAAGTGGCCATCAGATTCCATGAGTGTTTTATCAGTAGTGAACAGAAAGCCACTCTTCTGACCCGATGAGGGACAACACATCTCGATCCTGCAATCCCACCTAGATGCCAGCATTTGGCGGTCAATAAGAATAGCCTGCTTGGCAATACTCAGCAGTGTTTTCTCAATGATTTTATCGTCTGCGCCTTTAGCAGCAAAGGAGGGTTCCAGATGGTCACGCAGAGTTTGCTTAACCAACTTAGGATCAACATGGTCCCCGTTGAATGCGTACAGCATTCGCACCGACTCACTCCTCCACGCGTAGAAGGACAAGGTGAAATCGTTGTCTATTGAATCGACCTGTTCTGTGGCCATACAGAATAATCAGTATTGGTGATAGAATGAAGACGTTGGAAGGAGAACGGAGTGATTGAGAGGAGTCGTGTCAAAGAATGTAAAAGATACCTCTAAATTTGGAGTGGAATCGACCGAAACTCTTCCAGTCATCACCGAACCATCTCTTACTAGATGGCGAGAAAATGCAGTCCAGAAGTATATGCCAAATCCAAGCTGAATAGATGCAAAGTGATCCATATTGATGGTCGCGCTTCTTGCAAAAGTCAATGTAGTCCTTTGCGAGAGGAAACCAAGTGTCGAGTGATTCTTTGCCTCGATCGTCGACGTACTCCCATGAGATAATCTTGGGCAATGTTTTCTTAACTAGCCTCCGTATCTCGCCTTTGAGCCCCTCCCACCATTGGTTTTCAAGTGTTGGGATGTCGTCGGCATGGTCCTGTCGATAGTTCCAGCGAAGCGTCGCGTCTTTCGGGAGACGCGGCAACACAACGTGGTTCTTCCAGGTCTGCATATCTAGGCTCGGTCCATTCGATCCGTCCCCTGTTCTGACAACTTTCTCTTTGCCTTGAAGGGCAGTTGTAAGTGACTCCTTACGCTTCATGGAAGGGTCGCCTTGGTTCTCTTCCGGGTTGATAATGCATTTTTCAGCGTTGGAGGCCATTTTGCGAGACTATGGACGAGTCAATTATTGATTAGGAGAAAAGGCTGATGTTAAGAGAAATTACATTGTGATGAAGGAGGGGAAAAAAATGTATGGACTATATATATGAAAAAGGTCAGGTCCTGGAGGGGTGCGTGAATCAGAACAAAGACGGACTGACAAAGGCCAGGTCCTAACGGGCGGGGTCCGTGAGTCAGAACAAACACGGGCGAACGCTTGACCACACTATAGATAGAATCACTCACTTATTAAGCTCTCCACCTCGTACAAGGGATGGATTGACTTGACTCAATTTGAACGCCTTTATTTCCATTTCCCGTCAAAACAGGCGGCCTCGCAGAACCAACTGGAACCTTCAGCAATGATCATACGACTTCATAATTCCCTCTTACATTTCGGCCCAATTTCTGCACGTTCGGAAATTGTTTCATTACGCAAGAGAGGGGTAAAGCTGGTGTGGCGGCGGCTGTGTAGGACATGACGATTAGATCACACCGAAAATCGAATAGTATTGGCCGTCAGCTCCGATAAACCACCTCAACTTCCGAAGGCTTGCAGGAGGAAATGAGTTTTCCATGCCCGATAATCTCACCGCATGCGTGGTGTAGCAGCTCCGTGCCGCAAGGGGTAATTACAATGACGATGGATTGCCTGCACGTCCTCGTCTATGGAAAACCCCACCAAACAAGAGAAAGAGAGAACCAGTCGGTACGACTATGCACTCGTATCGCGTTACCTATCTGTTTCAACCTAGTCCCATTTGGAATCAGGGGGCATCTGTATGAAAAAATAACTTGCCGCGGCAGCTTGCCAAACAGACAGGAATCAGCCCGGCAGTCCCACAGTGACAGAACTAGGAAGGGATAGTCATCAAGTCAGGCTTCATGTTGACCACACTTGCCAACTTCAACGAAGAGCTCGGTTGTCTTTGGGCCGCGGTTTTCGTCGGTACGGCTGGCGCATCAACCAATTTCGTGCAACTTTGACCAGGATCAATGGGGCGATACATGTAGATTCTCTTCTCGTATTCACGTTGTGAGATGTCGGGTGTAGCATCTTTCATGCCGTTCTCGTTGGCCCCGCGCCGTGGCGTTCAGCCATCGGGTAAAATTTGTTCTGAGAATTGTCCAGCTGGATAGGCGTCCGTAGCGCTCCCGCCCCAGGGTCTACCTCTTTTGCAACGGCCACACTTCGATCAACCAATCTTGCTCTTGGCCGAACCACCTCTTTATCTTGACAACACCCGTCACCTGATGAAACCACCCATCTTTGTCATGAAAATATCCTCTCTGTGTGTTTTCAGTAAGCGATACTCTTATCCAAAACCCCAAAATTGCTCTTCTTTCCATTCACCGTTAGCCCATTCATAATGGCTTCACCCATTGATACGGAGATGACCTCCTGTACATGCCACCACAAAAAGGCTTTCGTCGGAATTGATATGGGAGCTACGTAAGCCACACTCCCGCTCACGTGCCGCAAGAAGCTCCTTGATTAACGTCACATTAGTCATGCCGGGATCTCGTGCATTACGTACGTGGATTGTCAGGCTTGTGGCAAGAAGCACGACAAGGTCCGACATCACACACTCGTCAACAAGTTTCCAGTGCTGCTCGCCTACGCCTATGATTCCAGCCGCCCGGCTTTCCGCTTCGTTGAGACCAAGGGCAACCTGTATCATCACGAGACGGCACTCTCTAATTTCAAACTCCTCCTACCTGAGATGGACAGCTACCAAAATCAGTGCCACACAGAAGCTATCATTCAGTATATCAACAAGACGACACTCGATGTAGCCACACACCACGGCCATGGTATTGTTGTGGAGATGGTCAAGAAATATCTCGATGGCCTGATCAATTTGATGCTGGAAAAAATGGCCGAGACAGCCCCAGGTATTCTGAAAGAGGACATGAAGATAATACTGACCTACCCCAAATTCTTCCAATCGTCGACCGGAGAAGCATTTACGCTGCTCAGTCAGGCGATTGACTTGCTAGACATGCAGGGCATTCTCTCCATCGATAAGCTCCCAGAGCACAGTGCTGCTCTCAAGGCGTCTCTTTATTTCGCAGGCGGGGATCTGTGGAGACACCAAATGGTAACCGTTCCCTTTCAATTCATGATTCATTACCCGAGAAGCTTGGCTCACCATCTAACAGGCGAATGCATGGGTGGTAGTCGCTGACTGCGGTGGCATGACGATAGTACGTCGGCGGTTTTGTTTATTCTCCTTCGTTTCGTGATTGCCTACTCGTATCATCCTTGCTAACTAGCCGAACAGGATGCCGTTTTGTACCGCATTCCGGCACCAAACACGGCTGAAGACACAACTCAATTCCACCAACTCAGTTCGAGTCTGGGTGGAGGCGTTTGGGTTGATCAGGCCATCGATATGTATGCTAGGCAACACTTAAGAACCTGGCCTGGCGGACATGATTACAGCCTATTCGAGATGCGTGTTCAGCAAGTCATGGATCACTGGCACAGAGTCATCAAGCCCGAATTCGAGCCGGACGACAGGTTACCCGCGCTTGCACTCGGCAATGGTTTGTTCTTTGAGTATCCCCGGTATGTTGACTATCCTGATTTGTTATTTGTTCCTCGCAAAGGCTATCCTCCGGGCGAGCTTTCATCCCATGTGTCGGTGAAGGGTAGTGAATTGACAGCATGTTCACGTGTAGGGACGTAATCATTAAGGCTTTCAATGATGTGATTGAGATCATCTACAATGCCGTCAGTGAGTTATGGCATGCACGCGGACTCAACGGCATGCATCCTAAGGTAGGAAGACCCCCAAATCGCTTTCGCCTCCCATTCTAGGACTGACATCGACCATCAAGGGACTCATCCTAAGCGGGGGCCTGGCGCAGCAAGAATACCTCAAGGATCAATTGTTGGAGAAACTCCGGCGAAAGATCGATCGGAACCTCAACATCATTCCGGAAATTCCACAAGATTCGTATGTCCCCTACCTACTGTGTGATGCCATTTAGTACGTGCTGCTAACATCTTTAGCTGGAATTGGGTGGCATCCGGAGCAGCTCTCTCTGGGCTCTCCAGCACATCCCTATTTAGTCACTCAGCTGAGTATGCTGGTTTAGGGAATTGAGAACTTAGATGACGGCTCGCCCGTGTATCTGATGGTCATAGATGTAGACAGATTGTCTGAGCCGCCCATTGGGGATCATTTTTTGAATTTTGTAGATTTACTGGGAAATCACCAAAGAAGGGATACGACAGCATTTCAATAATCCCCACCTTGGAGAGTTAAGAATACAATTGTGGTCCAACTAAGAGTCCGGGGATGCCAGGATAAATAATCTTCGTCATGCGCTTCAAACGTAGCTAAATGCAAGACAAACTCAGCCGTGCGGTCTCAATGCCCCAAGACTTGCCGTTCTTGCTAAACCGTTGCCTCCAGCTGTGTAAGTCTGATTTTAAAGCAATATATTATTTTACAAAGCTAAACAAAGCATAAAGGGACTTTTTAAAGGGAGGGTCAAATCGGCGGTAATAGGCTTTTGCAAAATGTAGATTTTATACTCTTAGCGATGGTTTTCCCATAGTGGTTTTCCCATAGTTGTTACATGAATATGGAGAGTATTAGTTGAGACTGGTTTGCTTCGATCCTTTCTAAAATTTACATGTGATTTCAAATGGATCTATTCCAAATGCCTCCCTGACCTCTTGTATTGACAAGGGACAGCCGGATCATATCTGCAGCGAGTGATCATCTTAACACTGAACAGTCCGTTCGGCGCTGCAGCAATCGCTTATCATGATAATAGACAGCCGGATCATGCTACGGGAAGTTATAGATATAAGTCATTACTTATTGAGGTATAATAAGTAATTCCTAAGAACATAATCTTACTATCTACTATTGAAGTAAATAATTACTATAGATATAATTAGACGTAGACAGCCATGTGGCCGCCTTTCAATGCCACATTATTTTGACAGCTGGGCAAATTACAGTGTCTACCTTGTGTCTCGCATTCTTGATCTTCTTGCCGCAGAGCCAACGACACCTCTCGGGTTTCCTATTCGAAGCAACCCTCCCTTCAGAGTAAATTGGGTCCAACTATGTAACTACATTGCTGACTGGTATGATTTTCGACGAGCAGCCCTACATCCATCCCTTCGTCGAACATGAAGCCATTTTCCACCATCTTGCTCTCAAATTCGGCTGGCATATCTGGCAACTAACGGTCTATGCTGATACTGCAAAATCAACCGCCAAAGCCACGATCAACTCCCAAGCCGCGCATCATACTGTGGCACGCACGGCACCTATGCTCAATTAGCATCTAAAGTTATCATCGTAGGGCATGGACCAATAGAATTCAGCCTCTCTGGTTCGCTGGCCAATGTATGAGCCATCCAGCTGAGCACAAGGCCATTCCTGATCTTTTGTACTAAATAGACAAAGGGCTCATATTGGAAGACGAAGTGGCGAACCGATGACCGGAAGGAAATTTGGGGGGATCGGGGGAGTGAGCGATGGGACTTCGGTCCTTCCGCAAAGTCTACGATAGGCTAAACCGAAGATAAAAAGTTGTTTTAGCGATTGACGTACATTGAGCTTTTTTTTTAATGTGTTAAGGAAGGTGGTGGCATTATTGGCGACGTAGTATTCTATTCATTCGACAGCAACTTACAATAACTGCTATTGCAATTCTCTTTGGGAACCAAACCGTGTTTTGGGAGTCAACTGTAAGAAGCAATTAATCTGTGATCTTTTGGCTATTTCCACAACCATCCTATACACGCACGATCTGACTCTGGCTAGCCTCAGTCAAAAGCCCATTCTTGGATCGCAGACGTTGTATCATCTTTCCGATGGTAGGAATTCGGTCATGCTTTTGATGTAAAATATCCAAATCAAGTCCATGAAGATTTCTAACCACGCGATGCCAGGCGATTCGAGCATCTCTACTTAGCCGGCCTCCCCATGAGTTCTCAAAGCGGATTATGCATTTCCGGTCTTCAATCTCGTAAAGAAAAATACACTGGTGCTCCCGAGAAAAATCCCAAAGCTCCATGGATCCAAGTGTTGGCATTTTCGCAGCAGCAGCTGCCGCCGTTGTGATCAGTAAGTTGAAGGAGTCTGGACTCAACATCTTCGACGTTAGAGATAGTTCTGTGAGGTCAGACCAGTTGAATCTCCCCTTTACCCATTCGCTAAGGGTACTAGTTTCCCAAAAGGCATGGAAAAAGTCTTTAGCATCAACCATGTGGGCAACGTGTAGTTTCTTAAATTGTCTACTAGTCACACTCAGATGTTCTCCAAGTGCCGGATTGGCGATTCTTTGTCCAAAGTCCGGGCAGTACCAAAGCTGACTTGTTTCGTAAATGCTGACTTGCTTCAAGGTACTGCTGCGGGACTCGAATGCATCGAGCAGTAGATGAGCATGCTCTTGATCCCTGATGTCTCTCCCGGGGACATTGGTGTGCATAACTCCTTGCCAAGGTTCGTAGATAAGCCTCTTAAGACAGACGAGACTTTCAATTATAGGCACAAGCCCTGTGGATACCGAGAAATGTCGGTAACACTGTCTTCGAATCGTCAAGGTCGTGACAACGGAGACCTTTGGCAGCTTACCGTCTGGAGGCATACTGTTCGGAGCTGTTAAGAGAGGCCTATCTAATTCAAGACCATGGGGGTGCCCAAACAACCTCAACTTTGTGCCACAGCTGGTTTTTTTCCTCCGCCCCTGGCGCCAACCGTGAAACTCATCCGTGTGACTTGTTAGCTGTCCGGGGCGGTCTGGAAATTTCCATCGTGTATGGCTTTCCATGCGCGCCAAATTCCGAAAAGAGTGCTGAGAATCGCTGGGCGAATGGGCGCTTAGTTCAAGTTCAATCTCGGTATGGGAAGTGCCCATATGAGCCAATATCAAGAACAAAACGATAATGGGGGTGGTGATTTCAATGTTGTCAGCGATTTGTTCCCTTCCCGATTTAGGTTTTTTGCATCGTGTACAATCATACTGAGGGAGTTCTATCCGTAGCCATATCCATCTCGTGTGATCAAGAGGACGTCTACTGGACTGCATTAGCTCAAATAGAGCAGGGAGGTCGTTTTGATGGATGATGAGGTGTGAAAAGTTGGTGGCCTCGAAGAAGGTGCACCACTCCCGACAAACAGCAGCATAGACGGATTGCCGGTTAAGACGGCTTGCGTTCTCTTTGTGTCGCATTTCTGGGGGTTTGTACTCCCGAATCTTGAAATCTTGAAGCTCACGCAGAATAGCAAGCCGAAGTTCGGCTGGAAGGACAGACCAAGACATGGCGTTCCCTGAGGCCAGTTCTGCCACCAAGAGAAGTAGATTCTTCGAAAATGTAGTGACTGTGGGCGACGATGGAGGGAAAGTTGAACATGAAATGGCTTGGGAGCTTAAAAGAAGAGCAAGTTCTGCCTGAGGAAACGAAGTATTTGTAGCTGCATACCGCCACTTACAGAGATAGTTAAGCCAGGGCGAAAGAGCATGCTTGATATAGAAAGAGGCGTAGTAACAGAGTTCAGCAAAAGACTCACTGGGCGAAAGCTAATATGGCTTAATGGCTAACTTTCTGCTCAGCTGTATCCGCAAACCTTATATTGAGCTTTATAGAAGAACCTATATTCTTTGAAACTTTGAGAATAGGCTGAATTGCTTTCTTCTGTATCAGGTTAGCCTCTTCTTTTATCCACATTTCACGTGGAAGAGCTAAAGCGTTTACTTTGAAGGTAGATAAGTAGGTACAAGGGAATAGCTTCTCGAGGCCTTAGAGTCCCAGAATTGGATAAACACAACTGACTAGATTCTTTCCTGCTCAGGCATTCATAGTGCCGGGAAGACAGCTTGAACCGCAATGTTCATTGACTATCTTGTTTCAAAGTTTGATATCGACCAAGTAACATTCTCTGACTCTATCAAAATGAATTCTTATTTAGGGTGAGAGTTAGCAGTAGGGGTATTAAAGATATTTTTCAGGCATAGAGCCAAGCAGGATACTGAAGGGCCGGTAAGTAGGGTAGATGAGAACAACAAGCTCACTATGACTCGGTTCTCTAATGAAACTGCAATAATATTCTCCCATACCATGACTCTGTGTATAGGAAAGCACTCCTGAAATTGTTCTTCGTACGAGAAGTCTGGCGCTATACTCGAGAGCGTGAGGTAAGTAAGACTCCAGAGCGTTGTAATAGTAAGGAAAGAGTGAAAGTGGAAAACACAGTGTAGTCTAGATTGAGAAGGAAGCGCCCTTCATGCTATATGAATATTTACACAGACATATACTCAAGGCACAGCTTCCTCCAATGCTATTGATGTCGGGCAGGCTCGACGGATATCAATCCATGAAGAAAGTTTGGGTTTGTTATGAATCGAAGAAAATGTTTTCTGGGTTGAACAGATGAAGATTACCTCCATCGAAGATTACCTCCATACTACATCGAAAATATGACTTCACGACGAGGAAATCGCGCTATCGCTTCAAGCGACCATCTACAACATCGCCGTGCTCGCCGGCGTTACCTGCGTGCCCAATTACGGCTTGCCCGCCGACTTCGTCGACCAACAACGCCACCGCCATCGCCATCGCCACAAGAGACATCACCACAGGCCGCTGGGCCTGTCAGTCCTTGTTCAGAGTCCGTTCCCTCCCTTACTCGGAGCGGAGACAGTATCAGCGACGAAAGCGGGTCGTGGAGCCCATCACAATACCGTGTCTGGGAGGAGTTGCGGGCCCGAGTTCGAAGGGCCTTTGCCGATCATGAAAATCGGCAAGACGAGGCTGCTGCAGAGCCAGAGCCAGAGGAGGATGAGGACGAGGACGAGGACGAAGATGCGGAAGAGGAGGAATATGAAGAAGCTCCTTTGTCGGATGAAGATTGGGATGACTTCCAAGCCCGCATAAACGCGCGAGCAGATGAATAATTGTAAAGTCATTGTTTAATCCGTTTTGGCCAACTAATCTAAATTTCTAAACTAACTCAGAATCCAGTTATCTTGTATCGAGATTGATTTTCTACTCCTGGTAGGTATCAGGCCTTCAATACCCTTTAAATGGACGATTTACTCACAGCGGTATTTCGCAGGCATCTATTACAAACATTCTTAAACCCGCCCATTGGGTCGGCCTCCACGCGGCGCTACTGCATTGTTATTAGGATATCCATACAGCCTATTTGACTCGAGAGTCTACATGCCAACATTATCTCTAAATGTAGAGAAAGAGGATAACTCTATGGCCAAAATATTGATATATGATGCTTATTGAAAGGCATCTCAGATTCCAGCAGCCGAAATGATTGGGCGTGTAGTAACCTAGAGCACCTAGTCTCCTTTGGGCACAATCCTTGCCACATGTTAAGCATACCTCTGTGGGGAAGGATACTGCGAGTATGCTATATCTTCCACCCCGTAGGTTTTTGTAGTTTTTACCTTTGCCAATGGCGGATCAAGGTGCTGTACTGGAGGATATCGTTGATCGTTTTGTGGATAATTCTTGTCATTTCCCACGTAGGCCCGCATAGGTGAAGATCGTCCATCATATTCTACATCGTCTGCACCATAAGGTATTGAAGTATTCACCTTTGATAATGGTGGATTGGGGGGCTGCAATGGAGGGTATCTGGGATCGTAATCATAATCATATAGTCGCTGAGTCGGTGATGGTGGCATCGCCCGATTTGACGATGAGATAGGCGAGTTCCTCCAAGTGCGTGGACCCGTGTATGCCTTTCTTAGAGGTCGCGGACCCGCACTGTTCATTCTGTAATCGATTTCATCATAATCCGTGGCCTTTGAGTATTTTATAGGTATAGGTCCAGATTTTGACAGATCCTCGGAGGCCCCTGAAAGTACGCTGTTTCTCCATGCCTCGATATCTCGAGCTACTAAGCCATGGAGATAAGTGGAATCCCCATTCGAGCCATTATCCAGAGAGAAGACATCAGGCATGGTGCTCAAATTTGCTCTGAACATTATCTGGCCGCCATTGAACGTATTGGCTTTCAAAGAGGATATATATTGTGAACAATGATCGTTTAGTCTAGAAGAATTTTGGGGTCAGTATCCTCATTTTAGTTTGAATGGGCACCCCGTCCACTCGAAACTTACGCTGCGTTTCTTGTTATGATGTCTGTGTTCACTCTTGTGGGTGGCCTTGTTGGCGGCCTTGTTAGAGGTTCCACGTAATTTAGGGTGTCGGGTCTTCGTCTATAAGGCTGGGCTTTGGCTGTCTCCCTCTTCTTCTTCTTCTTCTTCTTCTTCCTTAGGGGCTTGGTAAAGTGTTTAGAATATTCTTTTTCGCTCTCAGACTCGGTATTGGGCTGGTGAATTTTCCCCTCATGAATCTCCCTCTCATCATCGGCATAGCCACCCACCGATTCCTGGTAGGTACTGTGGGTTGTCGAGCTAGATTCATTCGAGGATGAGGTTTCATCGCCTTGGGCTCCTCCGCTATTTCCACAAGGTGATGTGTGGTCTTTTTGATCCTCACTGTCTGGATTTTGGAGGCATTCGAAACACGAGGCATGTTTACATGCTGGGCAACAAACTAACCAGGCTTTCGTCTTAGAGTCTTTTACCAGATATACCGGTTCAAATCGACGTTTGCAATTCTGATCCCCACAACGAACCAATGGTTTCCGAGTGATATTGGTGCGTGACTCGACGGAGAGGCCGATCTCGTTCGGAAGCGTCCAGGTGATCGCGTCTGAGCAACAGCTTGGTGGCAGTGCCTGAGAGCTAACCGCTGCGTGTCTCAACGACCACGAAATACATTGCACGCAATGCCAATGGCCGCAAGAGCCTTCTGCCCCGGACGTTGACTCGGGTACAGAGCGTTTGCATGCGTAGCAGATTCTAATAGAGAGAAGCATTAGTCTTCTTATTAGGGAGCAGCGTCGTGGTTGGCTCTTCTTACCGTGTTTTTGAGCCAGCGCTCATTCGTTCCCCAAGGTCCGATGATTCCACGACGTCCGTCACTCTGTGAAGCCTTATACAGCCTCCAAGACCTTCCTGTAGCCTCCAAAACGATTCTTGGTCTCGAAGACTTTTCAAAACTGGCAGATCGCTCCCCGGCTGGAGGTTCCAGGAGCCCCAGAGCTTGATCACATCGGCCACGGGTTCGGAGGCATCGGTTTCTGACTCATATTCCAGCTCTGATTCTCCGCTCTCGTTTTTCTCGGACTCTGTCGTGTTCCTGTCTTCATCAAGAACAGACTGGGCATCCGCGTCCAACGGCAAAGGGCAATCGGACGCCGAATCATCCGTGGCATCTTCGACATATGGTGGCTTGTATTTTTGACGTGAGACTACTTTAACGGTTCCAGGTTGAATGGTTTCGACTTGATTTACCATGCTTTCGTTGGCACAGTCGTCATCACGCGTCTCTTCGTCGTAATTGTTATTGATATCATCATCATTAGCAGTTTCAACATCTGGGTCGGTTTCTGAAGCACTCGAGCGATCGCCTATCGGATCTTCGATGTCATTCTTGTTGGTCGTCCATGTGGCTGAGGCTTTGGAGAAGTCTGTAAAGAGGAGTTTGTTTGACGATCCTTCACTTCTATACTACGTTAGAATTTTATGGCCAGGATTTCGCGCGCTGTAAATCAACATATCGAAGTATGCGATAGCTTACCTTGAATCTGTCGTCACGTCCTCTGGTTTCATTGTTAACGGCTCGGCCAACCATGGAAGAGTAGTTGTTACTGCCACCAACGGCCTGGACTCTGGTTTTGCAGCCAACAAGGCCTTAACGAAATCCTTGGCCTTTTCTGATGCATTGTTCTCTTCCAAAGCCTGAATCGGCAACTCACCCATCCCCATGGCATACATGACGATGTCGGTGGCATTATCAAACGCCACCTTATTTGTGAGGATATAGTATGTCACTGCACCCAAAGACCAGATGTCGACCGCGAACGTGTACGAGCCCCCCTGCCCTCCTGTCTTCACGCCGAGAACTTCGGGGGCCGCGAAACCGAGGGTGCCTCGCTGTAATGTATGCAAGGTGGTGACGCCTTTTTGTCGGCGTTTGCTGATACCAAAGTCGGCGATTTTGACGAACCAGTCTGGACCTTTTCCTACAACCATGATATTCTATACTCGACTTTTAGCCTTCTGCCATTCCTTGGTCACGAAATCACCTCTGGTTTATCTCACCCCGGGTTTCAGATCTCGATGGACGAAACCGTTGTCGTGCATGAAGTGGAGGCCTTCCAACACTTGTCCCGTGATTTGCCTCGCTTCAGACTCCGGGAGCGGTCGGCTCAGATATTTTTGCAAGTCGCCATGCTCAATATATTCCATCGCGATGTATATCGAATCCCCCTCCTCGAACCATCCGTCGGATCGCACAAAACAGTGGGAATACTGCCGAGTACCTCGTCAGTTTCTTGTCCTAGGTGTAACTGCATGGCAGTGTACTCACATTGCGATGCGAGAATTTGATAATAGCTTCTAGTTCCCTGACGTAATCTAATGGCTCGCCGCCGACCACAGATTTGCTGATTTGCTTGACCGCTCTGAGGGTCTCCGTAGTGCCGGCCTGACTGCACCGGCGTTCCTTGTAGACGATGCCGTATGCGCCTTTTCCTAGAATGACATCGCGATCCCAGCATTCAACCCTCCGTCTTTGTCGCTCCTGTGGAGTGCGGCCCGGCTCGTAGAAGACATGTTCGATTCTGTTGCCCGTGACAGACGTTTCGATCTTGGAGTCGTGGACAAGGTCGGGGATCTGCTCGTGGCGCGGCATCGTTGTCGCCGTTATCGAGGGGAACTCGCGTGCGCTGCCGCATGGGGAGCCAGATTGTCAATTCTCGAGTCTCGCAGGATGCTCATCGAATCGGACTCCGCCCTCTCGCATAAGTTATGGAGGACTGTTGCGACACTAGGTAGAGGTATACGCTTGGTCGCCAGCAATGGAGCTAGCACCACCGTCGATGATGTTGAATGACGGAAAACCGGACGATAATTAGTCTGACAAAAAGAGCATCAGTCCTGTTGCATCCTGGGCGGGGTCATATCTTTTTCAGCTGTCCAACATGTCCTCATCAGCGGGGCTGAGTCTGCATAGAGTCTGCTGAGCCACACTACAAGGCACACCTAGAATGTAGAACTTGAGATTCAATACGGACTAAATCATGCCGAACTAAAGACTTGGATAAAGACCCGAGAGGTCGGTTGTGGTCGAAGGGCTTCGTCTATATTCATTCGCATAAAAAAGCTCTAGCATCTAGATTCTTTTGTCTAAAAATCCACGCGGGCTTGTTCTTACGACGAGTAATGCTTAATCATATGTTGTCACGCAGTAACGCCAAAATCATAACAAGGGTCCAATCACTCGACCCCACACTCGCAATGAGTCTACCCGGTACCAGGGAATCCGGGCACGAGCAGGTGACGAGAATCTCCGAGGCTCGTGGTTTGAGAGAAGCAGGGACTGGAAATGGATCTACGGATATACATTTATTCTGTACAGTAGATTAACCGAGCTTTATTAGTATAAATAGCGTAGAGTCTGACAAACTCGCTGATGAAGCTCAACGGACATCTTGAATCCAGAGTTCCCATCCTGCGGTTTCCATGCTCCAACTTGGTCCTAGCTTTGCACTTCCCTGTAAAATATGTGGTTCGCATGGCCGATCGATGGTTCGACAAGGCAACTTTGAACAGCTAGAAAGAACCCCAGTCTTTCTCTGCCCCAATCTATTTGATTCGGTAGCGATCGCCAACCGCTGGTTATTGTCGGCATAGGTCTTCTCATCCATTAATGTTGATTTCCTGGTCGCGGACAATTGTTTGAATATTTGGGTAGGCGATGTCGTAGACGCAAGATGTCCAACCACCAGCCTCAGGTGTTATTTCGAACGCAAGGGCAAGTTGAGGTAGAGAACCTAGTGAGGGAGATAAGGCCAGAGGTTTGAAAGGATCTGGATGCTCCCCCTAGACCCAAGCCATTCTTATAAACCTTGATCAGGCAAATCCTGCGTAGTGGTTCAAGATATTTAGTAGTACATTATATTATATAAAGTAGAATAGCTGTTAGATGAAACGCTTATAGATGAAAGGATTAGGCTGGAGAAAGAACAAATCAAAAAGCGTGAGTACTTTAGGTGCTACCCCATGGAGTAGCCGGATTTCCTGGAGACCCATGGGCATGGTATTTAGGCTCTTCAGTCCCCACCACCACATCTTTGCTCACATGAATTACCATAGGCTGGGCCCTACTCCTCCTGTCCTTATTATTCCCCCAATGCCCTGTTGAGGAAGCATGGGAAGACCCTCCAGAGGGGTGTGCCACGACGTCACTCTGCACGTTTGATATTGACGATGCTGATGGATCAATAATCTTCTCAGTCGACCCATTTCCTTCTTGAACAGTGGCAAGTGCGGCTGTGAGACTGAAGGGGTCCTTGGCCTTCCCTCGCTTCTTGGAACCCATTTCGTAAGACTCTTCAAGATGAGCGCTGTTCTTTGACCGTTTTGAGGAGCCATACTCGGTCATCCCGCGTCCATAATCGTTCGTCCAGAACCTCTTCGTAAAGATGGGCCTTATCAATATAGCCTGACCGACGACGATTGCCACAAAGTCCTCGCGACAAGACCAAATTGCCGCTGTCGGTCCATTTTTCATCTATTGGTATATATCTTAGACGTCGTCAACCTGAGCTAGGAGGTAGGGCATAAACTTACCACTAGCACCATGGTCACTCTTAGAATAGCAGCGACCATAATAAAGATTCCCGCGCCAAATAGGCAGAGGAGACCAATTCGCTTCCAGATGCCAATTTTGACTGGGACCACAACAGGGGCGGGGATAGCCATAATAATCAAGTCGGTGACGATATTCATGACGAGCGGCGGGACCATATTGAGCATAGACTGAGGTTGGCAGTATTCTGCTACAAAGTTAGTAGATGCCAAAAGACATGAACATACACAAAGACATAAGGATATATCTAACCTCCCTGATCTGGGTAAACAATCCACATTCGATTGTATGGGCGGCATACACCGAATAAGATGCCATAGATTGCGACGAAGGTCGCCAACACCAAGATTATGGTAGGCATTATGAACTTCTCCACCCAGAGCCCGTTGACGATGCGTTGATAGAGGAAAAGCATGTTTAGTTTCAACGTCCAGATGAAGAGAATGTAGGTTGCAACGCCAGCACAGAACCATTTCGTCGCGTAGATTAGTGGAGCAGCCTCTTCCGGGGTCATCCTCTTTCGAGCGTCGAGAGAAACCGCATGGAGGTCACCAAGACCGCCGACAATATGGGCGGCCACGGTCATCACCGTGTATGTGGCCTAGATTTCACAGACGTATGTCAGCTATGTTAGTCGATGATAGACGAAACAAAATAAAACTCATTGCGAGAGAAGTAACCGCACTATTGCGTACCCATGATAGAAAGACAATGTAGTCGTCGGGCTTAAAGCCGACCAAGCCAACGGCTCGGAGTCGACACACGATTCGTGCCAAAAATATCAACGAGCCTCCTGCATATAGACCCCACGTTTCTGCAAGAGGAGAGTACGCCATTGTATATCGCGTTCTGAGTATAGACGTGGTCGCTGGTTGAACACTGAGTATGGGGGATGACCGATATCATCCAGCGATGGCACGAGTGGCCTTTTCGCGACTTGGATGAACCTACTCAATAGACACCACGCAGAGAATGCAAAGCTCGAAGCATTCGGGCGAACATGCGGGATTGTGGAGGGAGACGCCGTTGAAGTGGGCCATCTCTCAATGTCATATATTTCTATCCATTAGTAAAGGGGGGCTAGTGAGCCATCTGCACGAAGAATATGGCAGCTCAAGGTCGCACATAGGTTTTGCCAGGGGGCAAGACTGGTTGCCCCCTGACCCTACCATGGTACAAGGGCATATTAGCACTTCGGATGCCCCAGATGCGTTAGCAGTGAGCCAACCCTTCTTCAGTTGTGCCATCTGATGCCTGCCTTCCTAGCAACAGATCACTGGGCTATTCGAAGACCTGGTTTCGTCGTTTGATGGGAATCCATGATCCTATGGTTGTTCGCACCACCTTTGGCATGCATCAAATCAGACAGCACTGAGCAGGTTGACTTTGTTGGCGTTGGAGAATCTGGACCACACTACCGGAGGACTACTACCGGAGGTCTACTACCGGGAAAGACCCGGAAAGACTCGTGCCCCATGTAACATTCAGCTGCAAGGGATTGCTCCTCACATTACAGTCATACTGAATGCTACGGCGCTGTGTCTTGTTGGTACAAAGTGCCTTATTGCGTTACATGCATGTGGGGGGCGCTACTTAGCCCAAACCTCGGTAAAGGGGGAGGGACCAAAGAAACAAGATCAACACACGACCCATAAAGGTGACATATTTTGGTTAGTGTTGTTTGCTTAAAATGAAGTAGGTAGCCTCACTTAAATATACCCCATGTCGATGTGTCCCGCCAGGGGCTCGCCCAGGTTACCCAGGTTAGGCCCTCCCAAGTAGTCGAAAGTGGAGAGCGGGTGCCATGGAAGACGGACAAGGTTCCTGACCCCTTACGAACTACATAGTACAGAGCGGATGAGGCTTGCTACTGGTGGCCAAGCCATACCAGTGGTGACTTATTGTAGTAGCTGCAACAGTTGCGGTGACCCAAAGTCCAAAGTCCCTACATTGTCGGAGCCAAACAGCCCGTAGTTCATTCTCTTTTCACCTGTTGCCATAAGCGAGCTCTGTCCTTTGCACCTCCTTCCTGTGACAACGTACGTTACTGTTGATCTTCATTTTTCCTCATTGCTCGGTCGTTGTTCAAATACTCATATCACCCTTGTGCTGCTCCTGTCGCTTGCCGTGTCTATCCTCATCAAGTCGCAAATTACTTGATAGTATCACGAGTTTCACGCCATGGCCACTACCTCGGACTACAAGGTCTCCTTTGAGGGGCCCTTCCAAAATGTCATCAACAATCAATTGACATCCACGGCCACCACTCGCCACGCCATCTGCCCTTCGACCGAGAAGCCGCTGTGGGAAGTGCCGGTCTCTACCGCGGAAGATCTTGACCGAGCCGTGGCAGCAGGTAGAGCCGCTTTCCCGGCATGGAGCAAGCTCTCGTATGATGACCGTCAGAAGTACCTCGATAGGTTCGCCGATGCTATCGAGGAAAACCAGGAGGGCTTCATTAAGCTCCTGGGACAAGAGGTGGGCAAGCCGCCGCAGGCTGGGGGTTTTGAGCTATATCTCGTTATGGGACTAGCTCGAGGGATCCCCCAGTTGCGTCTCAAGGAGGAGAAGATCATTGATGATGAGGATGTATGTTCACATTACCAGCCCCAGCCGAGAGACCTAGCTAACTGCTCCTCTGTATAGCGCACGGCAATTGTCAGATACGTGCCATTGGGCGTTTGTGCAGGTATTGTTCCCTGGAACTTCCCTCTCACGCTTGGAATGGGAAAACTGGTTGCAGCACTTCTTGCCGGAAACACATTCATCTGGAAATCATCGCCCTTCACCCCCTATTCTGCCTTGAAGCTGGCCGAGATCGGTGCGAAGATTTTCCCCCCTGGAGTATTTCAAGCCCTAAGTGGCGATGAATCCCTTGGCCCTTTGATCACTGGGCATCCTGGTATCGCCAAGATTGGCTTTACAGGATCTGTTGAAACAGGAAAGAAGATAATGGCCGCCTGCGCCTCAACTCTCAAGAGAGTTTCGTTGGAGCTCGGCGGGAATGACGCTGCGGTTATCTGTGATGACGTTGACATTGATCAAGTCGTTGCCAAGGTATGCTCCCCTTTCTCCTCTGTCTTGTCGTATTTTTTCCTTTGCTCTGTGCTTTTCTCACACTTTGGGATGTATAACAGGTCACATTCCTGACATTTGTCCACGTGGGCCAAATTTGCATGAATATCAAGCGTATATATGTGCATGAGAACATCTATGATAAATTTCTTGACGCCATGGTCAAAGCCGTTGCGCAGTTCAAGACGGGAGATCATCAAGATGCCGAGGCCTTCTTTGGTCCAATTCAAAATGACATGCAGTACCAGAAGCTGCGCAAGCTCTACTCACAAATTGGCACTCAGGGCTGGAAAGTAGCGACGCCCGAGCGCCAAAAGCCAGAAACGGGATACTTCTTGACACCAACCATTATTGATAACCCCCCCGATGATTCCGCAATAGTTACTGAGGAACCATTTGGTCCCATTTGCCCCGTTTTGAAGTGGAAAGACGAGGACGATGTGATTACCCGAGTGAATGCGACCAAGTATGGCCTCGGGGCTTCTGTGTGGAGCAAGGATGTGCCCCGAGCCAAGCGAATGGTAGAACAACTGGAGGCTGGAAGCATTTGGGTGAACACCCACTTCGAGCTTGCTCCCAATGTTCCTTTCGGTGGGCACAAAGAGAGTGGGCTGGGGATGGACTGGGGTGAGGTGGGTGTCAAGAGCTGGTGCAACCCACAGGCTTACTGGGTCAAGCATTCCGGCTAGGCTATGACGGGCTACGAGCCGTTTATTTTCAACGGAATAAAATTGACATGGTTTCAAGTACCCTAGTAGTGGGCAAGCAAGGATTACGTACGATGTTTTCGCTCGTAAACCGAAGCCCCTCTGCCCGGCTATCTATCCGAAGTTGGGAACATAATCCCTGTGCGTACAATCATTTGAGGTAATTAACGGCCGAGGACGCGGAACTTGGGATATCTTCCCCTAGTCCTTCTAGCCCTTTCCCAGTGTGCGGGCCGATGGTTTGGAAAAAGAAAAGCGCGGATAGTCGACAAAGGTCCGCTAGCTTCAGGGCAATGATTGTTGCCTACTTTTTCCGATAAATGAAGCTCTAGTGTCCCATGATTGATAGTGACAGGGAAGCCCCGGGGGGGGGGGCAAGAAATCATGTTTCGGCTAACCTCTAGCATATAGGTACATTCGCTTGTGATTGCGCCAAGTTTGATTTCTCTTGCTTTCTCCCTTCTTGATTGGGGTAGCATGACTTACTTGGCTGATAATGTTGAATAGTAAAGGGATGGAGGCAAGGGGCATTCAGAATTCTACATACATGCCGTGTCTGGGAACATGATGCTACTCTAACTACACAAAGAAGCCAGCATCGTGTTAGTGAGCTCACATGTGCGAAGTTGGATCATCAGGTATTGGGGTAGACAAGCCAAGTTAGTAACGATTTCTTTCGGCTACCATCGATGTATAAAAGTGACAGTTTCCATGTCATCACCGCCGTTTCATCGTTGGAAAACCTTTTTATGGACACATCATGCCTCAAATCGGAATTAGTTCCCTACATGACCCTGCCAAGTATAACAACCCTGGTAGGTACGTCTGAAAACGAAAGCGACCCCCAACTGCCGAGCAATGATCGCCACATGACTCCTTTTTCTGGCCTAAAATCCCTCTCTTCACATGTTGCTGCGAACATGGTACGTGCACCTACAGGCTCGGACAGCCCTTAAAACAAAACATAATTGTAATAATGCTGCAGGTACGGCGTTTTTGGTGATTGATTTTTCTTTGCCTGCATAGCCAATATTTAGTCTAGAAGTGAGCTAACAGCCCTAGCAACTGCTGGTCCCAACCGCATCGGCGACCATGCAGATGTCTTTGGATGAATTGCTGTGACTGTTGGAAGTATTCTCTGGAATGACTGCTCAGGGCTGTTAGCTCCGCAATTGATGAGCAAGTTGGTTCGCGTCATGGTGTGGTGTTGTTATTGCTGGCTAGATTCTGCCCACTTTGACCGCTAATAATCCCTTTTCCTTCTAAGTTCTCGCGAATGCGACGGTCACGTGTGAACAACGCTTCGCCAATCAGAGAATCAGAGGGCTGTCTTTACCAGTGACCGTTATATGCCTAACAAATGCAGGAAAGGGAGCTATGATTTAGCCAAGTCTCAGTTTAGTACTTCGTATTTGGGAGTATCTACTGGTAGCTTGGTGGAAGCTGAAAAGATGAACTAAGATATTTCTACTTGAGATGAACTTGAAGTGATCTTAGCTCCACGACACTTTGGAAGTTGAGTAGTTGTGTTCCAGCAACTGTATACCCTATCCATTTGTTATTCGATTACTTTGCATTAATTATTATGTAGGTAGCATAAATCCCCAATTTATTTAGAAGGGTGAATTTAAGAGGAAATAGGCTTATTTGCTTGTGACATTGGCCATGTGGTTAGGCATTTGGTGGGTGTATAGGTTAGGTTACATGGAGCTTCCAGGAACGTCAGTTTTCGATCGGCTTTATTTTAAATATGACATAAGCGTTCGTAGCACGTCTCCCCGGCAACCACGTGCCCACAATCAAGAGCCACGACGCGCATGGTCACTACACGGATTATCGCCATCGACATACGCACTCTTCACTTCAGCGAATGGGCCCTCTGCATTGCTGCAACACTTATGGACTTCAACCTGTCCGTTGGCGGAGTCTCGCACTGGCTTGACGCCCTGCCATTTGACCACGCCGCGTCCACACCCGAAGCTGACGGCCAGCGTACACGGAAGCGACGAGCGTCTTTCAGGCATAGTGAATCGCGCAAACGCGAACGACATCCCATCTCTCCTCCCGCCTCGCAAGCCGCGCGCAAAGCGTCCTCGTCGAACTCGACCGCCCCCGCCATGGCACCCTCGACACCGAATAAGTCACCCGGGAAGCGGCCAGCCAGCGACGGTACAATGGCGGACACTGACCAGACACCAAGGGTTTCAAAGGCCAGTGCAAGCAAGGGCCAGGCTACCAGCGCTCCCAGTCTGTCCTCATCTCAGAGCGATGCTGCCTATTCACACGATAGCAAGCGGTCGAGGCGATCGCAGTCACCATCCAAGTTGTTTCCTTTGTACGGAACTCACGGCCACCGGCTCGTCCGAGGTTCGCTCAGTATGACCGCACCATCTGATCCTCTATCTCCAGCTCTTCGGGATTTCTTGGGCGATGTCAACGATGTGGCAGGCAGACACTGCATCATGCCGCAAAGGATCAAGGCGGCTCTGGCCGAGCACCTCGCGGCTTCTGGCCAGTTTGACCGGTTGCACGAATACATGTTCTTTGACGATGCAACAAGTCCCTGGAGCGAGCAGACACGGCATGATAGGCGTACTGGGGAGGAGCTGGTTCGCCGGGCTTCGCATGTTGCTCTCCGGTCCAGCGACTGCTCCCGCATGCTCAGTGACGAGTCTGCCTGGAATAATCTTGTGCACTCGCCACTGCTCGATATGCTTCTGTATGATATGCGGGATGGACCGGGCCAGGAAATCCTGGACTTCCTGCCCTGGTAAGTTGTAATTACATCTTACGTCTCGTACCAGCTCGACTCTAACCGAGCCGCCTTATAGCACAACGACCTGCATCGACCCAGCATATCACCGCTTTCCCGACGCCGCCAGCCGTATTGACTATGTCCTTCAGCTGCTGCCTGAGCGCGATCCAGACATCAACAAATCATATGAAGCGCTGGCCTTGGGCATGGCCCCGTGCTTTAATTGCACGGCGGATCGGCTACTGCAGCAGTACCCGCTGGCCGTCAGCATCGAGACTAAGCGCTACGGTGGCAATGCGGCTAAGGGGGAGCAGCAGCTCGGCATCTGGCACGCCGCACATTGGGAGTTTCTTGCGTCACGGGTTAGCGCTGAGGCTATCGACGACCTCGGCTTTCTCCCCGGCGTCGTCGTCCAGGGTCACACCTGGTCACTTGTCATTACTGTGAGGCGCCAGGCTACGACGGTACGTAAACACACCATTCGCCCCCCATGAGCGTGACACTGACCGGTACGTGCAGATAGTACTGTGTAGTGTCGAGTTTGGCAACACCAGCTCGACCGTCGGCGTGTTTCAAGTCCTCGCTGGCCTGCGGCGGCTGCGTAGTTGGTCAATAGACGTCATGTGGCCATGGTGTAAGCAGTATTTGCCGGGGCTCTCCAACCATTCTAGCGGCGGCAAACAGACGTGTGCTGCTGCTGACGGCGAGAAAACGATCCTGGGCGGGTAATTGGGCGGCTGGTGTTCCGTTCTTTACTACTAACGCCGGCTCTCTGAGAGAGACACTAAGCATGCATCGCTCGAAACAGTTTTATCACGTGCGATACAAGGGGTTCAGGCACGCCAGGCCCTTCCCCGATGATATGGCTGAGCAACGAGCGCCTGAGTTGCAGCATGACACTCAACCCAAACCTTTGATTGATATCGCGCGGGGAGAATTACCCGTCATGAGGGAACTCGGTGTATTTGGAACTAGCAACCAGATACAGAGCACACAGTAGTCTGCAGCCTCTCCTACTACAGCGCTACTGCGACAGCCTCCTATATCGGTCCAGGCCATACAGCAATATTGCCTCGTTCCCCAAGGCACCGTCTCGTCTGAAGCGAGATAGACATCACCCCTTAGGATGCGACATGAAGCTGGGCTACCGTGGAGATGCCTCACGCGGTAATGACTAACTAACATCAAATATCAAGCCCACGGTGATCTGATTGTGTACACCAAAGCAAAACAATTAAGACCATAGTAGTCAGGCCGTCGCTTCACTGTGACTATTCTTCATTAAAAACCTCAGGTCTGCGACGACTGAACCTGTTCAGCGTTATGACAGCATTGCCTTGCCCAAGCCCGGAACAGACTCTGCAATCTGTCCACGAGGCTCTTTTGAGCGAGTTGAACCGATCTGTTCGACAAGGATAACTTATCTATTGTCCTCCCTGGCAACACCTGAAGTTTTCAGAGTAAAGATACCGAAGACTGCAGGTTGCGAGTGTTTCACTGGTCGGTTACACCTAATCGTAGCACTTATTCAGGCTCTGGTCGGCGTCAGCGTGAAGGAGCTTCTCTTAGTGAGGTCCCACACGTCTTTGCCCCATAGGCCACTTCACCAGGAGATCGAGGTCTCCCCCATCTGCCCAGTGAAAACTCGGAATCCTTCAAACCACCATTTGGAGATAGTGATGCGTGTAAAATTGGTCGTAGCTGTGGCCCTAACAAATTTACCTTACTCTAGACGGGGCCGGTGTCCCAGAATGACAATATGCGTTGATTCTATTGCCAATATTTTTCTTATGTGGTCCATACATGTAAGTCGACCGAAAGTAGCCTTTAGAAGGGTGCAAAAGTCAGCCTCAATGGAGTGTGATTTTATCCCAGTTGGATGCATAGAGTGACATGAGAGCTTACTGGTTTTACTGGGTTCAAAGATGCGTTCAAGCCTTGGCACAGTATCTAAGGTAGTCTGCTTCAGCAACTTAGGTTTGCTACTTTCTAAAATGCAATGGAAAGTAAGCCGAGGTGTAGAATGATGGTACCGATCCAAGTGATTGATAAGATTGTACCATGGTGGTGGGTGGCAGTCGGAACGGATAGATCTAGGTTAGCTGGGAACTTGATTACATAATAGGGCCAAGCATCAACATCAATTGAACATTTCCGCAACTCCTCTTCTTTTATCGAGCACAGCAGCATCTCCCAAGACACCCCGGGCACATGATCAAGGCCGCACCATGGTTCCAGTATTACCACGGCGACGGAATCAGGTCCCAGTGGTGAAATGCCTCGCCCCAAAGTTCCGCCGCACCGGCGACAGAGAGTTGTCCAGGCCTGTAACGCCTGTCGCGCCGTGCGTAAGAGATGTTCCGGCGCAGCTCCGTGCACCCTCTGCCAGCGGCGTGGAATTGGCCACTCGTGCTCTATCCCAGCCCACACCCCAGCTGCCAACCCACAAGGCGTTGTAGCAAGCGAGCGGGCAGGAGCCATTTTGGATTCTGCAGATCTCCCAGCGGGCCTGATCGAACAGGCTCCTTTGATCCAGACACGACCTCCGGACGCTGCTGGATCACTGGCTTCGTCGACGAGCCAGGCCATAGGGCCCTCTCATCTAGAGGACCGGACCTCCTTAAATGAGATGAGACTGTCCAATCAAGAGAATCGTCCAGAGTCACCGATACTCGGCGCCAAGCCGCAGCCTCGCATGCTCCTCAACCTCCATGGCGAGAGAGGTGCGTATCTCCTATTCACTGCCGACCCCCATCGTCTTTGTTCCATACTCACCTTTTTGATAGTTTTCATCGGTAGAGGCGGCTCCCAATCACTACTGCAATGCGTTCGAAAAATCATAGCGTCGCAGATCGGGCCTTCCTCTTTCTCACGAGACGGAAGAAGCGAGATCATGCACGAGACAGAGTCTCCCCAAGCACGCCACCACACATCCAGCCCGGGAGAAATGAGCGTCGAAACGAAACTAATGTACGCCGGTTACTTTTCCGCAGTGGTACGAAAATCTCGTCCGTTTCACTAGCCTGCGAAATGTCTGCTAATGGAGAGCCTGCTAGACTGGGGGGTTGATTGATCCCTTTTGTCCACAGGAGCTGGAGACCCTTCTAACGACGCCCTCTCTGGAAAGTCCGCACAAAAAGGCACTCGCCGAGCTAGTCATTGCCATCGGGCTCCAGTGTGAGCTTTCTGCTGATACCCTTGACCGCGAATTGGCCTACTTCACCCACGCTCAGTCACATGCCTTTTCGGGGATGCTTGAAGAGCCTGATCTGGATGTGGTGAGAATCTTTCTAATCATGGCCTTTTACCTCCTGGGACAAGGCCGTAGGAATACCGCATTTGTATATCTCGGGATTGCAGCTCGTATAGCGCTCGTCCTCGGTTTGCACAGCCAGGAAACCTACACCGACATCAATGACCCAAAGCAACAATTGAGGTGAGTTGGATGGAAACCTAGTCATATCCCCTCTTCTCGGTGCTAATGGAGATACGTATATAAACAGGCTACGTGTATGGATGAGCCTGCGAGTAATGGACATCCCCATTAGCTCGGTCCTGGGCCGTCCGCCAGCCACTGGCGGCGTGCACTCTGACCTTAAAAGTCTCATCGACGGGATCGAAAGGATCGACCACGATAGCGGGATAACTTGCCTCGCGGCATCGTACAAGATTGTTTCATTGATAAGCAGCATCGTCGACAGGGTGTATGATCGCAAGGAGATATCCATTTCTCTTGTCGAGGAGTTCTTGCAAAAGTTGAAGGAGTGGGGTCAGGAGGTGCCTGAATTTCTACACACACTTCCCCCTTCCTCATCTTCCGTTAGTCAAGGTGATTTGCCGGAACGCAAGGGCGCAATTGGCAGAGTCCACGTCTCTTGCCTCTACTACTTTGCTGTCAACCTGGTCACGCGTCCTCTTCTCATCTCCACTCTGACAAGGCAGCAACCAGCCGACGCTGTGTCTTCCCAGTTAGCATCAGCCTGTCTCGAGGCCGCGACGCTGGTTGTGCAAACTTGCAATGATGCGCACAAACTGAACTTATTGAAAGCTAACATGTCTACACTAATGTGAGAGTGCCTGGTGGATGATGTTATATACCTCTGTCTAACTAATCTATGTTTTCAAGGACAATGATATTTCCGGCCGGGCTAGTGCTAGGGCTCGAGCTTTTCGCAAAGGAATCGGGACCTTATGGAATCGAAGCAGCCTTCCATGGCGCCCGAGATCTTCTTGGTTTCTTGGGCGCAAAAAGCTCACTGGCTGCATTGTATCATGAGATGCTTATATCCCTCTGGAACGTAATCTCGGAGCGTCGCACCCGCAAGCGGTCTCACGCAGGCAACTCGTACGTATCTAGGATCTTCGCTTTCGATCGGCCACAAACCCAGGATATGAGGCCTCGACAAGAGGCTACCAATAGCCCAGGCTTCATGAGTGCAAGTCAGCAGGATCAGACGGCGTCTCTATTTACGGCTGAGATACCCGATAGCAATGCTCCGCTGGATTCAGGAGAGGTCTTTCTTGATTGGGATAGCCTCGATATCACGCAGTGGGATACTTTTCCATTTATAGGTGGCTAACAAGTCTGGGTGATCATGGGCTTGGCCTGCCAACCAAGCGGGCGACAGAAGATAGCATCATTGGTAAGGAGAAGGTGATTTATAATTTTGCGAGAGTTTCACACAGATGTGAAGACATTTTGACCATCAGGTTATGATCTACATAAGGTGGCAACAAGAGTTGCCTTTCTTCAAAGGCTACATGTCGTTTTGATGCCAAAGTAGAAAGGCAATTGCCAGTTTGTAACAGGACCGTGATATATGTTGAACGACAGGGCGTTTAACAAGAGTATAGACCGCCTTGTAGAGCCATTTATACTACGCCATAGCTCTCAATCAACACTGATAAGACAAGCACTTCACCTCCACCTTCTGTAGTGATTGCCGCAGAGAGCTCGATTAATCTGGCCATGCTCCTTATAGGCCGAGGGAACCACCCTTGGCCGTGTAGACCTCACCCGAGATATACGTCTTATCTGGAGCTGCCAGGTCGACATACAGCGGGCTAAGCTCTACCGGCTGCTCGATGCGTCCAATGGGAGACGATCCCCCACTTAGATTCTCCGTCGTGAAACCTGAAGCCGCTAGAAAAGGAGTATATGCCAAAGCTGGTGCCACCGCGTTCACACGAATACCAGACGAGGTTACTTGCATCGCGAGACAACGCATGAAATAAACTAGTGCCGCCTTGCTTGAGCCATAGTCGAGGTTTCCAGGACCAGGATTTGAAACTGTTCCGGATGCGGTATAGATGATGCTACCGCCACGGGGGAGCAGGGGAACAACAGCTCGGGCGAGCCACAAGTTTGCGTAAAAGTTGGTCTCGAATGTACGTTGAATCTGCTCGGTCGGGTGATTCGTAATGTTGGGGGCGTTGGGACCAGCTGTCACACCACTATATCTGTGGAGTTGTTAGCATCGGACAAAGGAGAGATGCTCAGCACAGCCACCACCTACCCCGCGTTGCCAACGAATATATCGATGCCTCCCATTCGGCTGTGCGCCTCTGTAACAAGATCAGCGCAGAAGGTTTCGTTTCGGAGATCGCCCGGGATCCGCTCAATGCTGTAGCCTTCCTCGGCGACAAAGTCTGCCAGAGCTTGAGCATCAGACTCTTCTTCGGGAAGATAGTTGATGGTGACAGTTGCGCCCTCTCTTAAATACGCAATAACTACCGCACGACCAATACCAGAGTCACCTCCAGTGATGAGAGACCTGAGGCCCCGCAGTCTTCCGTAGCCACGGTAGGCCTGTTCGCCACAATCCGGCTGGGTTTCAAACGTGCTCTGAAGAACCGGGAAACTCGCATTTAGGGGAAGGCTAAGATTCAAGTCCGAAAATCGAGTGGTTGGGTCAATCAATTCAACATTGGAGCCGTCTACAAGAAATGTCAGTAGTAATCTCTCCCTTGGGACAGTAACACGGCCTACTTTGAGCGGCGGCAGAGATCAAATGGAGCGAGAAGGCCACAAGCCCAAGAATAGAAGGCGACATCATAATGAAGAAGATAATTGAGAAGAAGCTGTCTTTGCTAAATCTTTGTTTATGTTGCAAGAAATGGAGTTTCAATTTCGTTGACCTCCTACACTATTTATTTCTTCCCATGCTTATAGAGATCAAGTCAGGGTATCACAAAAAGTAGACTCATTTCCACCCATGAGGGCCTTTGGATAAGACCTGACGTATTTTCTGAAATGCAGATCTTCTAGTCAATGGATATAATGAACGGAGAACGGAGACGGAGAACGGACATGCCTGATTTGATCGCTGACGAAGCTCAAATATAAGCTTTTCTCGCACCCCTGTACGCCTGCTCTATCCAGACTGCCTCTTCCAGATCAGACACAGCCACCATCGCCCGCACTAGACGCGTAATCTCGGCACTTGATGGAACATAAGATGACGAATGACGACCAAGGGTCATCTAAATGCCTAGCCAGAGCAAATGAGTTCAAAGGAATGCGGTCTAGGGTTAGATTCCAGGGCCCTAGCTTCGAGAATTTCAAGCTTTTAGGAAAGGCGGTCGATTTCCCTCGTACGTGTAAGCTAATTGAAACATCGTTTGCGAAAGTTTCGATCCAATGTTAGAATAATGCGCTTACTTGCAAGCTAATAGTTGTATAGCATAAGCTAGGAATAGGAAGTGCCCAGATGAGACACAAGTTACTTCTTGCGATGGAGTGAAAGGGGTAGATTTTCACTGATTGAAATACTAGTGAAGGAGGAGTATTTATACCTAATGAGGATAAACAAAGCAATTTCCTCGATTTCCCCGCCACCCAAGAGACATCCGAGTTCAATTGGAATGCCATCTGGTCAAATGAGAAAAATTTGACCTATCAATGACATACTTGCTGAATGGGAAAATATAAGTGTGGTCTCCTACTAATTCAGCAAGAGTCGGTAAGCTGGGCCTCGTCTTCCTCCTTGTTCAGGCAGCACTGTACTTTATCAGACACCGTATGCATTGTTGTCTGGGGGCCATCACTTGGTTTCAACAAGAAAGTCCCTCATTATTAGATATCCAAAAGAAAACCACTGCTTGAAAAAACACCTAATGATAAGTTGTCTACTATGGATGATCTACTTTACGATATGTCAGCCTGACAGATTCAAAGTTTCAGCATCAAAGATAACTGCTGTATCAAACTGGCTGTCTCTTGTTGCACCGAGTAGTAGCATATTACGCGGTTGTTGTGGTCACACCAACTATATGGCATCCCGATCAACTTCGAGACAATCCCCCACGCTACTATGTTAGTCTTGTCAAGACATATATTTGAACACATTGCGAGCGAGCGACTTAGCTATGAATATCTCATTTCGCATTATAAGTTATGGATCAGCCACCGAATGAGTATTATTATAAAGAAATCCGGATCAACGGTATAAATCGACTTGAATGCAAGCTAATGCAAGCTCCTCCTCTTCCCCAGATATTGAAACTTATCGTCATCCGTCACCCCAACCGTATAGTGTTTTTCATCGTTCTCCTTATCTAAAAACCACCCCTTTTGATATCTTGTCCCGGCCAGGTATTGGTAAAGCTGGCTAGGTGACATCATGTGAGCAGCCTCTGGTAGGCGCTGGAGGGAATTCGATGAGTGAAGCAGGGCAGATGTCGTTGCGATGCTCCCGAATCCATCAGGGACCAGCCCTTTGAACTCCATGTCAAGAAACCAACCCCGATCCTCGCCGACCTGATTCTTGACAAATGCCGATGCGAGTGCCCAGATATTGACAATGGCTACCAGTGTCAAGATGGAGATGATGACATAGGTGATTGACGGACTTTGAACTAATCGGCGTCGCTTTTCGTCTACAAGGTCTGCCTTGACGGGAAGCAGGGCTGCCGAGGTTTCGTTGATTGCGAAACGGTTCTGTTTGTTCGCCAGCTGGGTACCTACAAATCCGAGATTATAATGCAGTGCGTCCAGGATTCTATCCTCTGCCCCAAGCGTACCAAAATCCTCGGCCTTGATTTTGCCAAAGGGCTCCAGAATGGTTGCAAAATGAGGAGAAAAGCCATCTACAAGAGTATTCTGGCTGTCGATGTTAGGGAAAGCCTCATCTCCATGAGAAAATCCCGAATACCCAAACTTGGGGATAGTAAAGGGCGGGTTCCACGGCCGGACATTGTCATTGTCGGGAACAGGGGGATTGCCGTGGTCGATTTGCAGCTCCCCATTGACCTGAATCATCTGAACGCTGGTAGGGACTTCAGCCCAAGTGTAGTTGCACTTCCAGGCGGAGAGATGGGTAAAGGATGCGGTGTCGGCTGAAAAGTTGCCCCAGAAATAGGTCCGCAGGGCCCAGTTGGGCCCGACCTTGGGGCCACAAAGTGTCGCGTCCGCAGTCTCTGGGGTGGGCAGCACGCTGGCCATGTACACGTACCCATTTTTGACAGGAGCTTGTCCCAGCTGGATCATCTTGCTGACCCTGGTCTCGCTGTATTCAGTCTTGTTGTCGACGGTATACTCGAGGGGTGGAGCAGCACATTTGTTGTCTTGGATAATCGTGACGTAGAAAGATGGGGGCTCACCAGCCCACTTCACGTTCTCTTTAGTCCAGTCCTTGACAGTTATGTTAAAGTTGCTCTGGGGAATTTTGGAACAGGTGGGGGCCAGCTTTGCGGCTGGTATGTCAAGTCTAATGGAGTGATCCGCTTGGTTGCCCCAATCTGAACTATTGAAATCGATAGTTGGGAAGAGAAGGTCGCCATAGGTGGACTTTGGATACGTGAAGTTTGATAGACTTTGTGTGAGGACAAGGCTCTTGACGATGGCAAAGGTATTACGCTGGGCCAATGATGTTTGGTTGTCGGCGTCGAAGGACCCGAACCAACTTGCTTGTGGGAACTCCCAGCTTTTGTGGCTTGGAACGGTCTCGGGATTAAACAAAAGGGAGGTGAAGGCTACCAAGAAGGCACAAATGGCGGCAAGGGTTTGAGAGACAGAGACGGTATAGACCCTTAGCCGGAAAGAATGGTACAAGGCTCTGAATCCAAGCATATCAAGGAGTGATGTGTCTAGCTCGGCCGCGGTACAATAACTCGTTGCTAGCTTGGACAAAATGGCTAGGTCTCGAACCACAAAGTCGACCGTGGTGGTATATAAGGCCACCCCAAACATGGCCAGTGCTGGGAGAACCCTCCAAAAAAACGGAATGTACACATCATCTCCGATAGTCCCGAGCCCATCGGATCTCTGTGACACGGCGAGGGTGGCAGACAGGGCAACGATGAGCGCAAGGACGTACACTGTGAAAATCGCACGATATCGCGATCTGAGGACCAGCATGGAGAAGTTGGTATGCCCCCATATCCTGTCGTTTTCCTGTACTTGTGCGCGGCTCACAGTAGCAGGTTGAGCAATATCCGTTTTGCCATGCAGGAACGCCATGGACCCCAGGATTGTCGCGGGGTTCCTGTGCCACACCTGAGACACTTCTGCAGACTGATGTATGATGCAGACAATGATGAGCATGGAGAGGCAGAAGAGGATGAGCATGGCTATGCACACACCCTGGTTTACCCGAAGTGCTTCTGTCTCCAGTAAAGAAGAGCCCTGAATCTCAGACGCACGGTCCTGCCGAAAATGATAGTGGGCGACAAGGGGCCAAAACATCTCTGTCACGTTTGTCACGGCTTGTTTGAGGACCTCGTTCTGGTAGTTTGACATGAGTGTCCTGTTCGCAACCTTGCCGCGAATGTCGTACAACGTGTTGAGCGGCCCCATGATTACATTACTCGCCGCGTTAGATTCCCCCCACCCCCCTTCGAGGCTGGGTATGGATTTAGCCAGCATTGCCCAAGGGTTCGAAATGATCTGGGTGTCTTCTTGCTGCGGGGGAACGGTCAGTTCTGGAGTAGAACCGTAATCCTCAACGGCGACCTTGGATGCCCATGCGGTTGAGGAGCACATGACGGCAGCGCACTGGCTACTCTTGGGCGGCACCGTTCCATTTTTGCCCGCCGTGTCAAACCAACATCCATAGTACACAAATGGCAGATGACGCTGCGGTAGTGAAGAGCAGGACGGCGGTTGTTCTACGTCAAGCATTGCCCACCAAGCTCCGCCTATCTTGGCGTAATCTGCGATCACGGTATTTGTCCTAACGGGCTTGTCGCAGGACTCAAATTGGAAGTCGAGGGTGATGTTTATACCCTTGCCACTTTGCGTGTACTGGCTGCCCGTCACATCGGCCGCCTTCTCCGAGGTAAGCTCGTAGCTTCTCATCTCGGCGCACTTGATATCCATGAATAATCCGTCAACGGTGAGACGCAAAGGGTGGTCGTGAGTGCCTCGAGTGTTATCGGTCTGAGTTGAGGCCTCGTACGTCTGGTATGCACCCTGACTCGCCACGCCAAAGGGGTACTCCATATCGAAGTCGAGCATAGCCTTTCTGTGATAGAAGGAAGCCTCGGCTGTGGTATTCGTGACGTTCTCTGACACGGCAAAAGAATCCATTAGTCGGACGTCAACAGGATCCCACGTCAGTCTAGGCTCCAGTTGGAAAAGGGCGGGAGAGAGAATGATCTGAACCCTGGCTATAATAGTCGAGACGGCGGCAAGCGTCACGAAGAAGTGTCTTCGTTGGACGGACCAAAATAGCACCTTGGGGAGGATCATCGAGGTATAGTCGAGGGTGTATACTTCCGAGTTCAGGCCATCATGGGTTTGCAGAAATGCCCAGGGTAGATATCTAAACACCTGCAACTCAATGCGGGACAAAAACACTGCCACGAGGGTGAGGACTATACAGAAAGATGTTAGATGCTGATTCAACGGCAATCAAGGAGATTTGAATGGCATACCGGCTGCTGGAACAAACCTGTACACATAAACCAGATCATGATGGCCCTGACCGATCCCACCATCGCGCTTGGAAAGAAGCAGTAAAACCAAGAGTATGGCGGCGCAGCAGAAGAACCAAGCCAAGAAGAGGCCCAACACAGTCCGCCGCAGCCAAAATGGCTCCCATGTTGCCACATCGTCGCGATGGAAGTTCTCCTTTGCTGAATCGTCGCTCGTGGATCCTCCCACGTGGTTTAGCAGCATCGAATTGGGCCCTCCATAAAAGGTCTTGTCGTCGAGATCGTCGTTGGGGGGTTTTGACGACCTGAGCGCTTCTTGACTAGGTGCAAGACCCTGGGAGGGGTGCACGAACCGGCTCGGATCCATGGCGTTTCGAGGCGAGAAATGTCCTGGCTGGAAGCCAAAAAATGCAAAAGGGAAAAGTGATCCGGGTTGGCTGGTCCATATATAACAATTTCGTCCCTTTAATACTACTGATAACGCAATATCTGTTTTCCTTGACACCGCAATGCTCACAGCTAATATGTACGCTCACTCTTGGCCAAGACGTGTTTGGTCCTACTTAATTTCCTGCGTAGTCCGAGCCCACCAATGATAATAGCTTCCGCGGGCTTCAATGGGCTAGGGGGTCGGGTTGTTCGCCCACCCGGAGGGTCTATTTTTGCCGCCACATGGTACTCTGCCCTACCCGGACCCGTTCTTAACGCGAGATACCGAAACAGGATGTCAGAGTCGAGAAAACCCACCAGTAATCGCTAGACCGGTATGCATAATCGTCCCAGCTCCACCTAAATCCCTCCGTGCAGGGAACGAAATTGAACCTGATACGGGCTAGCAAATCTCCTTGAGCGGAAGCGAACTGGCAGTCTGCTCTTAATGAGACTCCATCCTTGTTTCTCCATGTATCATGCCAACTACTTATTCTAATGGTCTAGCTAAGATCGATCATTCTATAGAGCATTCTTCCAGACCAAGTTGGCAACATTTCGAACCAAGCTCAACTTCTCCCACATCCGCTCTTCACTCGCCACACCAAGGTTCTTCTCAATACTGGCAAAGCCACATTGGGGACTCACAGCTAATGAGTCAGTTAGGACGTCCTCGGGACTTCGACCCTGGCCGGCGGCAATCGCTCGAGCCGCCTCGTGCACCCGGCGTTCCAACACTTTCAAGTCTTCAAGCTCCGGATGCTTCGTCGACACAAGACCAAGAACCATATTCTTGCCTGTAGGAAGGTGTTTCAGGCAATCAAAGCTACCGGAGCGCGCATCGTCGAATTCGAGGTAGAATGTGTCGTAGTTGAGCTGCGTCAGGACCTTCTCTGCAATGCTGTCGTACGATCCTTCCAAGAATCCACCGGTGCCAGGTATGTTCCCTCTGCAGAGGTGAATGCCCATGTGTAGGTTCTCGGGACGGTCTTTGATAGCCTCGTTATGTGCCCATATGTATAGATCCAAAAGCGTGTCTGGGTCCTCGCCGTCCTGTTGAAGCCCGTTCCTGAAATTTTCCGAGACAAAGTACGTTAGATGGGGGTCGTCGACTTGAATCGATCGTAGACCTTCATCATAGAGCATCTGCACTTCTCGGCGGAAAGCTGCCGCCAGGTCAGAAAGATATTCAGCATCTGTCTTATAGACACTGGGATCATAAGCCGCGCCTGGTGCAAGCTGCATGTGCTGCCAAGTAATCGAGGGCATTGTGATCTTACAATCCTTCCAGAGGTGTGGTGGTATGGTGCCCTTGAGCATGTTCCATCCAGAAACGTATGCGGGGGCAACATGCTTAATCATGCATTTAGCCACAACGGCAGGGAATGTGCTCACCCCCAACTTGGCCATGTGTTGCGTCGTCGGGAGCTCTGTCCTAAAGTCTTGAGGTATCCGGAAGTGGCGGTTGACCTCCATGCCGTCAAGGCTCTCGAAGAAGCCGCTGAAAAAGCCTGTTCGCTCGTACTCGCCACTGGTGATGGGCCGAATAGAGAGATCGAGCTGCTTCTGCACAGCATGCGCAATTGCTTCCTTGGTGGCTGCCAATTGTGCCTCAGACAACTCGCCAGAATAGACATCGAGATCTTTCCGAGCGTTGAGTAGAGAGTGTGGGCGGATCAAGGACCCTATCTGGTCCATACGAAAACGCGGAGCCATGGTGGTTTAGAGCTGTCCTCGATCAGAGCGAGTCGAAGTGAAGAGAGTTGGTGGAAGCAGTGCACTTTATATAGCCCGACAGCCCCAAACCCTCGACCGACCCACCGGAGAGCTCCCGTCCACGGTTCATAACGCGTCCCAACCCCATCTAACAGAACTCATTAGACCTATATATATATGATTTATGTTTGGTCTTGGTAAGGCCTTCATGACAGGTTTATATCTGGGGGAAAGGACTACGTTCATATTGGAGTGGTGAATCTTTTTGTCAGGGGCGAATAGAGCGATAAAGCGTAACAGAATGGGAAGAAAAATGTGGGAGGTCGCCAGTACCTAATGATTCTGCCTGTGGGGTGGCGTGTGGGGACCACAGCGGTCTGATTGGCAGACCATTATGACTCCACAGAAACGAATAATTAGGAGAGATAACAGTCCGGACTTGCATCATGGGCCAACGCGGGTGTTATGTTTCAACTTGATGGGCAAGGGTTAGGATAGAGGTCAGGTGCTTTCAAGCTGTATCGCTCCTCAAGACAGCTTTATGAAGAAAGCATGTCAAGATCTTTGTGATTGAGCTTATTGCGCTCGCCTTAATTCTATATAACTTTCTTATCCTCATAGGGAGTGCAGAGGAGATTGTGGACAAGGTTCGTACATCACCCGAAGTGGCTTTGTCCTGAACTTGCCTAGGAGCATCAAATTAGCCTATGACCTTGAAGGGCGAGGGGAAAGAACTTGAAGAATCATTCCTTACATTTCATCTTAATGGATGTCTGGCTACTATCTTTCCAAAGCCTCTGGTAAGATTCCCAACTTGTATCACTTCCCGCAACACGTCTTCAGCCGACCCTTCAATGACCTCAACATGCGGTAGCTCGAAACCTTCACCATAGTTGTCAACCGCCCACTGTAGAGCACTCCAAGACTTCCAGTAGTCATCGGGCCTGGCAGGAATAGTGATGGGGCTAGCATGACCTTTCAAATGAATGGTCCAGTCGTCCTTGGCTAATGAGAAAGGCAATTTAAATCTTTCATCTTTTAGAATGGTGATGCCGACCAGGATGGCCGCTGGATCCTTGACGCATTGTGAGACCAAATCTGCCGATGGAGTTGGCTCTACCGCGCACACTGTGTCAAACGCATGGCCAATCGGTCCCTGGCCGAGAGCTTTAACCATGAGTAGAATGTCATCAACAACTGTGGGAGATTTATAGTCGAATACGTGCGTCGCTCCGAGACTCTTGAGCATATTATGGCGAGCAGGCGAAGCAGTGACAAGGATATTCCGGCAACCGCTAGCACGAGCAAACTGCACGGCGCAGAGCCCGGCGCTAGACGAACCCCCCCAGATCAAGATGGGTCGCTGATGAACAAAGGAGTCGTTACTACCAGGCAAGGGGAACTTAAAAAAGTTGAAGATGGTATCGGCAGCGACCAAGGCGACCACAGGCAGAGATGCGGCATGGGCTTCGGGGAGGTTGTCTGGGACTTTAAAGGCCATGTCTTCAGGGCAGATGAGGTAGCCCTGGTGTGTGCCGTATTTTTTAGCGCGTCCCAGGCCTGAAGGAGTGAGTCCAGCTACCACGTCGCCCTGCTTGAACCTGGACCCTGGTGGCGATGAGAGAACGCGTCCACAAAAGTCATATCCAAGGGTTGTTGCCCGGATACCCAAGATGCTGGCATGCTTGGTGTCTGCGGGATTGACTCCAGAGTAGATGTTCTCAATTACGAGCTCGTTGTCGCCTACCTGCAGGGGCGAGCTGGTGTCTTGGACGGAGAAATTGCAGTTGGGGTCGACATAGAGTCCCCTATTGGCTTTTGGTGGTGTGAAAGACATAGTGGCATGTAGATCGGAGATTGCAGGGAAGAAATGATGAATTTATTTTCCACCTGAGGTATTGGGCAGTGTAAGATAGATGAGGACGATGGTGGTGAGCACATGGCGACACTCAATTTATAGCCAATTCTCAATACACCGATAGCATGACCAGAACCTTTGAGTTGGTTTACTGTATTCTTCAAGGATCACTCTATTTGGCCACTATATCCGCTGAGCATCTTCCGGGGAATGTGGAGTGTCAGCCTCTTCCCCGGAACGCCGCTGATCTCTCTTCCGGGGAAGTCTGAGAAGCGTCACAAGACCTTATTAAGCAGCCGATCCCCTGTTCGGCGGCTCTCGGCCTCGTGGGCCTCGTGTGAGACCTTTGTAGATGGTGAAAACTACCAACAGTTATATAAACAGTCTACCTAAGCCTGTTTAATGTACATAGGAGGGTTACTTAGAAAATACTACGGCCTTATCACATAGTCATCGCAAACATCTTCTAAAAATCGCCATTATGTCTGCTTTTAACGTTGACTCCGCCAAAGTCTTACTGCGAGATGTCGTCGCGCCGCAGCATCCTCTAGCAGCGCAGGCATTAATTCTCCCAAAGGGACACCAAAAACGCCCTGGGTGCCGCCCTCTTCCAAGTAATATTGTGCTTGAACGAGATCAAGTCCTCACTCTCCGGGATGGGACCAAGATCTTTGCCGACATCTACCGCCCCGAGACTGACCAGAACACCAAAGTCCCTGCCATTGTCATGTGGTCGCCTTATGGCAAGAGCAGCACGGGGCTAATCGTGTTAAGCACGGTGTTGCCTTTTCAAGCTGCTATACCGGACAGCCAGCTTTCAGGTTATGAAAGCTTTGAAGGGTACAAGTCCTGGCCATAACCGAGCTCTTTACACACACTGACTTGTCGAACACAGTCTTGATCCAGCAGAATGGGTGCCAAGGGGATACGCCATTGTCAACGTCGATGCTCGAGGTTCGAACCACTCCGAAGGCAACATGAGGTGGTTCGGATCCGCAGAGGGCCGAGATGGACACGATGCCATTGAAGAGATTGCAAAGCTGGATTGGTGCAATGGGAAAGTCGGGATGGCTGGCAACTCATGGCTTGCCGTGGCGCAATATTACATTGCGGCAGAAAAGCCGGCTCATCTCGCATGCATTGCGCCTCTGGAAGGATTCAGCGACCCTGCCAGAGAGATGGCACTGCGAGGGGGTATCCCTCACACGTCCTTTTCCAAGACCATCGCCAACACGCTCACAGGTACGTGCTTGGTGAAAGCTACATTGCATCCTAGTGTTGACCGTTCTAGGGACGCAAAAGCAAGAGGATCTAATTGCAATGGTCCAGGACTTCAACAACTTCAAAGACTACTTCGAGGACAAGCGGGTCGAATTTAGCAAGATAGATATACCTGCGTACATTGGCGCTAGCTATTCAACGGACATCCACGCCATTGGATCCTTGCGGGCGTTTGAGGAGATTCAGCATGACAAGAAATGGTATGTCATGTGGTTCAAACACTGCTTCAGGCCGTGATACTAATACCGGTTGCGCAGGATCGTCCTACATGCTTCCCAGGAATGGTTCGACCTTTATTCGGTCGATCGCACAAAAGACTTGTCGCGGTTCTTCGACTACTACTTGAAAGGGAGTGCGAACGATTGGTTGGAAACAAAACCTGCCCGCGTCGCACTCTTACGCTACCCCCAGCCGGCTCTACTTGACCAGGAGTTTGAGGACCTCCCCTGGCATCTTCCGTCTACCTCTAAGCAGCAACTTTTTCTAGATTCGCAAGGCGGTCTCTGTGTATCTAATCCTGCCGAGAGCAGCACGCAGAGTTACCACGCGGAATTGTCTGAGGCCCTGGAGTTTAGCTACAGGTTCCCGTCGAGAACTGTCATTATAGGCCCGCCCACTTTGACCGTCCATATTGCTTCGCCTGGCTTTGAGGATCTGGATGTCTACGCCCATATCTTCAAGGCTGATGCGAAGGGGAACATCCTGACATATATGAATATCCCAATCTCTCACGACGAGGCAGCTAGTCCACTGACTGAAAACAAGTTGTTCCGATACCGTGGCCCAACAGGCTGCCTCAGAGCATCTCGCCGGCACGTCTCCCCTCAAGGATCGGGTAAGATTTGGCACACGCTATCTTTCTCCCGACTGGAGCCTATCAAACCGGGGGATATTGTCAAGTTGGATATCCAGATGTGGCCTACTGGGATTGTCTATGAAGAAGGAGAACAGTTAATCCTCAAGATCAGTGGAAAGTATATTGGGCTTCCAGCCAATCCAGGTCTAGAACCTGAAGCTAGTGCAAACGTGGGTCAACATGTTGTGTATACTGGCGGAGAGTTTGCAAGTTCCCTGCAATTCTATACGCTGTAGTAGTTCTACTACCAGTCATTCCGAGTCGAGTCGTGTATTGGTTCCTGTCTTTCTTATGGTTGAAAGAGAAATTTGGCCGGCTCGTCGAGTTATTTTGTAGGATAGGTACATAGGGTAGCACTGCATCTATTTTTAGATGCATGGAATCCTACGACAGGGCGAGGACCTCGATTGCTATCATTGGGTAGATTATCGGAACCCTCGGTAGCTCTCCACTCAATTTATTTACCAAACATTTTCGTCATCGGCTTTCTTGACGCGACAAGCTGAGACACGCAACCCAAGACAAGAGAATCTAATACTGGCCTCTTGAAAGAGCAGCGATGGCTCGTCCCTTGACCACTTTCAATGGCCGTTCTTCTCGCGCCAGACGTGTCACCCGGGCCTGTGATTACTGTCGTCAGAAAAGAGTGTTTCGCCCCTTCCACCACAATCGTTCATTTCTAGTACCTTGACTGACCAGCTGGCGTAGCTCAAGTGCACACCAAATCAACGGCCATGTCTGAATTGCCAGCTCTATCATGCAGAGTGCACTTACCATGACCCAAGACGTGGTGACGCTGCTGTTCAGACCGGTCGCCCTAGTGTAATGCCCGAACAGGACAGCAGCAAAGATGCAGACCCCAGGGAGATAGAGGCAAACCCTCTAGCCGGCCAGACATACCAACCGGTTACGGAAATAAGCCCAGCGTTTGGTGATCCAGATCTGGCACCGTTCTGGGATCAGATGGAGGGTTTGGGTGAAGTAAACCCTGACGACTTGAGCCACCACCTCCACCCATATGATGTCGGGGATTCGTCCAACTTTCTGGAGGCAAGCACTCTCAACGATACTTTGGACGGCCAGTATGATCTCGGCCGTGACTTTATCAGCGCACCGCAGACTAGTGACGGGCCTTCCATGAGGCATCCAACAGAGAACAGTATTTCGGACTCTTCCCTCCCCCGCATTAGAGACAGGGGCACCCCGAACGGGAAGGTGTCCAGCATCGACTTGCTGACTAGAAAAGACTTGCGCCTAGCTCGCCTGCAGCAATCTACACTACCGGGCGTTTTCGTCAGCAAAAACGAGGCGGCCACCAGTTACATAGGTTGGTTTTTCGTCAAGATTACAGAACTTGAACAGTCTTATTAACCTCTGGCAAATCCCATGTAAATAGGTTTCAATTCTGTCGGTGCAACATTAGGGCTGTGTATCAAAGATGCCCTTGAAAGCCAGCAACTCCCTCTGAAGAGCAGTTCACTTGGCTTTTTGATCGAGGCGAGCGCGCACATCAGCCATGGAATTAGGTCGTCGTCACTGTCCGACTTCTTATTGCAAGACTTGCTTCCTCATCAGCTGGCATTAAAGTATAGCAAAGGTAATGCGCGGTTCCAAAATCTAGCTAATCTTGTTGCTGAGCTGAGAAAATTTTGCCATGGAACAGCATATCTCCGTAATATCAACGCCTTCTACCCAGTTGTCGACGAGGCTTCATATCCAGAGCAGATGGAACGATTTTATACCGCTGAGCGATCAAGTCTGGGGATCCTTGATCACTGTATATTTTTCCTCATTGTCTCGATCGGGGCAACGTCCCTTGGGGAACGCCCCGACCACACCGACGAAATCAAGGCCGTATATCAAAGAGCTTCATCTTTGTTTCACGATTGCGTAGTTGATCCTTCCGAATCGTCGCTTCAAGTCGTTTTGCTACATGTAAGTTTTCCAAGGTTTTAGAACCCAAGAATATGCCTGCTGACTTGGCAGACTCTTTATCAACTTTGCAACGGACATTGCGGAGTGGCATGGACCTTCTGCGGGCTGGCAATTCGCACCGCTCAATCCATGGGGCTACATCGAAAGAGTCCGATGGAAATGGAATTGCCCGATCATCAGCTACGCCTGCGGTCTTGGCTCTGGTGGATCACTCTTGATCTTGATGCGTAGGATAATCGTGCATATGTGCCCTCTCACGGTCCCAAGGCTGATGTTAAGACAGAAACATCTCCCTAATCCAAGGCCGTCCACCTGGGATTATTCACAATTTTGAGGAACGAAATATGAGTGTCTTACACCCGTCACTCGATGAGAATGACCAATCAAGCCTCAATCTTATGCAGATATACGGATGGAAATATAAAATCAGCCAAATGCAGAACCGTTTCTGCAACACAATGAACTCGACAGAGCGCACGGATGAGATGGTAGATGCTATTCATAAAATCGATCGAGACCTCACGGCTTGGTCTGATGCCCTACCAGCTGCTTGCCGTCCTAAGAAGCCGATACTTGCGCCAATTCATCTGCGCCTGCATATACTTGTCCTCCATTTGGATTACTTCAGTCTTGTCCGCTCCATTCATTGGGCAGCGATCTCCCTCGTAGCGGGACTAAATGACGAACACATCGGTCAGAATCATGTTTCGGCTCCAGACAGCGAGGCTTTGTGTGTCGATGCCACAAGATCCTATATCAGATCTTTGAACGAGTATGTCCGACATTTTTTGTTTTTCATTGTAAAGATATGCTAATCATCCACCCACCCACTAAGGAACATGGACGATGCAAAAAAGTCCAACATGTTTATCCTCATGTAAGTCATCAAACGTTGAGCTCAAGGAAAGGCCATCCTGACAAGGGTAGGCTCCAAAACGCCAACTGTCTCGCGTCTATTGGCATCTTGTACCGGAACATAATGAAGAACCCATCACAAGTCTCGGCAAGGGCAGATCTGGAATACATACGAGCGGGTAAAGCACACCTCGAGTGTCATATACCCAGAACCATGGACCGCTCTTCAGCCGCCATGGTTGAACACATGTTGTCTTCTAGTCACGCTCTCGTGTGGAACAGTAATCCATGCTCTTCGGGCACCAGCTACATGGCTAATCTTTGACTCTGCATGGCCAAGAAAAAAAAATCCGAGGCTATGTATGAGTTTCCGCTTCAGATTTATCCACCTCGTTGAAGCAAGAAACCTACTAAATAGCATAAATTCTAGCATGCCGTATAGTTTAATAAGCAGAGCTACTACATTCACGACTTAGCATAGTAGAATTTAAGTAGAAGGAAGATTTAATTAACCCTAGGTTCTTCTTAAACGTCTTCAAGGCTTGTGTCTGGCCATTGTCTACGTATGCTAGTGCAAATTAAAATTGTGTTTCAGGACGTCTTAGATAGTTCTCGGCGAGGATCGCTTCTTAGGCTTCCATGATATGCTTGAATAGTACAAGTGTCTCATGTATCTGGTTGTCCTTTTGGTGCACTGATGCAAGTGTCTAATGTGGCTGAAACAAAAAAGCAGGGCCTTGAGAAACTGCCCCTTGAACAGCTACTCAAAGACCGGTGTATTTGCGATTTTGCGCGATGTATTAGCCGGCATTCTAGTCTGAGCCCATCTGGTAATGACGACGATGTTAATGTGCAGAAGACATCACGACATGAGGCTCTTGAGGATGTCGCCAGAAAGAGTGGTCACAGAATTGATTTAGGCAAGAAATAAGCCTTCTCGGAAAAGGAGGACAAACTCATCCCCACGAACGCCTTGTTGTTGGTAGGACTAAGGCATCTCGTATCGACGGCGGCATACTCAAAGACTTTGCAGACCCTAGGGCCTTTGAACTAACTGTCCCGCCAAAATACAGCCCACAGACTTCGGCGATGCTGGGCGGGAAAGATTCACGTGTATGGTATTCCTACAACGGTGCTTTGATTGATGACATGCATTGGGATGCTGAACACCCGGGAATCGAGGCATATAAGGATAGACGAAAGTTCAAGGGAGAAGTTGCTAGCCATATGACGCCCGAAGCTATTTCCAGGCAGGGTGCAAAGATTCTTAGCTCGAGTGGCGAGTATATAAATAAGGGGGGGACGTATAACATGCTGGCGGGCTGCGTCGGGGCTGGAAACAACTGTCAGAGCTATTCCAAAAGCTCTATCACGAGATTAGAGCCAGACCAGAACAGGACGACTCGGGGGAAGATGATCGCAGGGGAAGAGGTAGAAGACATAGACGAAAGAGCACGTCAGACCCCAGAGACCGGCTTGAACGGCTGAACATCGAGTGACAAGGCATTTCATCTTGACTGCCATGCTGCCTAGGAGTTATGTAGCTATTATGAGTGGGCATCAGTTAGGCACGGCAGAAACAGATTGTTCCATTAAAAAAGACCAAACTAATCTTAGGCTTGCACAAAAGAAGAGAAATGTTTATTAACATAGAGTTTGCTTCTCCTCTTTCACCGAAGTTCTGTCCCAAAACCCATACGTCCGGTTTAGGTTATCCATCACGCTCCTGGGGATCTCGACCTGCATTAAAACCTCCTCCGCGCTGGCCTTTTCTTTAAAGTCGAACCGTTTATGCTCCTCTAGGCAATTCTCCAATGAATAGGAGATCCTTGCCTGCACCGCAGTTTCATCGAATCTAAGGGTCCCAGAAAAGATAACCCAGCCTACGGTATGGAATTGAATAACTGCGCCGCCCATACGAAAGTGGTTTATACTGGAATGGGGATCTTTCCGAGAATCTCACATAACCATACCCTGCACCGGCAGGGTCGTTGGTCGAATTTTGACTCCCAGAATCAGGCGTACCACTTTCTTGTCGTGTGCGAGGTTCATCTGTTTGAGGATGAGGATCGCTTCTGATGTCGTTCTCAACTGCATGGATAATGGCCTCGGGAAGAAATTCCCTCAAGATGTATTCCCCAGAAAGTATTAAGTGCCGTTGCAAGTCCTTGTCAGCGTCGAACACATTAACAAGGTACTCCAGGCCTCTTGAGACCAAGGAGCTCAGGAATTCATAAAACTCCTGCCTCCCTTCCAATGTAAATATCGGCGACCCTCTCCAGCGCGAAAATGTACGGAGCTCAAGCGACTCGTAAGACTGGCCATTTGGTAACCCTCCAATGTCAGTGCACGGCATTTCTGAGGTTGGACCTGGGTAAGGGAGCAGCTTGTCCATCATCCAGACTTGGGCTTCGTCGCTAGATTTTGCGCTCGGCCCCCGGACCTGATGGCGAAAGGCGATGGCAACTATCTCGTTCTGAAACTGTTCGATAAGTGCGCCAACCCGAAAGGAAAGATACTGATGAATACAGCTAATCTCTTCCACCTCCCATGGCTGTAGTCGGTGCAAGAAGTGGTGGAATTGAAGCTCCGCAGGAACTAGGGAGACCTCCATTCCGATATCATCCTCGCCTACTGGAAAACACCGGCAATATAGCTCAAGTCGGAGAAAAGCTCGTTGTATCCTGGTGCGTTCTGTGCCGGATAAAGGCGTGGGAGATTCCAATCGTTTCCGTTCTGACGCATCTCCACCAGGGGCTTCAGCCAGATTGGACATGGTATCCTTGAAGTAATCCCGCTCCAAGCGCAATACTCTAGTTACCAATTTCATCAAGATAGCGATGGTAGGATCATCTCTAGGAAATGGCACTGTAGCCTGACCAGGGCGAAAGTGTGTGTCTAGAAATTGCCAAATTTTATCCAGTTGGCCTTTCGTTGACAGAGAAGGACATTGTATAATGGCGAGGGCATCCTTTCGGGCGCCAGGCAGAATAGCCCTATGGAAGACAGAGACGAGGACTTGGGTGCGGGAAGCATTAAAGGCTTGATAGAACAACGAAGATGCGCTGATAGGGCAGTGAAGGGCTTGAGGAGAATCCAGCTGTCCTAGAATGAGAGCGAATAGCTCGGGCGGAATCATGGAAATAGACATGGTGATGCAACGCAGCGACGCTGGCTGACGTGACAGCAGAGAGTGGCACAAGATATCTGTCGTATCGTAGTGAGGGGAAATGGTGAGGGAGGCTTTCCAAAAGGCGCCATGCTTCTTCTAACTTTCGTGTGGTAGATCAGCCCTATAAAAGAAAGCAACCCTCCAAGCGCTGGCACTATCCCACACCAGCCTTGCACGTTGGTCGCTTCATCAGCTGCTCAATGTCATTCATGAGTCACAGCCTCTGGCCATACGCCGTGTTGGCATAGATCAGAACCAACGATTAACCGAAATCCAATCATTCCATTTGCACACTTTTCTGCCTGGTTCAGTTAGTTCTTGACCCACAGCGAGCCGTGGAGGCTGTGGCTGTATCGAAACCGGGCAGGGCAGAACTGCCCAAGCAATTGATCAGCATGGAAGACAATCTACCCCGAAGGCCCTTATATTCTCATTGCACACCTAAGTAGGGTCTCAGATTCGGACATGCATTTCAGGGCATCGTATGTATAGTTGAAGGTGTTTGTTGTTTAAACACTGTCATGCTTTGCGTATCACCACATCAATCGATTCGTTCCTTCCCAGTCTGCTATGTGGGGTAGAGCGGGGATGGGCTGACACTAGGCTGATAGCCGTTTTTCGGGCTCCCTCCACACAACGTCCCTCTTGAACCTTCATCCTCGTCATGAATAGACCAACGCCACTGCCCGGACGGCCTCGAGGCGACTATGGCCGCGAGCAAGCAGAGAGGGACAGGCAGCTCAACGAAGAGGCTACGCGGTCGCAGGACGACAACCGGGAAAAGTTTGATATCATGCTGCACGACAACTCTGTCGATGGGTTGGGAACAGGGAGGGATGTTGTTTGTGGAGGAGGAGCCGCACCGGATCCGGCCGGTTAATGAGACTGGGGTCAAGATAGACCAGGAGACATGGCACTGGAATCTATCGGTCAACGATCCTACTCAGCGGGACGAATATGCTCTGGACTCTCTGCGAGTGATGACTGGCCACAGTTTGTGTGTCGTCTGCAAAGATACTCTCAACTACTACTGCCACTACATTGACGAGCGCAACAACGTATGAGTACCGCTGACCTTTACAAAACGCAGCTGACGACTCAGTGGGACTCGGACGTGGCGTTCCCTATGAAAAATAGCGTCCTCCACCACGGATCCCTTTGGCCGCTACATGTCTTTGCAAATATAGTCGAGCCGTACTGTATCATCTGCGCGGATATTTGGGACAAGATTGACGCGACCTATCCGAACCTGATAAAGGACTTCTATTTCAACTACCAGATCGAGTGCTGTTGGCCTCGAAGGCCGAGTCGGACGGAGGAGCACAAGATGTGGTTCTTGATGGTCAACCCATCCAAGGAGAAGGACCCCTTGTGGAATTGGCAGCCCGTTCTGAGGTTAAGTCTCTGGCCAAAGGCACAATTCGGTCATCATTTCGAGCATCAGCAACATAACATTCAGACACGTGGCCCCTGGGATGTCTGCGCTGACGATAACACCAACGATGCCATGTCCACTCGAAGCCTTGCTCTGGACTGGCTAGCACGCTGCCAGGAGAATGCCAACGGACAGCATACTCTCTGCAATGCGCAAGGTGAGTTTGTCCCAACTCGGCTGCTGGATGTGCGAAAAGCCCTACAGACCGGAAGGGTGTGCCTTACCTTGACAGAGGCCTTGGACTCATGCGAGTACGTCACTTTGAGTCATTGCTGGGGCTCATGGGGCGCAGAGCACAACCCAGTGTTGTTGACCAACAACTTGACAGCTAGACAGACCGATGGATTGGCCTGGGATGCACTTCCGCAAACGTTTCAAGATGCCTTTAAAGTTGCTTCCTGGTTTGGCTGGGACTGGCTGTGGATAGACTCACTCTGCATTATCCAGGATTCTGAAGAAGACTGGAAAAGACAGGCAACAATGATGGACAAAGTCTATCAAAATTCACAAATAAACATCTCAGCCGATAGTCGTGCCGGTTGCTTCTCCCCTCGTGATGAGGATGATATAAAACCACTAGAGCTCTCGTCCGGGGAGGATGGTCCATGGCAAGTTACCACAGACAACTCATTCGCTTGGATGAAGTCTGCAACCTCGCTATCCAGGGCATGGATCCACCGGGAGAGACAGTTGTCGAGAAGAATCCTCCACTTCACCGACCAGGAGCTCGTGTGGGAGTGCTGCGGACTGGGTAACACCGGCTTTGCTAGCGAGACAATGCCTGGAGGCGCCCCGTTCGAGCGAGTATTTGGGGGTGACGTCAAGTTTCAGATCAAGTTGAGCGAAGCTGGCGGTAGTGGGGATAAGGACCGGCTTGATCGAATATATCAACTGTGGAACTCAACCTGCGAGGGTCTGTCAAAAAAGTCGGTTACTTTTGCAACAGATTTACCCATCATCTTGTCCAGCCTAGCCAAGGAGGTTCACCGTATGATTCCCGACGACGAATACGTCTGCGGGCTATGGAAATCGACCCTTCCAGAGAGTCTCAATTGGTGGACACCTCATAGCAGACCAGACGACCTGGTTTTCGTGGCGCCGTCGTGGTCGTGGCTGAACGTCGCGGTGCCCGTGCACATGGCCACGCACAACCAGGCCCAGCACAACCTACCAGTGGCGGAGGTCCTCGATGCTGTTGTCGACCTCGACTCCGACCCGTATGGAGCAGTGACCAAAGGCGACCTACACATGAGAGGGTACCTGAGGCGGGTACATTTCTACTTTATCGAACGTTCTCGTTTCGTACTCAGTGTGATTGAAGAAGAGAATGGCGAGGATCGCATACGCCTCATTGGTCCGGACTGGAATCAAGAAGATGGACAAGTATGCCAGCTCACGATTGACGGTCTCATCCGACTGGAGAATCAAGAACACGAATGCTACGCCTTCTTCACCACCATTGCAGAGCGGGGCCAGGATCTGCAGTCTTGTACTAGAAATCTGTCGTGTCTCCTACTGGATGCCGTAGATGGTAGAGACAACACATACAGCAGATTTGGGTCAATCAATAACCTATGTGACGAGTTCAGCTTCAGCCTGCGGTACATGGTGATTGGCGGGGCCGAATTGGGCGTTTCACGACAGTCGTACGTTCCCATCGACTACCGGGGACCGGATGCTGTGGAGCAACCAGTCACGGAGCAGACCATCCCTAGTATCTGGGACCTCATGGCACGGTTCATCAGGAGGCACCGGTGGGGTTTGATGCTGTGGAAGAAGATATTGGAGGATGAAGCGAAGCGACTCGAGAGGGGCAGTGGAGACGTTGAGAACGGATCTAAAGGTGACTCTCAGGACGGATCCAAGGAGGAGCCCGAGGAGAGACCTGAAGATGGCTCTCAGCATGAATCTGAGGAAGAATTCACCCAAATTCAATCGCCAGCAAGCACAGACAACGACAGCTCCCACTCAGCGGTGGCCGATTCGCAGGCAGGCTTTGAAAACCCACGCCAAAGCAGTTAGAGATCGCTCATCAATCAGATCCGGAGACATCCATCTAGTGGTCTCGCTCCTCTTGATGACGAAAGCCAAATGGTGGAGGATGCAGCTTCGATTATGCCGACTGTGGAACCCTTTGGCACCAGACTGCCCCCGGCAGAGGCCTTGTATCAGTTTGACGAGGTGCTTGACGAATGGAGAGACGAACAAGGGGTGGTGCCTTGGCTGAAGAGGTTGGATTTGGTAGAAATTGTTCTGGTTTAGTCGACTCCCGAACACTCTCTACTATCGGCCCGCCTCTCCAGTTAATAATGATAATTTGTGGGAGTGCGCTGAAGCTTAGTATCTTCTAAAGTTTCTAATGATAAGTTTGCGGGTTCAGTGGAGAGATAATATCGTGGAGGCCATTATGATTGAGGTAGGAGTTTAGTTCTAGGAGAAGAAGAAGAAAATTCTTGTTCGTCTTCTTGTTACGGGCCACTTCATCCACCGTGAAGCTTTCTGGTTCACCCAAAAGCGATCAAAAACCGTACCTATCGAAATATAGCTGGTGCGATCTTCACAACGGTGATGCTGGTGCGGGCTACTAACATCTGGAGGAGGTGGAGTCTCCCTAGCTTCCCACATAAATGAGATACCTGCGCGCTATCTTTCTTCTTCCTGTCGCTTGCAATGCTTCCCGGTGCTAAAATGGATGAAGCTAGATTTAGAGATGGAACTAAGGGACTGGTGGCTTCACCGCAATCACTACTTTGGCGCCCTGCTTTTCAACGTGGGCTCCTTCACCTTGCCGGCCTTGCCTACTTTCTGTGGAGGATGAGTTGGCCGTACTGGCGAAGACGACAATCCCTAATTGGAGCGACCAGGTACGATTCCATGCAATCATGATCGCCCAACATACTTCTATTCATCCTGTGGCCAGCTACACCTCTTCTCGTCACCATATATAACCACTACAAATCACTCTGTATCTTCCATTCGCTCCGGCACCTTTGGAATAAACCACCAGCAGATGCCACCCCCTGCTATCAGTCCAAGAATCATAGGCTGCAGGACTTGTACGCCTGCTCGGGTAGCGATTAGCCCCGTTAGAGACGGAAAGATAGCTGCGCCAGCCTGGGCTAGCACAAATATAAAGCCTAATTCAAAGAGCATATGAGCCAAAACATGGAAGTGGAGGTGGTAAAAAGAACTAGAAAATACGCACCCAAGGCTGTAGACTGAATCTTGCGAGGAAACGATTTAGATGCCACGCTCATGCCTGTGGCGAAAAAGGGACCGAAGAAGAAGCCCATCAGGGAGAAAGCCACAGCACTGGCAATCATGTTGGGCACTTGCCAAAAGAGCAGTTGTAGGACTAGGCAAATCAAGCAGAGAATCATGATGGAGCGCTGCTCACCGAAGCGGTGCGTCGGCTCGGCCAGGAGCAGGCGGCCAAGGAAGAGGCCGCCCCAGAAACCTGTCGGTACGTAGCCCATTTGATCGAGAGCGCCGTTGCGGTATGCAGTGAGATACTCGACGACCCATCCTATAGATACGATGTTGTTCGTGGTCAGATATCTAGGAGCTAAGAAGGGAAGTGGTTCTAAAGGTGCAGAGACTTACCACCGGCAGCCGACCAGGCGCCACAGTTGAACAAGTAGAAGCCGCCGATGAGCCACAAGTTCTTGAGTTTCATCAGCTGCAAAGTCTCTCCGAGAGCCTCTTTATTTCGGTGTCGCCCATGGCTTTCTCCATCGTTCTCAGCGGTGGAAGGGCTCGCAGACGGTGCCGACGCGCGATTTTTCCAGGTTGACAGAGGACTGCCGAATACGACCAGCATGCCGAGGAGATTCAGGGCATGGATGCCGATGAGCGGATAATATGCCATTCTCCAACCCTCTCTGCCGTCATTTCCCTGGTGTTCTGATACCGCTGCCGACGCGACAGCAGTGGCGATGAGCGGTCCAATCAAGCATCCCAAAGCGAACATGGCATGAATGAAGCCAAGGCATCGGTGGGCATTGGGCAAAGTGCCGGCCCAGGCATTGGCGTGCGAGTCTTGGTATGCCATTCCGAGGGCCTGGATGGTGAAGCTAACAAAGAATAGGGGTTGAGGCGCCCAGGGGCGGAGGCATTGAGCCAGGAGCTGGATGGTGGCGCCGATGGTGAGAAGCGTCGAGAAGGAGAGGTTAGCCGCGAGGAAAGGGTTGGTAGCCGCGGCTAGGAGCCATCCTGCGAATATACACGCATAGCTGGTACCTTTGGTTAGATCCTGGATTCAATTTCGTCAGACAACGATGAGAAAGACGTACATGATTGCTACTTCTCCTGTCCCGATGGTGAAGGATTTTATAATGTACGGCAGAAGGGGACCGAGAGTAGCTCCATCGATACCAGCGCAAAGGAAAGAAAACGCAGCCGCCAGGACTTTGAGCTTTGGAATCGACGGGCTGGCCTGTGCAGGTGTCTGTGAGTCAGACGGCCCAGAGCCCGGAGATGGATTCCTGGCAGTCCGATCAATACTGCTCGTGGGCGCCGGGATGGGCCGGGATATGGTGACCAATTCTGTTTCTGTGGACATTTTTGCTCAGAGTATTCGATATTGGTACGAATAACACTGTCTTGCTCTCAAGCGCGCGCCGGCCACGAGACTAGTGGTGATCGTGCAAAGCGCAGATTTGTTTGTGTTTAGAAGTTGGTTGCGGGGTGAGCCAAAGACAGATTTATACTCATTAGATAAGCTCTTTGATGATCCCCCGGCACCTGTTATTACCTTCCTTACTGGGACAAGGAGGGGAGCTAAGGGGCTATGGAAGGTAATATAAACCTGATAGAGACAGGTGTTGGAACCGAGGCAATATGTAATCCCAGAATATCCAAAATATTTACTATCAATAGTAAAAGTTTTGGTCATAGTATTAGCGCTCGACAGGCTTTCCTCAGTACTGTCCATAACCCCCCACTGCGCGCGATGGTAACTATACTATATCCTTAGAAACCTTGCTATTATGAATCCGCATATTATAGGGAATACTGCCCAAGTTGATATCTTTAAGAGAGCTCTACCAAAAACTGCGAGACGCTGCGATGATAATGCTTCGCCATGTGCCTTTCTCGCATTCTGATGGGGGAACGGTAAATCAGGCACTTCCTTTCCCAAAAACTTGCATAGCGGTCCCCATCCATCACCTATCTTATACTCGAGTCTCCTCTCCGGGGGGACCAGGGCCCTGATGGTATCAAAGTATTCATCGTAAGCTTTGCGGGCGTTCCTTTCGATGCCAGCCCTGTCAGTGGCGTTGAAGAAGCCGAAATGCACTTTGCGCATGGTCTGCCCAGACCGGATGCCCATGACATGGCCAGCCAGAAATGTCGCAAAGATGCCTAGGGGCGAAAACAGCGGTTCTAGCAGCTCTGACACGAAACTTGGCCACCATTTCTCGAAGTCGCGCTGCACGATAACAACCTTTGCCTTGGGATAGGCCTCGATTAGCTGTTTCGCAAATGGAGCGGCCATCTCGGTCACGACTTCGTACTCATGGCCCCAGGCTTCGTCCCAATCCTTCCTGGTGAAAGGAGACCTTGGAGGGGAGATTTCTGGGGTCACGAATGGCCAGGTCGCTTCGGCAGCATGCTCAATTGCTTTCCATGGTATGCCGTAGGCTATGTCGCTGGTGCCGTGGTGAACCTTGTAGCCCAAGACGCGATAGGCCTCGGCGAGAGATGCAGTTGCCATCCGAAATAAGGCGACATGGACGATTAAAACGCCATCGCTTGCCGGGGTAGTTCTTAAGGAAGACATGATCTGGCCGTCTGCAATAGCCGCATGCGTGTGGTGGGTAGAATGAAGTTTGTCAATAACGCTGATGGAGAAGAGTATGTTGAGAGTAAGCGGGTACCAGGAACAGCTCTTATTGAACTCCCTGCCCCTGCGACAGGAATTTAAGGAATGCGTTGCGGGCCGCCCTGGGAAGTCAGACGACATACCTTAGGCTATAATGCTGAGATAAGAGGAGGTAGAGGTAAGGTAGCAAGCAATTGGAAGGGGTACATCGCTTACAAATGCAACCCATGCGCTATAATGTGGCATAAGAGACATACGTAAGGCGATCAAGTACATGGTAGTAGTAGCCGTGGGGGCTGAGTCCCAACATGCATAAGAACTACAGCCTAGTGTTACAGGTATATTATGTCTGTTGGTGCAGGAGGAATGTTTCATTTCGTAACCCTGACGGTGCTGGGAGTAGGTAGACTCATACTGGGATGGCTGAAGCGGTACCTTATTTGCTGGGACTTCGAATCTCCCGAAGATATGGGCGTTCGTAAAGAAAGAAGATCGGTTTACATGAAACACCAACTATAGAACGTGGATAGATACAGAATGCATAGTAACAAACCGGTTTTGACCCGGCAAGCACATAGTAATTCCGTTATCAACATCTCATAGGCGGCAGGCAAAGCCTGTCCATTACAAATTGCCAACCGCACCCGGAGCAGTATCGTTTAAAATCTCCATCAACTCGTCCCATACCCGTTTCTGAAGCTCTCTTCCCTCCTCCGTATCCACCATGGGACTGGGAGTGCTGAAGCTGCAGTCCTCGAGGTACATGCCGTGGCTCTGCTCGCCAGCTTCTGCTGCCATGGTGTACGTACGCGCGCCCGAATCAGGGCTACGAGCCAGGATTTTATCGGCAACTCCCATCATTATTCTGATGGGAAGTTCCCAGCCTTTCTCTCGCATGAGATCGCTCTGGCAGAACCCGGGATCCACCATGTTAACAACAACCAAGGGCTTCTTACTTGCCTTCACCCTCGCTGCTAATTCGCGTACCGCAAAAACCTCCATTAGCTTTGTGTCGTAGTAACGTAGACGCATATCCCGATCGCCCTGAACCGCGGCGAAGATGGACTTCTCCTTTCCTGGTAGGAATTTGGTATACATGTGGCCGTTTGAGCTGACAATGACATGGTGCGGGAGGCTTTGAGTCTGCTCCGATGTCCTCCTCATGACGGGCAAAAGGAGCAGCACCATAAGGATTGGAGCAATGACATGCACAAAAGTCTGGCGTTCATAGCCCTCGTAATACTCGCACTGGGCGCTCATCAGGCCTGCGTTGGCCACGAACACGTCAAGACGGTCGAGCTTGTCCGCCCGGGAGCAGAACGCCTTGATGCTCTCATAGGACCCAAGCTCCAGCGGCCATACTTCGACAACTCCGGCGGCAGCCTCGGCGGACTCAATGTCCCTCTTAGCGGCCTCACCCTTCTCGGTAGACCGGCAGGCTAGGATGACCTTGGCAGCACCGAGACGGGCAAATTGCTGAGCCGCCGCCTTACCGACCCCTGAACTGGCCCCAGTGACAATGACAGTCTTGTGAGAAAAGTCACTCTGAGGCTTTGGCAGCGGCGTGACTTGGGTCCTGAAGGCCCGGACGATGCTTCGGTTCCTGGTTAACAACAGATTAGCACACGATCTGCTCGATCGACGGGAAAATTCTGGCACCATACATGGCTGCAAAATCTCGTGGGTGCTATCCCTAAAACGCTTTGTGAGAGAATAGAGCGCGTTGGAGCGCAGAGGTTGCGAAACCAGGACCAAGCGGGGAATCGAGAAGAGGATTTAAGTCAACCTCCCTGTCAGATGTTCCATTCCATTCGGCTAACCTAACCCCTGTAAATTCCTAGCCAACTGGCTCACAGCTCAGACGTTGTTGTTGGCTTGGCGCCATTGTGCCGCCTTACACACCCCTACCCTACCCCCTTCCGCAAAGGTAATGGATACGGAGCAACTAGTACACGGGATCATCAATCATGCCTGTCTGTGCAAGTCAGTGGCGCGTACGGGCCGGTAAGGCTCAAATCTTACACACCCACCCGCCACCCTGTACTTGTCAGTGCCTGATAGGCTCAGATAGCGTTCTGATGTTTCATCATTACCACCCAATGCCGTGTGACATACACTGGTAGGAATACTAGGTAGCATTTGACACAGCTCTGCCTCGATCTCTATTGACTACTGGCTGCCCGCTGGCCCGAAAGCGATACCCAACCTGCATAGCCGGCCTCCGCAGCCTGCTACATAGCTTCTCGGTATGACCCTAAGTAGGTCATAGGATTAAGGCTGTGCAGAGAGTCGTATCGGTTGTTCAGTACAGTCTTGCATGGTACACTGACTTGGAACATGTCCAACTAGATGAATCCTTTCATGTTCATCCATCGTCAATGTCACCCACCCCGCGAGTCCGTGAAAAACATCAAGGAATCCTTTGTTGGAAGGGCAGCATAGCTTGGCATGCCTACATGATTAGGGTACGAATGGCATTTACGCCGACGCCGGAGGATGCGCGGCAACGCTACCGTGTATCGGAAGCTCAGGTTTGTTCCCTATCCTAGTCAACCCCCTGGCATGGCATGGCAAAGCACACGGGGACATGACCGGCGTTAAACAATACTACTACTCCTACTACATGGCAAAGCACACATGCCCACGTAAATGAGGACACTGTGTGTGCAAGTAACTACCAACATTCACGTTGAGCAAACAAGTGGAAAATCATGTGACATCTCGCGCAAAGCAATCAAATTGAAATGTTCAACTAAATATCGGCCAGTTCATCTACACAACGGCAAGTTTTAATTTGAATCTATAGAAGCTCCGGCTTGCGTGGGGTAAAAATAGCCTTGGTGCTCTGCTTGGGGAGTGTCGTTGACCGCCACCTAAGCCACCGAGGCTCGTCTGGCCGCAGCAGCTCACAATCATAATTCATTATGACCTTGCCGAGAATGACCTTCATGGCAGCTGCGGCATAGTAGCGCCCAGGACTAGAACAAGAGTTAGTGAGGGAGCGACCTTTGAGCAAAGTCCCAAGACGTACCATGCCATCCTACCAGTCCCCCATACATGGAACGTGTTGTCAACATCGCACAGCCTGGTTGGCTTGGGCTGCATCGGATAATTTTCAGCAAGGAGCTGGGGAACAAGCTGCGGGTCGGCGAAGCGGAATCCATTGAAACGCAATGGCTCGGGGTAGAACTCTGGGTCTTGCATGATGGACTTTACAGGCGTGCACGCCCAGTCCCCAACGTTTAATTTTGTGCCATCGGATAGTGTAAAGGGAATCAAAGCCGACCGACGAGTGCTCACTTTACAAGGTTAGCTAGGATTCCAAACGGAAAGGGGAAGCGGCGCGACTTGCTTGCTTCGACAGGTGTCAGCCGAGCCGATTCCTTGATGAAGCTATCCAATAATGGGAGTCCTTGACCGGTCCGTTCAAAGTTGCCATACTGGGATTCAAGCTCTTTGCGGATGGGTTCAACGTGCTCGGGGTAGAGAGAGAGATCGTGAATTTCAAACGTGATGGTCTGGATGTGTCCTGTTAATATGAAATCACATGAATTGGACAGGCTTAAGGCTCAGAACTTGCCGTTGAGAGGGCGTGCACGGAGCCAAACCAGATGGCCATCAACTCATGGACGATGCGTTCAGGTGACCAAGGCCGCTGTTTCGGAGACGTCTCCATGATCCACTGAATGCAGTCAGCCTTGAAAGTTCGACTGTTAGCATTGAACACACGTGATCTTGGGGGCGGACGAACATGTTTTGGCACAGAATGACCAAGTGCTGCAAGGTCCCTTTCTGCGCATCGTTGCTGTGCCACTGGTAGCAAAGTGTTGTATAACACCTTGTGTGACTTGAGCTTGCGTACCATGATGGTTCCTAGTAATCTGGTGCATCTCATTAGTATTGTCATATTAATTAGAGTATGCCTTGAGAAGTTAGACTCACGGTGCAAGGAAATCTGGTGTCAAGCGGATAAGTTCGGCACATATCAGTGTCTCTTCAATGTATGCCAAACCTGCATGCATGAAGTCGTCATATTTTGCTAGAGAATCAATTAGCCTCCGAATCAGGTCCTGTATTCTGATGAATACATACCCAAGTCGCTCCCAAAGAATGAAACTGCGTTCAAAAGGACGACCAGCGAGAGAATTGTGGGATAAACGGGAGTTTGGTACTCCCCTAGAAGTCAGTTAGACTTGACCGAACCATGAAACAAAGTAGGCCCGTAGGAACAATACCATTGACCACCGGATGGGTAAGGCGCATCTCCTCAAAACGAGAAAGGGTGATCCTGCCAAGGTTGGGCAAGATCTGGGGCAGGTTGTTTGTCAACAACGTGCGTAGGGCGCGCACAAAGCCTACCCCTTCGGTTCCCCTCACGTTGAACCAGTTGAATCCGTGCATGGTGTACAACGGCTGCAGCATCTACAGAAGATGAGCTTCAGATTATGACTGTTTATGCATACATGCAGGTGGACACACCTGTTTCGAGGCGGCCTGGAGAGAAAGGACGGTGTCAGGAGCAGTGTCTAGCTCCTTGATATGCTTCGGGGAGGAGATGAAGACATATCGGTTGTCTGGCGCCAAAACCTCGAAAGGCTCCTTGTTGGACTGTGACAGGCTCAGCGTTTCTTCTGACTTTACATGATCACTGATACTTACAAGCTCAAATTTGGACTGAATGATATTGTCACCGTCGAACAGGAATGTCCATGCAGCGATGCGCCGCCCGACCGCCGTGAAGAGCTGCCAAAGGTTAGCACTGTGTGCGAGAATCAGATCCAGGATTGCAACCTTGCTTCCCACGGCAGCGAATAGCACAATGGCTACAATAGCCAAGGATATCATGCTGGCAGGTATACCACATTGCGCAGCGATCTTCAGCCACAAAGGCTGGATAGACAAGTCAAGAAGCATTACTGCGGTATCGAAATGGCGGTAATGGAAAGCAGACCATATAACGTTACTAGCGTTACTGTTACAATCTGTCTAAGATGGCAGAAAAATGCTTGGGTGGGAGTTGCGTCCTTGTATTATTTTCAATCAAGTGGCGTCTAGGAACGGAGCACTGTCTATTTCTGCCTGCTTCTTTAGTCCATGTCTACGCTGTGTCGTAGCCGCCTGGTGAAAAAGCCCAAAGGTACGGTTGGCCGAAGGAAGTCTTTTGTTGCCAACGAACAAGCTACCGTGTCACATCAAGAGGACTCGGAACCATGTCAACTCACCTCATTTGCGCATTCGGTAGCTAATAATACACTTCTCTGGGCATTGTGCCTCGCAACATAGGCCAATCATGTTTTGTCAATCAGGTTGTGGCCCATGACACAGGAACCGCATTCGTTTTGGAGGGCTCATCGAGGGTTATCGTAACGTGCTGAGTGGGGAACACATGCTACTCGTAGCATTCCTAGGCATTCCGGGTCTCCTTCTTGCAGCCACTATCATTTAAGTAGGGTCACAGTTATGGATATAGAACCTGGATATATAAGGGAGGAGTTAACTCTATCTCGATTAACAAATTAGTACAGCTCCTGGCTTTAAGGCTTACAGTTAGATATATAGTTTCTACTTTACGATCTCTGCTAACTCCCTGGGCCTCTTTATACCAGCTAAATATTATATTAGCTTATATTTAGAATTATATTCTAATAATATAGTATTAGATAACAGTAGGGGCCTTATTAAATCTTTATATATAGTTAAAATTCCACTTATAACTAGTTTCTAGTATTTATATACTAGAAATTAATAGTTATACTTAGTAGCCTTATCTAGCCTAATATAACTAGAATACCGCTACTAATAATATCTACTTTAGTATATAGCCCCTGTTCTAAAGTCTGGGATAATATAATTACCTTAATTATATACTCTCTTCCCAGATATAACCCTTAGCTTACTTTAATTCTACTTTTACCCTGCTTTATATTAAGATAGCTATACTTAAACAAGTACTTAGCTAGTAGTCCCGCTGTACTACTAGTTGCTAGATCCTCCCCGGATATTCTGAGGCTAAAAAACCTTACCTGGTACTAGCTTATACTACTTCTAAGATCTTCAGCAAAAAGATAAATTCCATAAGCTATATTATTAATAACCTTTAATTACTTAAGAAGCTTATCCTATTAAATATTTACAGTATTAAGAGCCCGAACTAAAGTTAGTAATACTATAAGATACTAAGTAGTTAATATTAATATAACCTGGGGTATAAGAGATTTTAAAGACTGAGATTGCAATCCAATATCAGTACTAGAAAGGCTAATACTCTTAGCTAATACTATAATATACAGATATTAGCTATATATAGTAGGAGAAGCTTATTAAAGTACTATCTTAAACTCAGGGTTTACTCTATTATTAATTTTCCTTATTATATAAACTAAGCTGATATTTCCACCTAATTCCTAGAAGAAGTTAAACTCCTATATCCTATCCGTATACTCCTTCACAGGCTTATTAAGAGAGAGCTTATTAGTAGAAGCCAGGTACTACTATACTCCTAAGATATTATACCTAGATCTAAATACTTCTTTTCTATCTAGTAGAAAGAACCAGAAACTATATTCTGCTTTTATACTTATTAGCTTAGTAAAGAATATAGTTTCAGAAAGATTAAATTACTATACTATAAGCTTTATCTGTATCAAGCTTAGATTAGCTATAGTATTATTAATAATAGACAGAGGGTTTTCTTTATAGGCTATTATTAAGAAAATATTAACTATAAAAAAGAGCAGAGACTTAAGATTTATTATTATAACTTTAAATATATAGAATAGAATTTACTATATAACAGTCTGAGTATTATTTAATTCTAAGTAGACTGTATTTTAATAGATAATATACTCGGAATAACTCTTTAGATTTTATAATATATATTATAAATAAAGCAGCTATTATAGTATTTTTATACTTCTAAGTATACTTAAATCTATTAGGAAAGATATAATTAGTAGTAGATATATTACTAATAAAAGCTAGACTTATATTTTATATTTAATAAATTAATTAATATATTAATAAGGGTAAATAAACCAGCTATTAGAAATTAATAATATAATAATTAAACTAAGCTAAAAGATTCAGATATACTGAAAATATATAAGTATTACTCTCCCTACTATAGCTATAATAATAGATAATTAGTAGTAAGTAATTAGTAAAAATATAGCAAAAGGAATACAGAAGTACAGCTATAACAAGATCTTATAAACTAAAGTAATTACTAAGAGCTATAAGCCTTATAGTTATAATTACACTAAGTTATATCTGTTCACCAACTAAGTCCTATAGGAGATTTAGCTGCTCCTTAGCCTGCTAATAATTAAAGTCAGCTTCAGGGACTTTAAAGGGAAAAATATTTAATAGATCTAAGATCTTAGCTATTTCGATTTATATCTTATACTAGGCTTAGAAGGGGTAGAACTCTATTACCTCCTGGTTAGTAAGTATATTATTACTCAGAATATTCTTAAGATTATCTAAAATAATATTCTATAAGATTATATCTATTACTAAATATTAGATAGTAAGAAAGAGAATCTAATTAATAATATATTAATAAGATCTATAGCTACTAATAGCCCCTGGGTAGATATTAAGACTAATATAGCTCTAGTTCAGTACTAATCTAGCTTCCTTAATCTAAGAGTATTAGTAGCTCTATATATAGTAAAAGTCAGTAGTATTATCTGTAATCTCTTATATATATCGCTATAATAACCCCTGACCTTCAAGTCAGAACCGAGCGCAAAGTAATAGGTATAATAAGATAATCCTTCAGATACCTCTCTTAATATCAGGTAGACTAGTTTATAAGATAGATTGGAAAGGGAAAGTATTTTAAAATTATTAATTTATATTCTAAGAGAGCTTATTATTACTGAGTACAAAATATCTATAGGATTACTATATTGGAGATAGTAGAAATAGTTTCCTAACTATACTCCGAAGGGTAGCTATAGACCTGGTTATAATAGATATTATACTAACTGCAAGCTCTTTAAGTAATTTAGCCTATAGTATAATAGATACTAGTATATAGAGGTATATAATATAAGCTAGGCCAGCTACCTATATAGTAAATAGTAAATTACCCCCTAGCTAAGGAATATATAGATAGGCAGTATACTAATAACTTTACTCTATATAGATCTGAGTATTTCCTTAGCTAGGGTCTATAGTCTAGTAGTATTACTCTAATCTTATCCTAGACTTATAAGTATACTTAAGGTCTTTTTATCTACTGTAATAAGCTACTTAATAAGAGTATCTTACTTAATCTTTCCAGATAGCTATAGCGGAATAAATAATAAGGAAGCCCAGAGTAATAGAACTATATAGGGTAGAAGCTGGCTAGTAAGTAAAGACTCTATACAGTACAATAGGGTTATAGTAGTCTCTAGATCTGTACTAGAAAGCAGTAAAATAGATCCTAGCTTATATATAGATAATAATATCTGTCCAGATAGAGAATAAAACCCGATAAGCTGATCCTTATATTAACTATCAGTCAGGTATAGTACAGCTAAGTTTATAATCCTATTGTATACTCCGAGGCAGTATTTAATCTCACCGAGCTTAATATACTAGCCTCTAATCTTAACCTGTATATCCTTACGGCCTATATAGGTAATACTACTATCGCTTATATACCGAACGAGGTTACCTATAAGATAGACCTGGTAACTAGAGCTATCTATACTTAGCTCTTTAAGCTATTATAGGGGACTAATAAAAACTACTATAGTACAGACTAGATTATTAAGGTATCTCTAAATAATAATAGGACCCTTAATAAGCAGCTTACCTATAGCGATAAGTAATACTAACTTCTGCTAGTCTTAAGGATTAATAACCCAGTTTTAGAATACTAAGGATATTCCGAGCTTACTAGCTGAGTCTAAATAGGTAATTAGCCTGATAGTTATTAATATAATATACTTAGTAGGGCTATAACTATTATACAGATAGACAGGGGAGGGCGAGAAGTACCAGATCTAAATATCAGAGGCTGAGGGGGCTTCTCCTGTAAGTATAAGGTCCCGGAGTATAGGTACCTCACAGATAGGGATAGTCCTTACCAGGGAGGGGGTTATAATAGCCCAGGTAACCCGGAGGTTATTAATAGCCTGGGTATCAGATAAATAACAGTATATACTAAGTAGAAGGCTTTATTAATATAACTTATCGGGTTATTAACTTATTAATAACCTATAAACCTACTTATATAAACCTTCTGTTTAACTATATAATAATTAGCTTTTTCCCTTAGATATTACTTAATTATTTACTTTAATTTACTTACTTTACTATATTATATAGCTATATTAAATCCCTATTAATCTATATTAATCAGTTTAGAAAAACTATATAATAGATCAGATTAATAGATAAGATATCTTTCTATAAACTAGTTACTTCTATTAGTAGGAAGTTAATTACTATATTTTATAAAGGAATTTATACTATTATAGAACTAATAAATCTATTAAAATTATCTATCTATCTAATTCTAAGTATTATAGAAGAATATACTTATATTAATTCTAAGAATTAGTAACTATTTATCTATATTAGTAATATTTTAATATTATAATAAACTATTTACTTATTTATTTATTTACTTATCTCTCTATCTATTTATTTCTCTATCTTTATACTTATTTATTTATCTATAATTAGTTCTTTCTAATTTTAGAACTACTAATAATATAATTAAATAATTTACTATTTATTACTATTATAATTTCTTTCTTATAATAATAAAGTTAAATTATTCTTTTATTTATAATAAATTATTTATTATATAGTATAACTAAGTATATATAAATAGATATTAGATT